AACTTCAGCCTAACCTTAATCTCCTCAATTATTTTAATACCTATTATATATATATATATATATATATATATATATATATATATATTAATACCTATTATATAAAAATCTCTTCGTAGTAAAGTCAAAAACCTGTACATCCTACCCTGTTTCTTCCAATCAACTGAATTCCCACTTTGCCAACCCTGACTTATTACCACTTTCCTCCTCATCATACATCCCAAAAATTTCCTATCACCGAAAATTTCTATTTTGCAATTATTTCACCAGAAGACCTACTTTTCTCTGTTCTAAAATCCAGAACAAATGACTATGACCCGGATCTAATTTTTATATCGTTAATAAAACTATGTATTCCATGTATATGTTTTTTAATGAAATTTTCACTCAAAATATTTAAAATCCTTATTCCTCATAAAGCTTTATGTTGATACGCTCTTGATTTAACAACTTATTTCGTACAGTATACTAGCGGATCCAGGATTTAATTTGGGGGAGGGGCTTCAGCCCGAAAGCTTTTTTTTTTCATAAAAATAACGATAATTACTTTATAAAGAGGAAATGGAATGAATTGGATGGAATGTAAGGAATGAAACTAACTACCTATATGAAATGGTGTTTAAGTGATTCCTAAAGTCCTTTCAAATGTAATTACACGAACCATAACACTTTAAGAGATAGTTTTTTAATATTTTTTTTTTCATAAAACATGGTTATATTTTACCATTTTGGGGAGAGGAGGCTTCAGCCCCAAAGCCCTCCCGTAGATCCGCCCGTGGTACAGTATGTTAAAATCTTGTATGAACGGAACACTGTACCGATCTCAAAAAGTAACCTGTTACAAATTAACTACGGAGTAGTGACAATACTAGTGAAACAAGACGGGTTACAGTAACGGATAATCAGATTGAAAAGTAAAATCTTCAAATGAAATACTTTTATCGTAACTCGATTACCCTTCTAAATACTTAATAAAAAAATTATTAGCAGCATCGGAATATCCAAGTTTTTATGTTGTTTGCAAATATCAGAAGACCATAAATATAAATTCAAGGAGAAAATTATTGAAAAATCTAAACCTAAATTAAGTGATGTCACATGAGAAACCTGAGTAAATTTAAACAATATTATATTATAATAACAATATTGGATGTAAGTAGATGATGTATAAAATAAAGCAAAGATGAAGTCGTGCATGACTTTATTAAATAAAATTTAATTATTGCATCAAAATAATGTTGTATGACACTTGTTACTAAATATCTCAAAGGTAAACTATTCTCAATGACACGCAAATAATTTCACACCAAGCATTTAATTTTATAAGAGCCCATATAGTTCAGTTAACGCGCAAGTTAAAAGTTAAATGATTTGTAATCTTAAAATATATTTTTTAAAAAAAACAATTATTCAATTTTTTTTTCAGACAGACTCCACGACCATTTCCTTGAATTATCAAACAGTATGATTAGAAATAAATGTTCAAATTGGAAAATACTTTAATGTCTTATAACAATTGCGTCAAAAACTATTCAAAAACAATCGAACCAAGGAAAATTTACCTTTGAAATAAGTATTATAACATAAACTTAAGACAAACGAAAAACTTGAGGCTTACCATCTAATTCGATGAGCATAAAAAAAGAGATTATCCGAACCACTGAACACTGAACTGATCTAGAAACTTTTTTCCGCACAACCGATATCTCCGAGTTTATAATTAGATAGAAAGTTTAATGGATGTTATTAAAAATTAAAACTACACTTTTAGAAGAATATTTCGGTCATAAAAAGAAAAAAACAACGTAAACCGAGCTTAATCAACCGAGGAAAGAAAAGGGCGGCATGTTATCAGGGCTACCAACATCACTTGTTAAAAAAAAAAAAGCTCTACAGAATGTGAGCAATAGAACAATATATCTGTGACCACCAGGGGATCCAGGATTTAATTTTGGGGGGGGGCTTCAGCCCGAAAGATGTTTTTTTCATAAAAATAACGACATTTACTTTGGAAAAACAGAAAGAAACTAACTATCTATATGAAATGATGTTTAAGTGATTCCTTAAGTCCTTTTAAATGTAATTAAACCAACAATAATACTTTAAGAGGTATGTTTTAATTTTTTTCCCCCATAAAACGTGGTTATGTTTTACCATTTTGGGGGGGGCTTCAGCCCGAAAGCCCCCCCGTAGATCCGCCCGTGTCTGTGACAGATCTTTGTAACTTCTTTTTTTTTAATTTTTAACAAGCGACGAGCTCATCTTTACCAGCTCAGTGCTCTGGTTGTCTGACCATAACTTTGACAATTGACAATTGACAACACCTATGTTTTGTGCTAAGAGCCTATAAAGAGCAGCAATGCTCAATCAATACTTGAAATTAAGCTGGTTACAAGCACTCTATCTCAAAAAATAATAATAAATTTACAAGAGATTTTGTCAAAAAATCTTTTTATATATCGGTCTAAAAACAAAATTTTTTTTAATAAAATGAAATGGTCCATTCTTTTTAGACCATTTTGTGTTTCTGGGTAATTATTACACAGCTGCCTTCCTAGATAAATGTAGAAACATTAGAATTAATTTAAATCAATTTATTTCTAATACAAATACTTTATAATCTAGTTTAATATGAAATAAAACATGAATAGTGACCTGGTGGCGCAAAAGATTTGTTCATTAAATTTTGTCTTACAGGAGCAAATAAAATTTCTGATAATTTAACTTAATATTATAATGATTTAATTTATTTTTAATTTTTTTCTTGAATTTCATTTGTTATAGTTTTGTTTTCCTATTACTTTTTTAGATCCCATAATCATAATCTATAACTTTTTGTCTCATCATATCAAAACTGAACTTACCAATTTATCTTTCATTTTTATTAACAATTATCTGTATGTACTTGGAATGAAATATTACTCACTAATACTAAATGATCTCAATTAAGCCAAGTTTCATACAAATACCATCATCCTTAAAATCAATTTTATAATTCCCCTGAAATAATTATAATTTTAGTTCCAAAATTAACCATTAATAAACTACTTAACATGTAGCTAATTGAAAATAATCAATTTCTTATGCCAGTTATATTAAAACATTCCGAAATAATGAAATATCTAGAGATCAATATAGATTCGAACATAAACACTGTTATAAAAAAATTTAGTCTTAAATATAGAGTATTGAAAGATAACCAAACAAAACTAGAGCTTTATTGTTTTGTTTTTTTATTGTCATGGAAGCAGATTGCTTTTTAAATAAAGGAGAAAGGTAATATAGCTGCAGAAGAAAGAAGAAAAGTATTCCTACAATAAAATATCAACCTGACCTTTCCACCCAAAGACCTTGAAGTAGGATCTTGACCCTACTTAATCCAACTGGTGTCATCTTCCTATAGAATATGCCGCAAATGAATGAAGAGTTAAAAAAAGATAAGTTGAACTAAACAAGTTTTCCATTAAATTAAAAACAAAAAAAGTGTAAGCAATTTGAGGGAAAAAAATATTGATTTCGTTTACAGGTGTGCTTCTTAAACAACTTGTTAACTGTATGATAATCCATTCAGTTTGGATTTGTAATTTTCTTCTACAAAAATTATATTTAAATTTTCAAAAACATCAATGAATCCTTTGTAAAAAGTTATATACACTTAAAAACAATAAGTCATATAGAACAATGTAAAATTTTCTGTATCACTAGAATTTATATCTTTTGAATACTCTATTCTATTCCTTTCTAATATTTATTGATTTCTATTTATTTATTTCCCTCATTTTTATCTATTTATTTCTATATCCTTATTAAATATCTTGCGACTCCTACAATTTTTCATATCTTGTTCGTTCCAGTCCTGCAGTTGGGTCGAAAAATTGGTTTAAAATAGAATATTTTTTTACTGTTTTAAGTATTTTTAATGACTGCCACCCCTGGACCATCTCTTTTCTCAAAAAGTTATTGAGTTGTAAGTGAAAATTTTGCAATTTTATGTTCTTCCACAATTTATCCATCATAAATATGTGCTCCATGAATTTCTGTATGATTTAATCCAGTATAATTGCGAGATTATAAAATAGATGTTTTGTTTTTTTATGCAGCTTAATAAATTCTAGAGATAACTTCCAAATAATTACCATGGGCATGAATGGTACGTATTTCACATAAGTTTAGAACTATTTCCATGTTTAATTTGATCATGGCAAATAATTCGAAGCTAAAAAAAACAAAACTGAACAGTATGTATCTATAATGTTTCACAGTTTAATGATATAGCAATTAAGGAAAATAATAGGTCCTTTGGAATAGAGAATGATAATAGAACGATGTTTTTTTAAATCATTTTATAGGTCTCAGGAATTAACCCATATCAGGGTAGTGAAACCATTTGAGTGGTCTCATATCAAAGTCGGACATCTGCCATTTTTAAAAAGTTGAAAAAAAGCTAATTTTTGTAACATAGCTTCAATTGAATCTAATTGTAATGACTTATTTTTTTGTTTATATTTTTAAGAAAAACTTATATTATTTTTCTGTAGCATAATATTTTACAATTTTTTTTTCTAATCTATATATAAACTAACAAGTTTTTGTGAAAATTATTTACAATTGATTTTTAAGCAAAACGAAGACTTTAGCACCTTAACTGTAGTCCATTTGGTGTAACTTGGAATTTTGTCCACTATTATAAGAGAATACCCAGAAAAAGAGAACAATAATAGAAACCAATAAGAAGCTTATTCCAAAAAGATAAGAAAGAACGATATCAACCTGATTCACCTCTTCCATTGCATATTATATCCCCTAACAATAGTGATATGAGTCCCAAATAACTACGTAAAAATGATTACTTTGAAAATGAATAAATAATATGAATTTGCACATCAGTCTTTAGAACTTCATTGAACAATACTGATAGCACATAGAAAATGACTACTGTAGAATAGATAATAGAACAGAATTTGGTTGAATAAAATTTGTTTTAAAAAAATAAAATAAATTTATTACAAATAATTTAACAATTGTTGTACTGTATGTATATACTCCTTCTTATCGTTGATACTAGAATCCAACTGAAAAAAAAACCCATCAATCTTATTAGAGAAAAAGAACTCAACCGTGAAGATATATTGTTTTAATATTTAATACAATACCTTATAAATTGGAAAACCTTCAATATTTGATTTTATCTCTAGCTGGTTGGGGCAAATTGTCATAAGATGAACCCATATTATATCAGAATAAACTTTGCTCAGCACTTTGTACATATTTACACAAGCCTCCTAAACAATAAATACAGTATAAACAAATAAAATCAAGTAAATAATATTTGATAAAAATTTTAATCCTCACCTGAAGAGGTAATGGCTGTTTTATACTCAAATATGGCGTTGTCGACAACAGTAAACTATGGACATCCTTTGGGGCTAATTCCAAGTTCAAGGAAACTTGACCTAGGTTGGACAGAAGCAACAGCTGTAGCTTATAAGTTTGCGTTAAAGTATAGGCTCCAGCTGGGCTTTTATTTTTGCTTTCCTTACTACTATCTTTAAGAACATGATTCAAAGAAGGCAGAACATCCCTTAAAAATAGAAATAAAATATTTCAAATCAATACAACAAATTAAAAATATAATTAATTTTCTATTAAAATTTTATTTTAAATAAATTCTAAGAAAACTAATATTGATTTTTCCCACTTTATTGGGAAAATATTGATATTTGAAAAGTTTAACAGATTAAACTTTTAAAGTATTCTACTTTTTTAATTACCGAACTACAAATTTAACTTCAAAATTAATAGTAACAGAAAAAAAGAGACAGTGATCTCAGAAACTATTAAAGCATAAAACACTTCAATAATACTAATAGAATTAAAAATTGTGATCAATTTGTAAGTCTGATATTTAAAGTAAAGTATTATATACATTAATAAGAAAGAAAGTAATCTCCAATAAAGTGTAAACACCATACAAGAACTTTAAAGAACAAAATAAAAAGAAAAACAAATAAAATATTTCAGAAATATTATATCAAAATAATAATGGTCAAAAACATGAAAACAACAAGATAAAGAGATTCTAAAAAAAAAACATTTTTTTTAAACGATTTATGACCTTTATAGAAAATTTTTAGTTAATGTAATTATATAAACCTCACTTCAATGTTCGAGCTCTAATGAAGTCTTTTGAGTACTTAGCAAGAGATATCAAAAGAGAAAAAGCTCTCTGGAGAAGAAGTGGATGATTTGAGGATTTGAACCTTTCAACTAACGGTGACCAAATCTTATGAACAACAGGCAGAAGTTCGTCCTTCCAACTTGATAATATATAAACTCCTTTATTCAGTATCTACACATATTAACATAAATTTAAAAAATGAAGTTTAATAGAAAAAAAAACTTATTAAAATATATTGTAAATTATACAATATTAACCTGCAAACACAAAATTTGTCGTGATAAATCGTTTCCGGGAAGAAAATGAAGACTCCTGTTTAAAACATCCACTGTCATTTTAATATGATCAGGAAGAGGAGGTTTTTCTGGCTCTTTTTCATATTCTTCTTCTTCTTGCATCAATTGCCTGTACTTAAAAAAAATTGAATTAAACATTTATTTCTATAATAAAATATAAAACTCAGATAATTTTAAAAACAGATACAGGGTGTTCCATAAGTAGAAGGAAATATTTAAAGGGTGATAATAGACATCAAGATATACAGAAAAGTATGTATAAAGAATAGCCCAATTTCCAGCAGAAAAGTAGGAAATTTAAGATTTGTGTTTTTCTAAGCGAGTCACGTTTTCCTCTAAATAGGAAGCGATAACATAAAAAATATTTAATTAAAGTAATTAAACATTACTTCATAGTAAACTGGACAAAATTTACTTTAAGCAAAAGTAGAGTTTGTCATTGTTAAAAATATTTAAAGAGAACTATTGAGCAGACAAACACAGCTAAGTTCCGGTTAAAAAATATATATATATATTTGTGATTCTTTTTATAACCCTTTAACTGTACTACATTAACTACATTTTTAGAAAATGTAGCTTCCTAGTTTAATAAGCTTTAAATCCATATTAAATAAGTTTAGGTTTATTAGGAAAAATTTTGAGATTCACCTCAGGTTGTGTTAAGAAATGTTGTGATTTTTTTTCCGGTTAACTTAAAATACCCATGTTTTCTGTAAAAATGAATAAAATTTCAATAAACATGATTGCTTAGAAACACATTTTATTTATGGAAATAATAAATTTAAAAATAGTGCTTTTCCAAATATTTTTCATATAGGGTGGTTATGAAATTGTGTTTTTCTCCTAGATCTCTATCATAGGAATTGATAAGTATTTATCAGTGACAAAGTTAATGTTTCTGACTAAAATTTATGTTTAAAATAAAGAAACATACTGATTGATTCAATTATTTTCATGAAAACGTAAATATTAGGGCTAGAAACGTTAATTTTGTCGCTTATAAATACACACCAATTCCTATGACAGAAATTTGGGAGAAAAACATAATTTCATAACCACATTATATGAAAAATATATGAAAAAGAATTATTTTTATAAATAAAATGTGTTTTTAGACAATCGTGTTTATTACAATACATCCACACATTATTACAATACACACTAAAAGCTTTGCAACAGTTAATTGTAGTAATTTTTACAGAAAACACAGGTACGTTTAGGTGACTGGATAGAAAATCACATAATTTCTTTACACAACTTGAGATGAATCTCAAACTTTTTCATAATAAACCTTAACTAAATTAATATGGACTAAAAGTTGATTCAACGAGGAAGTTTTTCTAAAAGTGGGGTAACTGCAGTACAGTTGTAAGATGATAAAAAAAAAATCAAATTATTTATGACTTTTTTTTACTTTGAACAGAACTTAGTTTTTCTGTCCGCTCAATAGTACTCTTCAAATAGTTTTAACAATGGCAAACTCTACTTTCGTTTAAAGTAAATTTTGTCAAATATTTTTTATGTTATCGCTTACTGTTCAACAAAAAACATGATCAATTTAAAAAAAAAAAATCTTGATTTTCCTACTTTTCTGCAGGAAATTGGGCAATTCTTAATATAAACTTTTGTGTAAATCTTGCTGTCTACTATCACCCTTTTATATATTTCCTTCTACTTATGGGACACCCTTTATAAGGGCACAGTCGTAACAACTGTGTTGTATGTTAATACGAATATGGTATATAGAATCAAAGATAAAACTCAATCTTTAGAACCATAAAGCAATAAACTAATTAGATGAAAGGTAATTTTTTCTGATACCACAAGTATACGGGCCGATATAGTTTCTACATAACGCTACTGTGCAAAAGGTCTTATGTAACAATTTTACATATTTATTCTCTTTGAATTTTAATCTTTGAATAAATTCTCTTGTGAAATTTTGAAATCTGCAACTGCTATAAGTAGTCTCCTAAATAGGAAAATAGCAGATACAAATACAAAATTAAACTATACTAATAAATCATAAAGAAATAATCATTTTTTCTCTTCAGTAAAAAAATTCAATTTTTACATACAACCTTTTGCACTAATAGTAGTAATAAATTATCTAGTAATATTCAAAATAATTTTTAAAAAGTTTGGATTTCTAATAAATTAAATAGTTACTCATAATTTTCACTTTTACAAAGAATTTGAAGTAACGGGATAATTTTTTGCAAAATTAATTAATAAATGAGACTGTATTTATTAAATAATAATACTTGAAGGAAGTTAGTCGACTGTTCTACATATCATGGGTGATAAATATTCAGGACGCAGTCTTTTTTAAAATGTTTATTTTTGCCAACGTTTCAACCCAAACATGAGGGTCATCTTCAGGGCTGAAAATTTTTTTTAAAAATTACAATCACAGATATAATAGTATACGACCGCTAATTATAAATAATAAACTACAGTGATTGATGGCACATGAATCTTAACTAATATTGTAATATGTAATATTGTTATATTGGCGATGGGTAATTGCCTTGCACCAGACCTCTCTAGTATTGTTCTTAACAATCTCATTGATTCAATACTACCTAAATTTCCTAAGGATATATTTTTCATTAAAAAATATGTTGACGACCTTTTATTAATCCTCAACCCCCACGCTATTCCAAACATACTTTCTGCATTCAACTCATACCACCCTCGATTCCGTTTTATCATTGAAATAGAATCAAATAATTCCCTCCCATTTCTTGACCTCCTCATTTCCAGAAATAATGATAACACCTTATCCACTAATTGGTGCACCAAACCTACCTACTCAGGCCGTCTCCTAAACTATTTTTCGCAACACCCTTACCACCAAAAATCAGTGTAGCAAAAAACCTGATACACCGCAGTTTAACATTAACCGATCCACAATTCCACGATAACAACTTAACCAAACTACACAAGATCCTGAAATCCAACGCTTTTCCTGATCACATTATAAAAAATTTGATCAAAAATCAATCAAAACCCCATCTTCACCAGTCTCCCACAAACTGCTCTCAGTCCCACACCACGATTCGCCAATATAGATCCATTCCATACATCTCTGTCCTATCTCAAAAAATCAAAAAAGCTATAACTTCCAAATTTCCCCATCTACAAATAGTTTTCAAAAATAACAATAAACTAAGAAATCTATACACCAAACTCAAAGACCCTGTTCCGCTCCTACAATAATCAAATATTGTATACCATATCACATGCTCTAGCCCAAACTGCAATTCTTTTTATATAGGAGAAACCAAAAACTATTTAAAAAAACGAATCTATCAACACAAATATAGCATCTCCACACGAAACCCGTTTGCCTCAAAACTAGCGGAACACACCATAACCCTAAACCACAAATTTGATTTCGAAAACCCAACCATACTCGCCACAGTTCCTAATCACCAAAAACGACTACTATTGAAATCTATATTCATTAATTTGGAAAAAAATAATCCGGTAAACTATAAAGTAGACAAAGAAAAGATCTGCAATACATATTCAAATATTTTCCGCCTCCTGAAACAATAGCCTATGTAATCCTTAATATAACACAAACTTATATTATGATAAATATTGTATAATATGTTGTCCTAAGTATCATTTGCACAAATTGAAAATGTCTTTATTATAAAAATTATTCATCTAACCCTTGTATACTTGCTATCAAACTAAGCTATATTTATATTAATTGGCACCTTTTGCTTATGTTCATTTTAATACTAGTCAATAGTCACATTTCTGATACCATATGAAATAACTCAAATATTGTACACGTCTGAAATATTTGTCAGCAAATTATGTATATTCTACAAACAACAAATGTTACCCTCCCTTCCCCTCTAACCTTGTTTACTTACCTTTTGCTATCTGAAAAAGGACAAGTGGGAAATCCTCTCCCCTCTCCCTCACCTTTTTACTTACCTACCAAACATGTGTACATGAACAACCTCAGTGCTCAAACCACAGTTAGTAAGAGAAAATATTGCAAATTTATATAAATGGATTATATACATTATTTTTTATTTTTAGTTTGTATAACTATTTTAATATGTGTATTACAATATTAGTTAAGATTCATGTGCCATCAATCACTATAGTTTTTTATTTATAATTAGCAGTCGTATACTATTATATCTCTGATTGTGATTTTTAAAAAAACATTTTCAGCCCTGAAGATGACCCATATGTTTGGGTTGAAACGTTGGCAAAAATAAAAATTTTAAAAAAGACTGCATCCTGAATATTTATCACCCATGTTAAATAATAATAGTTCTAAACTTACCCAACATTATCTGGTTCAGAGACCTCTTCATTTGAAACATTTGCAGCAGCAAGAGTTTCATCATAATTCATAAGCTCCTTTAACCAAGATGTTTCATTTTGTGCTTTTGACTCTTCTGTCTCATCATTTGTTTTTAAATCTACTACACACCTCAGTACACAAGATAAATACGTCTCAAAAACATGTAAGAAGGCGTTTGCATTGATGTCTTGGAACCTATCACAGCTCTGTACTAAGACCTACAAAGTATAATTTTGTATAATAAAACCACATCTCGCTAAATTACACCTTAGTTAATTAATTTATCGTGAAGGAAAAAAGTTGTAGTTAAAATTCTTAAATCTTCTTTTATACAATTTATATGATTTTGACTATATGAGATGAAATCTTCTCTAATTAAATAGAAAAAAAATCATAAATATTAACAACCTTTAACAATAAAATAAATTTACAATTAAAATATTCATACATACATCATTAATGATATCATGGAGGGAAGTTAGCATATCCAACGTAGTATATTCCATTATGACAGATAGGACTGACAGCACCCTTGGATTTCGATAAGCATATCTAAGCTTAAGGGTGATGTGGTGAGAAAGATAATCAACGTTTTTGGAGATAAGCGTACTAACACTTTCATTATATACAGATGAAAATTTGTGAACAGCAAAACGACCTGGAAAATATTCATATTTCTAAAATTTTATAGCATTCAATTCAATCGAGCTCGCAAAAATCACTAATGAAAAAAAAGTTTAACCACTTATTGTCAGCCCTGAACAGCGAGACCATGAGATACTAAGTTAAACTAACACTTCTAAATTTATGAATTTCAATTTATTAAGTAACTTTTGTTTTCATTCAATTTTTTTCCCTACAAATTTTTATATGCATGTTGAAATGAAGAGAAGAATGTCATTCATAGTTTAACTGTCAGTCATAAAAATCGAATACGTGGAGCAGAAAGTTTCTTTCTTTCCCTCAGACTTTTCACGTTGCCATATTCTTGTAGGCAAGCTATAGTATTGTTACTGGAATAAGGTAACTAGGTATACCCAGAATAAATAAGACATTACAGAGGTAACAGTGGTCACTTTATTTGCCATCCCACCCTCTGTAATAAGCAATAATGGTTTTTACAGCAGTAGAATGTTACTCATGCCATCAAACTTAGAAAAAAATATAAATCCAAAATAGGTGAATTATTTATTTGTAAACAAAACCATAATCTCTATACTGACCATCTTAACTCCGATATATATATATATTCCATAAGGCAAGAAAAATTTATAAAATAAAAAAAAAAACTTTTACCAATGATTTAAACTATGAATTTTCTAAATAAATCAACATTATGTGAAACGATGACATATAATTTCATATATTATCATAGGACATTACAATAAATCATTAAGAAAAATAAAGAAATTGAAATTTAAGCCATGAAGTGACAAAGATTACAATAAACAAGACTATTAGTAATTAAATGTAATACCAACCAGCAGAGGCAATAATGCTTATGTGGCTACCAGCACATTCTAAAACTGGATAAAAACATTGGAATAAAAGAGGTAAAAAGTTCTCATGACCAGCAGCAACAGCAAGGCACCCAACTGCATCAGCTAATAAACATATCTGAAATAATTGTAACAAATATATTTATAAACAGTTGATGGATGGAAATTTAAAAATTTTATCTTAAATTAATACCTGCACAATATTTTCTTGGATTGTTTGTTTTGTGTCTCCATCATTATTGAAATTAATAGAGGCATTCCATAGAGAAGGCTCCATCAAGGCAACAATTACGTCTCTCAAAAGAGTTGAATAAGGGTTAAAATCATCAGGATTCGCTGTAATGATTCAACAATTTATTTTTTATCGATGAAATAAAATTAACAGATACTAAAATAAACAAAAAATGAAATAATTAATCAAAAGAGGTCATGGTAGAGGAATATGTTGAGAAGAGCATTTTCCAGATAGAAGTGGTACGAATTTGAATCTGGCCTTAGCAGAAAACTTCATAGATTCATGATGGAAACACAGAATAACAAACTTTAAATTAAAACTCAATTACTTTCAATTCTAAATAAAATATTGGGCCTGAATTTAAAAGCCTATTATAATAATACAGCAAACTTTAAAATATTTTATAAAATAAATAATTTTTCAAGATAGTTTTTTTTTTTTTATATACAGTAGAAATATTTTACCTGAAGAGACCAAATTCACAAGCAGCAGTGTTATTTCTTTTCTCTGACCTATATTTGAGTTAAATTCATCCAATAAACTGCTAATTAATACTTCTTTATCACATAATTTAATGACTTTGGCACACAACCTCGAAACACCAGAAACGCACTTATCAGTTTCGCAATACCTCAGACATCTCCATTTACATTCATTAGAAATTGGTAATATGTTTATGTCTAAAAATTAATTTCAATATTACAACAAAAAACATTTAAGATAAGCAAAGAAATGTACATCAAATATTAAAAAGTAAACAAAAATGTTGCAGCTTACCCCGAATAGATAATTCTTCCATAAGAGTAACATTCCTGCAATCTGGAGTGTTACAAACAAGAAGACAGTGTAAGAATCTGTTATAATGCTGAACAGAGCTTAGAACAGCTGGCAAATGTTTTTGGCCTAATACATCCAAATACCCACAAAACAGCATCAAACTAGTTTCCTTAAGTGTCACATCTAAAAAAAATTAATTCATTCATAATTAATATGAGATTTAAAAAAGTCATGTAAATTAATTTATTTAATCAAATCACTAAAATAATCTTGAACACAGGCCAGATAGAATACTTTCACTTCAAAAATTGTACTTATATAACAAAACAGGTAAAAGGTATCTACACAAAAAAAAAGAATCAAATTAATTTTATATTTCATATATAAGACTCATTGAATGATTACCATTTCCATGCAAAATTCGTGGAAGCCTAGTCAGAAGTGAGAAAAAATTCTCTTCAACGATCTCAACAAATGATTTCACATTAGAATCTTCACATTTTTGGCATAAACGTGATATGTAATTGTTACTCTGATCAGCAACAGAACATTCATCATCCTGAGATAATATGGCCAATACTTCCACCAAATGACCAACAGATCTTGGAAAGTTTCTATATTTGCATAAAAAAAAAAGGAATAAAAAAGTTTAAATTTTTATTCATGAGAATAAAACAGAAAACTCGATACATTGCTAATATACCTTTAATAATATAAATATTTTATTTTTGCCTCTAGGGCAACAGATATTGCCTTTGGTCATGTGATTTACTCTTTTTAAAAATATTCCTAATTTCTGGGAGAGCCAAGAAAAGTTTAAGGGGATCACCCAGCCTTGCCTTTTTATAAGCAATGATTGTCCAAGCAATGGCTAAATTTGGTTTGCTAACTAGTGCCAATTGGGGAAATTCAACAGTGCAAATACTAAAATATTCACTATACTTAATCCAATGATAAACAGACCAGCATTAGGATATTCATTAGAGGAGACCAGATAGGTGACTAATTAAAATATTAGATATATAAAGTTCTGGCTTTAGAGCCGAGCAGCCCAGGCAAATATCCTGGGGTACCTATCTGGAGGGGGACACCCACCACTTGTTATGAATAAAAAATATATGAGAATAAATAATTTTAGCCTATTAACAAATTTAATGAATAAGAGACATGTTTAATTAATAAGTGGGTGGTGTGGCCGAATGGGCTAAGGCGTGTGCACTGCACCGCTGTTGCCCGGCAACCTGATACATAAGACTTTGATAAAAAAAAATAGTCACGAGTTTGCGTCCCGGTACCCGGAGTTTTTAAATCCCCGCCCACACTCCCTGGCCCGGGAAAATCCCCGTATAGCCTTGAAGGGGAGGAAGAAAAAAAAAAAGTTTTATTAATAAATTAGTTTTATGTAATATGTAGACTGTATATATTATTCTTGAAATATAGAAAAATTTCCTTTAATTCAGTCTCAATTTTCTTTTATCCTTACAAGGAGCTTGCACCTGTGCATAAGTTCATTGCAACATATTCAGCTAATTATAATCTGTATCCACCAACTTGGATGCCGTTGTTCTTTCAATTTTTTTTTTTCCTTTCCAATCATTCCTTGATTGTCATAATATTTTTTTTAAATATATTATTGAAGTAGAGGGAGCCTTTTCTATCCTAATTCTAAGGATGGAAAAGGTCCTCTCTCCTCCAACAATATGTTTTTAATTAAAAGTAAGACAATCAATGAATTGGGGAGAAAAATTGAAAGAACAACATCCAAGTGGTTGGATACAGATTAATATGGTGCAATGCACTGATAGCTTCTTGTAATGATAAAATAAAATAGAGACTGAATTAAAGGGTATTTTTCTATATTTCATAAATTAATTTTTTTGGAGGGAGGTGATATCATTGCCCTATATATCTAAGCCCTAAATATCTAAGGCAAGCACTGGGTAAATATCTTGATAAAATGATTATTGGAACTTGAAAAGCATTTCTGAAGGTAATAGAAATCATTTCTTTCCACATGGCAAAACTTATTATTAACTAAGATTTTGTTTACGCGAAATGCTTTTATTCTGACACAAGATGATTTCACAATGCTCTATCATGATGATTTATTTTTAAAAAAGGAGGAAAAAAAAGTTATTCAAAACAATGAAATCAAATGCAATTGAGACAATAACAAAACTGAATTTGGTAGTAATAGAAGTGAAATGATGGGTAAATGCTGCTTCCATAATAAATATATCAAAATATAATAGCAGCGAAGCAACCCATATTATAGACTGCCGATAGTGACAAAGCATGTTGGAGGGGGAAGGAGGGGAGAGGTCTGAAACTGGTACTCTGAAAAAAATTTAAGAATGCTTCTGAGAAATAAAAGATAGTGAGAAACAAAATTCATTACATTTCAAACTAAAATGTCATTTACAAATTAATAAAAAAATAATAATAAATATTTAAGGTTTCATAGCTGATGGAAAGTTCGTCAAAAAGCACAGACGAATTGAACTATATCATGACATTTTATTCTATTTTAACGGTGTATTGTTATAAAATATACAATAGAAAAGATAGCTCCATTTAAAGTTCAAAGGATCATCCTATTATTAATAATTTAAATTAACCAATAAGAATTTGACACAATAATATTACAAGATTTTATACTTACTTTCCACAATGCTGTAGAATCAAATAGGCACTTGAAGCAAGTTCGTAGCGAACTTTCCAATGTTGATGACTGTGAATTTTGACAACTGATTCAGTCATGGCCATCAAATGTTCATCAGTATCTTCTAACCATTTTGAATCCCTCTTAGTGTTCATAAGTCTATTTAAAAATTCTTCGCGTTCACTTAAATCTTTATTTTTAAAACTGATTTCATCATTATTTATTATATTTTTTGAATGAACAAATTCTTCATTGGGAGTTTCTTCAGCAACAAGTGTTAAAACATGGCTCCATAAATGCAAGGCAAGCTATGTAAAAAGTTAAAAGTAATATGGTCTATAATAATCAATAGAAAAAAAAAGAAAAATTAATGATAATATCAGCAATTAAAACTAACAATAACTAATTATACTAAACTTACCACAATGACTTTATGATTTTGAGTTTCTCCACTATTGATTATTTCTAAGCAAGTAGACATTAAACCAGGGAGCATCAAAATCACAATATCAGAAACCTGAGCTTTGTAATTCTCATTGTTTAGATAAGTGCTGTTTATTTGAGTCAAATGCTTAAGACATTCCAAAGCCTCGATTCTAAATTATATAACCAATTATAAATAATTATCACACAAAATAGAAGCACATTTCTTTTGAAACAAATAATTATGTAATAAATGAGAAATTACTGAGAAAAATATCTTACTTAAGATTTATATATTTTTCAACTTTTGCTATTGATGTGCAAACAAAAACACCAGCACTCAATTTTGAATAGTAAATTCTTGTAAAAAATTGTTTTAAAACATCATATGAACTAGATCTTATCAATAGCGTTAAACACTGCAAAACTAAAAGTTTCAATTCTTCTGAAGTGGTTTGTACTGGAAAAAAAGGATTAACAGCAATTAAATATTAGGAAATTTTATGAGCTAAATATCATAAGAGACAGTATTAATAAAAATGAAAATATATGTGGTATTACTGAAAGTAATGGATGCCTTAAATAAAAAAATTCAAGTAATTCAAGGATGTTAATGATTTTTATCAAGAAAACTAAAGACATATTATTTGAAACTTTAAAATATTATCTTCCAATCAAAAACACAAATAGAAATCAGTTGGTAAAAGCTTATTAAAAATAATTAAGTACTTGTGACTTAGCCAGTCGCCACAGAACTTACCTTCTTATCTCGTGCAACCTGTTCTTTTCACTCATCTCTGCTTAGTTATTTGTGCGTTATTCATTGTTTTCAGTTTGTTTTAGTTAACTTCAATATCTTCTGTGTTTAGAAGAAGAAGATGTGAAATACTTTCAGAGATTCCAAAGATTAAATTTTGTGAAGATCATCAAATGGAGTTTGACAAAAAGGGAGATATTTTTGTCAAAATTGAAGGAAAAATATTTTTATAAGAAAAGGAACGTGGTTAGATGGGTCAAGAATTACCTTTTTAACAAGTTTATTTATCGGTTATCTCATAATTTAACAATTGAAAAGGGCAAAGAGCAGCTGAAACTATCAAATAGAAGTGTGAACAGATTTTTTGTGTCCATAACATGTTATACAGGTCAATTTTTTTTTCTTTTCTGTTTTTTTTTTTTTTTTTGCTTCCTCCCCTTCCTCGCCGTTAAGGCTATATGGGGTTTTGGCGGGGTGTGGGCAGGAATTCAAAACCACGGAGGACTCTCTCGGCACCGGGACGCGAACTCGTGACTGTGTTTATACTACTTTAATCATATATCAGGTTGCCAGGCAACCACAGTGCTGTGCACAGGTGTTAGCTCATTCAGCCACCCCGCCCACCTTATACAGATCAACTAAAAAAAAAAATTTGAGGGTCTGGAAAAATCATTGAACTAGACGAAAGTCTTTTTTTCTAAAAGAAAAAATCATGTAGGGAGAGTGCTCCCTGAAAAATGGATGTATGGCAGCGTTTGTCCAGACTGACAAGTGTTTCATTGTAAAAATAAAAGATAGAAAAGCAACAACCCTATTATAGTTTATCAAAAATGTTGTAAAATAAAAATGTCTTGTTATTATTACATTTCTTTATGTATATTCCAACTTAAATAAATATGAATAAGAAGGTAGGTATTATCATTATCAGTGTTCAGGTTATAAACAATGGCGGATAGGAGTCTGTGGTGACCGGCTAACTCACAAGTACCAATAATTATTACGTTAAATAACCATGATACATGGAATTAAGAACTATGCTTTTTTTTAATATTGATAAAACCAGATATACAGATTCAAATGTTTTGAAATTTGCGTACTTTGATGAAAAGGAGGTTCATAGAATATGAGCCATTCTCAAATTAAATTTATTTTTGTTGGAGATTTAGAAAATCAGAAAAATAAAATTATTGAAAGCTTGCCTTAAAATAGTAACATCAGGGGAATGTCTAGCACATTTTTCAGTTAAACAAGTATCATGTAATAAAAATTGTTTTGTTTTTTTCAATTTTCTACAATGACTATTTCACTGATGTAACACACTATTAGAAAAGTTGGTGATTTTCTTCATTAATTTTGCATTATTAATGAAATACTTTTTTCTTAGTCAGGAAAAGTTTTATGTCATGCATTTTCTTTTTTCCTCACGCATCTTCAAATTATTTCTCTTTTTTACTCTATATTTTTTCACACTTTCACATGTGGTCATGGTCAGAGCCAATTAAAAAATTTTGAACAGACATTAATTAAGCATTAATTCATGGTTGATTTTATTTTTAATGATCATTAGTGATTAGTAGTGATAAAAATAATTAAACCATGTTTTAAAATTATACAGCAATAATTAAACGTTTTAGATATCTTTTACTAAATAGTGAGTTTCCATAATTTAAAAATCTTCAAAATTTCAAAACATCTGTTTATTCATTTGTCATTTTCAATTTATCGTACGGATTGTCCATTTTCAAGAAAAACTCCCCTTTTTGTTTTTAAATATGTAAAATATCTCTTCCTTATAGAATCATTGTCAAGTAAATGATTAAAGTCAAATCATAAAACAGATTGTTTATTTGTCCTTTATTTTAAAACTTATCATAATTATAGAAAATTATACATTGGCTTAATTCTAATTAAAGCAACCTGCGTGACTTCATTACATTTGGATGTAGCTTCATTTTATCTTTTCATATTTTTTTGAGCAAGTATTACATTAAAATGTCAATCACCTTGAAATAAACTGAATACCACTTAATGGCTGAAAAAATACTGCCTCACTGGTAACTATCAAACTGACATTTTATTTGAGAATATCACATATATAATCAAGTAATAAAAGGAAAACTCTTTTAATTTACTAAAGGGTGTCATTTAATATATTTAATTTAATATATGCCCAACCTTACAACTTGATTATTTTAATCTCAAAATATACTGCCTCACTTTTGCTATTCAACATAGTAAAAAGTAGTTTTTATGGTTTAATAACTAACCATTTGAAGACACAGTAATGTTGTCAAAAAGAGTTAGTATAAACCTTGTATAAACAGGAACAAGATTTTTTAAATTTTCTTAATTAGTTTAAAATTAAATCCATTGAATTAATAATTCCAACCATTTATTATATGTTGTTGAATAATTTTATTATCATCTTTATTGCTTCGACAATGTTTTTCTATTAGAAACATTTTCTATGAACCAGTATTTTGATCTAGACCTCAATCAAAAAATATAAGGGTACTATACATAAGTCACGTCTGGCTGAATGGTGGGTCTTGATTGCATCGATCACACTGGGAGTAATAGAATAGGTCCATATCAGGTGATAAAACTGCATACCTTAGAAATATATAATGGAAGGTATTTGATAATATATTGAAAAGGATCCATCTCCACTGACATAGACCCTGGATTGGGTAATCCTGCCCTTAATTGAAAAGGGGCTTTGTTTATACCTGGTGTCAATAATGAGCACATCCGTGAACATAATTTTTCAAAACTTGTCTACTTTCAGAATTTAATCTATAGAATGGTCGGTGTGATCTTGATTGAACTCTCAATTAGATGTGTTATTTGTAAACTAGTACTGATTAAAGTAATTTCTTCATAACATGTAAGTTTTCTAGTATTAACACTAGAAAAATTTATCCAACAAAAAGTGTTAGAAAACAAAGTATTAAGAGTATTTAATCAAATTACCTTCAAACAAGTTATTAATCTGAGAAATAAGCAGGTAATATAACTTAAGAAATGTATCAAGGGAAGATATAGTTAAAATTTTCAACAACTTCAAAAGCTGACTTAAAAGCATACAGGCAGTTTCATCCCTAAAATTAGAGAGAAAAGAAATTATTTCAACTCTACATTTCATCAAATAACTTTAAACATAAATAAAGACTTACTTATTCTTAGTCGAAAGGTGTACGCATATTGGATACCAAATATAAAAATCTAATTCCTTAACTATTGTTGAATCGATGCCTTTTAAAATAGAATGTAAATTTTCAAGTGATTTTTTTGAAGGATTTAATGCAACTTCATTACATGCTAGTTTAATAGATGGAAAAACATCTTTGATGAGATGACTCTGGTCTGTCATGATCATAAATTTAGTTTCGATTTTTTATCTAAGTTCTAATTCATGGTTCCAAAATAAAATAACTATTATAACATTCAAACCATCCATAGACTTCAAATTACCAGTAGCGCTGTGTTTAGCCATCAGTAACGAAACATCAATATTAATGAAATCTATAAGATTCTTGAAGAGAAGTACGAAATGTCTGAGAAATCAAAAATAATATCAGATCGGACACACACTTTATGCAGCTTAAGATAAAATATACATTATTCTAATTTGTTCTCATTGGTTGAGTATTACGGTAGTTATGGTGTAATGGGTTCCGTCGCTTATTAGAAACTTGGAAGTACTAGTTTGAATCCAAAACTTAATAATTTCAAAAATTCCAAGCACTTAGGCTCTACGCCTAAGAGACTATATCCTAAGACCGTTTTGATGTCTCTGGCGACAAAATCGTGAAAAATCAGTGATTACAGATCTATCTACAGGCAGTGACCTCTTCGTCGCCACTCCACGTCCACATAAGTTTTCCGATTTGTATATCCGCAATGTACCACAAGATTAGATAATATTGTATATGGTAAACGTCGATTAATGCTATCTCCGTTTTTCCGAGTGTAGTACACTGCACACAACGTACCACGGGCGGATCTACGGAGAGGGCTTTCGGGCTGAAGCCCTCCCCCAAAATGGAAAAATATAACCATGTTTTGTGGGAAATTTTTTTTTAAAAATACCTCTTAAAGTATTATTGTTCGTGTAATTACATTTAAAAGTACTTAAGGAATAGCTTAAACACCATTTCATATAGGTAGTTAGTTTCTTTCTGTTTTTCCAAAGTAATTATCGTTATTTTTATGAAAAAAAAGGTTTCGGGCTGAAGCCTCCCCCAAAATTAAATCCTGGATCCGCTAGTGCAACGTACAGAAGTTCATATAATACTGATATTAATGTTATACGCAGCACTCACTTCAGGATCAACTTTTCTAAGATGACTTATAGTTCAGGAATATTACCTGGGCACCCTGAGAGAATTTAAATAATCGGGGGCCAGTTGTTCCAAGCACCACGGGCCCTCGAGTGTTTGAGCTATACACCTACTTGGAGTATAGTCGAATCATAAAAAATAACATTAGCTTCGGGTTTGGACAGATTTTATGGAAACTATGAACTAGGAGAAAAAACGGAACATTAGCTGTCTGGAATGTTAGGACCGTTATAGTAAAGAAAACATAATTCATCTCTGAAATTCAATAATATAAAGTATATCTCCTGAATAGGCAGATATGTCCAAGCGTGTTGAAGAGTTTCCAGCTTTAATAGTCTTAGCGCCGCCGATTCGAACCCGACATAGGCAGGTTAAAATTTATTTCGTGGCTGCCATGCATAATAAGTCTCGACCTTCCCATTCCGATTAGAATAGAACAATCCCTCCCCCCCCCCTATGTCAAAAATAACGATTTCAAATAAGATGAGGCATTTTTTTATTTTCTCCTACGTATTGAATTAGAGCTTTAATATTGATACTGGCAGATATATTTCATACAGCCATCTTTTTTTTTGTCTGTTTAATATAAGAGAGGAAATTTTCCTTTCCGTGGGTCCACAACTGATCGGTACATGTAAATGGTTCGTGGAAAAAAAATCGTAGACGTTATAATCGACGCGGAATAGAAAGTGTTAATGACAACATACGTGTATTTCCAGATCTTATTGAACGTGAGGTTCGGTTCATTGTTGAAGAAACCTCCACATAAATGGAAATCTGCTCAAGGAAAATCCATTATCATAAATATGGTATGGAGACTATTTGTCTGCCTTCAAGTACCACTTGAACATCATTTCATATGGATATTTTTTTTTCTTTATCTTCCGGAGTAATTATCATTATTAAGAAAAAAAAATGGATCTGCTACTAACAATACAGTACTAATTAATAGTACTATCAGTTAATTGATATGTACCATTTTTGTACCTATATTGCCTAATGTCCTTCTAGACTGAAGATTCTTATTATCCTAAGGAAACATGAGTTCTAGAATAAAATTATTTTTTCTTTCATTCATCATCACAAGTGATGATACTTGAGTTCACTATTGAAGTCCAACAAAAAAGACGAGTAAGAAACAACGAAATAAGGATGAAAGCTACTCCTTTCTCAAAACTTGTTTCTACAGACGAAAAATTCTTGCAATTTCTACATTCTACATTAAATGGAAGTTATTGGGAGAAAGAGAGTAAAACACCAACTGAATATTGACAGGAATTAAGAAATGTTTAAAAGATGTAAAAAGGAAAAATATAAGAAAAGTTGTTTTTATTTAAATGGTGTTAAACTGTAAGGAGCTAATGGGAGAGCTAGTAGGAGATGATTTAAACCTCCAACAAGATGCACGCATTTTGTTTTGGACCAAAGAAATCAGTCTGAGATCAGTGATTTAATTGTGTAATTCGGTGAATTTGAAGAAAATCACAAATCTTCAAGTGTTCACCCAACCTATGAACTAATGGGATTCCAAAATAACAAGTCAATCTGAAAACATTAAATAATGATTTTAAACTTGGAACTATTCATTTATTTTAATTATAATGAATATTTAATAGTTGACCATTGCATTATAAAGGAAGGAGATGGTCCAGGGTGGCGGTCATGAACAGGCTAAATAGTAGCAAAACTATTTTATTAAAAGGCTTTTAATAAAATATATATATATATATATATATATATATATATATATATATATATATATATATATATATATATATATATATATATATGACTAAGAATTTAACAAGATTATTATAGACATTTTTTTTTATTGGTAATGGTCTTTTCTTTCCAAATATAAATGCACATAATATACATAAAAACTTGGCTAACATATTTCAGCTCGCATGATATATGAAAATCTAAATTTCAGATTTATTAAAATTTAATAGGCTATCGAGTATTCATATTTAAGAATTATTGTAGAAATCTATTTTTTGCTTAAATGATACAGCAAACTTTAGTCACATTTAGTAAGTTTTGTAAACATTTGTGGCCCACCATGAATTTTCAACACAGATTTTAATCTGTACTTAGTCACTGTATTTTGCAAACCTATCAAAGAATTATAACATATACTGTTTGTCAAATCAATCAAAACATATATTCATTACCCTCTGCTGTACTTTTTTTTTAAGAGAATGAAATGATGGATACCACAATTTTTAGGATTTATGTTCAATAAGAAAGAAATATAACTGTGTGAAATAATACAAAAATAAAGTTACTGATAGATATTAAACTTATTTTCGTTCAAAACATGCTGGATTTTAAATAAGAAAGAAATAATAGCATCAGGAGAAAAGAAAAACGGACATTTCAAATCAAAAGTTGAAAATGATATAGAGCATAAAACGTTACTATTAATATTTATTGATCTTTCCTTTCATTAATTCCAATATTGGTTTCTACACTAAAATATGTTCTCAAAAACTGAGGTAGGTAGGAACAACAAAAATAATTGGATTTAACACTCCACAATCACAAAGTAATTTCAGAACTCGAATCATGACATTCTATTTAATACTCTAGAAGGCTAAAAAAAAGAGAGAAAGGACTAATATAAACAAAACTGGACATATCAAGCATTTCTTTTCAGCAGCAGCACATTAACAAATTTGGATTTGTAATATTATCCAAACTGTACATTCACCAACATTTCAAATTAAAATTTAAAAGAAATTACATGATTCTTATGTAAGTTTTTTGTTGATTGTTTCTGTAAAATTCGATAGAGCATTGCACGTCTTTAGGATCATTACGTCCATAATACAGAATACACTGGCATTATGTAGAATTAAACCCTATGCTTTCTTGATAGAATATATGGAAAATCCCTTAATGTCATCATTTTGTTTTTATATCATAACACTATTTTTTTTTTTTTCTGTTGGCATTACAGACCATGTAGATCTTTTTCCGCCTTAACAAGCCTGCTTGCTCCATCTCTGCCTGTCTTGGCCTATTTCTTTCCATTTATATGCAAGCAGCTCTGTTTCATCTTTGTTATTTCTATCTAACCATCTGCTTTTGGTCTTCCACATGTTCTTTTTCCTTCTATTGAGGCATTCATTGTTATGTAGAGGGTTCCAGATGTTTTGGTATGAGTATCTTAACCTCTGTGCATTCATATCATGGGATATTGATTGACCAGTTTGTGTAAGCAGTTCTTTATTGGTTTTTCTTCTCCAGGTGTTAGTACTCTGATCCCATATTGCTCCAGTTATCGTATGGAGGATTTTCCTCTCAAATCTTTCAACACTTTTCTATTCGAGGGTGCTGGTTAGGTCTCACAGCCATATATTAGAATTGGTTTTATCATAGCATTGTACACCCTTAGTTTGAGATTTTTCGGGATGTCAATACGTTTGAGAGGGAGAAGAAAGCTCTATTTGCGCTAGTTATACACTGGTCTATTTCTGTCCTTCGGTCATTCATTTAGGTTATTGTGGAACTGAGGTATTTGAATTTTTCTACTCTCGGGAATGATTTTCCTTCTACACAGATCCTATTATTGGGATGGGATTATCGGCTTATTATCATATATTTTGTTTTGTCATAACACCAATAACAATATATAAACAATGACACATAAAAGGAGTAACAATAAAATGTTAAAAAATAAAATCTTCCAACTGATAACCAATAATAAATTAAAAATTAGAACTAAGAAAGGAAAAAAAAATGTAGAACTTTTTCACATAAAGAATCTATTATTATTATCAATAATATATACATTAAACTAATAATAGACAACTAACGTCATCAGCCAGTACGAAAATTAACATTTCCAAATCAAATTTCTTTTATTCAAATTCATAAAGACTGATACTGCCTACAATATGAGGCAGACTGAGAGAACAAACATATAAATATATTTCCAATTTTTAACAAAAAGATACTCAACTAAAAAAATTTTAACATAACTATCAAAAATAAAACTATTACATTACAATGATTCAGTCAAATCTTCCTGTACAATTTACACAATATATATTACATTTATAATAATTAACTCAAGTGGCGACCTTAGCCTTAGGAGTAGGGGAGGGACTGTGTGAGGGAGAATCGACTTCAGTACTGCTCCCAAGAGCTTTCTCTTTTTCAAGACGCTGTTTGCTAAATTTTCCCATACCAGGACGATAAATTTCAATTGAAGGACGATCCTAAAATAAAATGAATTACCAATGAATTAACAAATATTTTTTTCTCAGTAGCATTAATTTTTATAAAATATATTTTAATTCCATTCTTTTAATTGGGTTGGCAAATAAGTCTTTTCGGTTTTTCTTTTGATTTTTATGTCACTATGATACACTTCTTACCTGATGAATTAATCCCTAAGGTGGATTGTTCATCCTGTTTGTCATCAACTATATCTATTAACTCTTGTTGAAACTAGTTTAGTATCGCGTCTGCTATTGCACTGTGAATATCAAAGAAAATATCATTCATTATCGGCATATTTTGTTGTATTATTTTAAAAAAGGTAAGCCTGCTATAGAAGCTCATAGAAAAATTGGGGATGATGCCTTAACCGAACACACCTGTTAAAATTGGTTTCCCAAATTTCATTCAGGATATTTTGACATCAATGAAGCTCAACGGTTTGGTTGCCCACATGAAATTGAAACGAGCAATGTTAAGGCCATTGTTAATCAAAATCCGATCCAATCAGTGCGAGAGATTGCTATGGCCCTAAATGTGTCACACACAAGTAGAAAACCATTTGCACAAGCTCGGCTATGTTTCCATACTTAATGTTTGGGTCCCTCATTCTCTGACCGAAACCAACTTGGCAACACGCATATCTCTGTGATTCACTACGGAAACGGCAACAAAATGAGCCATTTTTGAAAAGATTGTTAACAGGAGATGAAAAATGGATATTTTATGATAATATAGTCCATAGAAAATCTTGGGCACCTAGCAGTGAGGCTTCTAGAAGAATGTCAACATCCGGATTACACCCAAAGAAGACATTGCTTTCCTATGGTGTGATTTTAAGGGTGTTATTGCCATCAGGACAAACAATTGATTCAACTCTATTCTGCTCATAATTACCAAAATTGGATCAACCAATTAAAAATAAATGTCCAGAACTGGCAAATCGGACGGGTATTGTGTTCTATCAAGACAACGCTAGGCCCCACACCTCATTAATCACTCTTAATAAATTATTGAGCCTTGGATGGGACCCAAAGCGTCCCATCCTCTCTATTCACCAGACCTAGCTCCAAGTGACTACCACTTCTTGTGGTCTCTGCAGAACACCATAAATGGAAAGAAATTCCAAAAGGAAGATGATATCAAATAAGAAAGAAAACCACTTGGATCAGTTTTTTAACAATAAACCCCAAACATTCTATGAACATGGCATTACGCAGTTAGTGGAAAGATGGGGGGGAAAAACCTGTACCACTACAACCCATGGAGGATCTTGGGTGCAGTACAATGTGAGGAAGTACTGTTTCAAGGCCAACAGTTGTGCAGGGATGTGATGGGGCCGATATCACGCTCAACCACCCGGTTTCCCTCCTTAATTATTTTTTTAAATTAAGAGTACCCACTTTGTAGAAGCTGTGTGAGCCACAGCAGGGTCTCCTGACCCCAGGATCGATCCACGGCTAATGAAAAATTACTAGTCATTCTTATTCTTGGATTCGAACCTAGGACCTTGAGCTCTGGAAGTCAGTGCTCATCCTCCACTGAACTACCCTGATCCCTAAGATGGGAAAATGTCATATTAAATAACGGTCAATATATTGTAGATTAAAATAAACTTTATGTCTATAATACATTAAGTTTTATCTCACCCTGAAAAACTGAAAGGACTTATTTTCTAACCCAATAGTGCGAAAAATTAATATAAATACTTACTTTGTTTCTTATACGTCTATCAGATCGTGGAAGATCCTTAGATTTGGTACAGTTTCCTTCTGATTCTTTATCTCTCATTTTAGAACCTGGTTCAGTAGTATCTTTATTTTCTCCTTGTTTTTCATGAAACCTTTCTTTCTTTTTATGAGAATATGTCTTTGTTTCAGTTAAGGGTTTATGGCTGGACAAATCTTTTCGTGAACGATCTTTCATTTCTTTTGGTTCTTGTTTTTCTCTCTGAAGAAGTGTCACTTTTTTGGGGGGTGGTTCTGCAGAACATTTTTCTTCATGTCTCAAATTTTCTAAGGAAGAATGACGCTTCTTACTGGCCCCCAATGTGTCACTACTTTCGACTTCAATTTTGTCGGAATTTTTCCTTTCCACTGTAGATGTAAGTACTAAGTCATCGACACTTTTCCATTTATCTTTTGATAATTCATTATCGTTTTTTTCCATTTGATTTTTATCATAATCTTCCAACATTTTCCCTTCAGATTGGTCATGAACCACAGCTGAAGCCTTTTTTTTATCATCCACAACCTTTGAAAACTCTGTATTCTTAAAAGTTTTAACTTTCCTCCTCAAGTCAGAGTCACTGGCCTTCTTATCTTGATTTCTTCTATAATCATCTTTTCTATCCCTTCCATCTCTTTTCATATTAGTCCTATCATTTCGGCCTCTTTTCTTTTCATCCTTCCAATCATCATTATCATATTTTTTTCGGTATTCATATTTTTTCTTTTCAAATCTGGAACTTTTTTCTTCTAATATCTTAGGCTGCTCACCAGCACCTTCACCAGGGTCAGCTTCACCCAGATCAGTATCTATTTTTTTATCTCCAGAATTTAAGAGGTCTCTCTTCTTTTGTTCCTCTCTTCTTTCTGCTAAGCGGAGCCTTTCCTCCTGGTAACTTTTTCCACCCCGACTTTTGAATTCTCTTATCCTGAAAAGATCAAAACATTTATATAACTAAACAAATATAAAAAAAAAAGATAGAAACAGAAAGTAAATTTAAACAAAAAGGATCTAAGAAATTAGGAGTAGTTTTCATAAAGTTTTGATCTGAATGAATTTACAACTAAATAGTCTATGAAACAAACCCCATTTTATCAAATTATTAACATCCACCTGAAACTTCATAAATAAAAAATATTTTCCTTATGAAAATTCTTGAAATTGGGGCATTTTCAATCTGGAGATCGGTAAACTTTGTCTATTTAATTAGGTACTAAAAACTCGTTAATACTCATTTGCTTTTCATTTGAATCGTAAGATAATTTGAGCACAAAATTGAGAAAAAAGCTGGTCTTAAAAAATATTGAACGGTTTGGCATGACCTGCATCCCAAATTGTCAAAATAAGAGGTTATAGAGGACAAAGGGCCCAATATTTTCGTATGCCATCTTTTTTATCTATTTTGTGACCAAATAATCTTATGATCCAAGTTGAAAGCAAATGGGTATTAACGAGCTTTCAATACATAATTAATTAAACAAAGTTTGCCGACCTCCAAATTGAAAACGCAATAGTTTTCATAAATAAAACAGTTGTAGTTTACGATGAGATGAAGCCATTTACAAAGTTTCAGGTGGATGTTAATAATTAGATAAAAAGGAGTTTGTACCACAAACTAAAAATAATAGTGTTTTGTACTAAAAAAAAAAAAAAAAATAGAAGGCTTATCCTGTCAAATATATGCTTGAATATGACAGCTTTTTTATGAGCTCTATTACTTTAAAATTTAAATAAAAATTAAGTACATTTAATGTCTATAATTCCTTTATTAAAAAAATAATAATACAAACGAAGTATGTATTAATAACAATTAAAATATTTTGGCTGCTAATATTTCCTATTTGTGTTCCTTACCAATTTTTAAGAGTTCTATTGAAGATAGATCCCATAATTTTACGCAAAGAAAAAAAAAGGAGAATAATATTGTCAAATAGAACTAATTAAATAAAATATTTGAAACTTAGAAGGGTATATTCATAAATATACCTTAAAAATTTGAATTTTAAAATATTTTGGGTATATATATATATATATATATATATATATATATATATATATACATACCAAAAAATTCTATTAGCCCTTATAAGAATAAAATAACTCATAAAGTGTAAAAACAAAATTAAATAATAAATATTTACCTTGTATCTTTTACCCGCTCTTTATCATCCTTCTTTTTCACATTTCGACTATCCCGTTCTTTGTTATCCCTCTTATCCTTTGTTTGCACCTTAAAATAATAAATAACAGCCATTAGTAAAATATTAGAAAACATTCGTTTCTGCATGTGAAGTGAATAAAATAGACAATTAGGAGTTTATGTGTTGTCTGTGATAGGTAATGTTACTGTTTGGTGGTTTTTTATTAAAACCAAGGATGAGAAATTCCAAAATAAATAGAGAAGAGACCTGGTCATCAAGTTTTTCTGCGGGTTGATCTAAGACCTAATTTATTTCAGGAAGAAAATAAAAAACTAGCTTATTGCAGGGAATAACAGGTTTTGATCTAATCTACGAAAATGTTTTGCCAATTTATAATTAAAACAAAGTCTCATGTGGAAAAATAAAAAAAATTGAAAATCCCCACATATATTATTAGAGTAAGGCTCGAAATCCATTTTGTACCAAATATAATAGTAGTTTTGTACCAAAATACCTCCTGTCATGCTCAAATACCATGAATGGGGTACCGTTGGATTCAGAATTTCAAGGGGGTTAGCGAATCGTATACTCAAATTTTGTTTTACTTCCTAAAATAAAGTCAATACAAACATTTTGCTAGGCTTCAATACTGGAACAGTGGTAAGTCTGTAGATTGATATGGGACAAATTGGACTTGGAATATTTTGATGCATACAGCAAGACCCGAAGGAACTATCCAGTCCTGCATTTTTCAGCTTAAATAAGTACTATTTACAAGATAACGCAAGACATAGGGTTCGCATCCACACAACCTTACGTTAATTGTAGTACTGTCATTGAATACATGTCTCATTTCGTCGACTTGAGTCCTCTATGATAGAGAGAGTAGGAGTTTATATCCTTTATTGATGGTGTTTTTGATCGGCAAGCCATATCATCGTTAATTCTTCACCGAATCTCAAGATTGAGCCACCATTTTTTAAGGCTTCCTTCTCCTTCAGGCAGGCATAATAGTCTAATCACCTCGAAAATTCAGGCAAAGCAGTTATGAAAGAAAAGAAACTTTATTTGTGAATAACTAAAAAATTACACTTTTCCCTTGGTTATTGGTTATTTTTTTACCAATTTACAAGGAAAAGCTTCAACTTTGTGAAAATTTTCATTCTAATGAAAATATCCCTCACATTAATTAGCTCTAATTATTTTTTTAAAAAGATAAAAATATAATAGTTGAAACACATCTAAAAGAAAAAAATATGCACCTGCCAGAGGAGGAGGGAAATTTTTAGAAAACCGTTTCTGCCAAATAAAAGTGTTAACGTTTTGAAAATTAGAACATTTTTGGTTCTATTTGGTAAATTATTACTTATTTGACATAATGCTAAGGTGGACAACAATATATGCATATTTAATTTATATATACACACTCTATTTTTAGATATGCCTCAATATGTGCGATAGAGCTGAAATTTATCACATAATAAATATTTGTTTGAGAAATAAATCTACAAAATTTCTGTATTCCTGTTCTTCATCAAAAAGTTTAAATAGCAATAGTTCTTATTTACTGCTGAGAACTATTTTTTTACTTAAATAATGGAATGTCACTACAAAACAGTCTTACTTACTGACATGAAACAGTCAATTTAAAACAGTTAGAGCAGTAATTTTTTTACAAAATTTGATGTTGATTAATCTTCCTTGAAACAATGAAATGAATTTCTAACAATAAAAATCTTAAGCAAACTTCATATTCACAAATTTATTAATAGGTGTATCTGAAATTGTACGAAAGATTTTATTTCAAATATTAAATGAAAATTCCCACACTTCAAAATAAATATAATTAATACTAAATGACGGTTCATTTGTTATTCCTTGATTATTCTTTAGCAGTAATTTAAAATTGTTTAAGAAAGCTAATTAACACTTTTGAAGAGCAACTCAACTCATTTACATGATTGCTTTAGAAACATAATCTACTTCAAAAATCCAACACACTTAAAAAGTCTGCCCACAACACCATGCATTAAAACTGAAGGTGACAAGCAAGGCTCAGGTTTGAAGGATTTCTTCATATTCTTTTTAACGGAAAAATGGAGTTCCCAATAGACATAAGTCGTTGTTGGACATTATATTTGAAATAAAAAATCCAATAGGATATTTTTTAAACTATTTTGCAATAAAATAGATAGCTTTTGCAATTTTGCTTTAAAATATATCTTTGTTTGTGATTTCGAACATAAATAAATCTGTTTTTGAATCTTGCACAAAAAAAGATCTCTTCTCGGGTCTCAGTTCCATTCTGAGTTTGATTTAATTGAATATATTCATAAATTATTGTTTATGATTTTATATTAATTTTTTTGGCCCAAGAAGAATCTTGGCCTCCAACAATTTTTTAGTCCTAAATGATCATCATATCACTTCCAGCTTCTAAGCTGCTAAATACTTGGATACTGCTATTGACTAAAACCTCACCTAGAAACACCCTATCATCATCATTTCTTAAAGATTAATAAATATCTTTAAGTTATTCCATCATTCTCATCATCTTCACATCCTATTTGCAAGCTTCTAGTATCTTCACTTATTTCTCCCCACTTTAACTATGGCTGTATTCTTCATGTTGGTCTCTCAATTGTAATGGAGGACAGATTGAAGCAAATCCCGAACTGTTTTTTAAGATTTTTCTTTTTTTGTACCTCTTGGATGTCTCATATATCCCACCTTTATAGCTATCCAAAGCGGCTTCTTCCATCCATCCACTGAAAATATTTCTTCAGATTTTACCTGTACCAAACAATCAGCTTCCTCTACCATTCCTAAACCTATGACAAGCATATTCTTCAACAATGCAAACTTTTTTTCCACATCCTTTGAAAATAGGATACTCTGTTTTCGATTACTATACCCTTTCCCACAGAACTAAAATCTTTGAAATTCCTTTCCTGTCAATTCCACTACTTTTCTAATACCTTCTCACAGCCCAAAATAAATTCTCTTCAATCATAAAATCCAAAAACTTTTTAAAACAAAAATTCACAATAAAACCCTGACCTTTTTTCAAAAAGTGTTGCTTAAATAAATTAAAATTCTGAAACAATTTAAATCACATGAAATCGAAGCAAAAAAATCTGGAGTGTCCACTATCAAAACTTTCCAACCGATTTCAGCAAAGTTTTTATATCTTCAAATATGTGCTTTGAAAACATTCGAATTAGTTTTATTTTTCTGAAAATTTATCAAAGAAAAGATTTGAGTACGATTTCTTTGATAAACTAAATGAATGCAAACTGGCACATTGCTAATCAAAAATTTGTTTGCAATAGCCCAATTTTATCAGACAATAATTTCTGTTAAAAGTAGAGGGAAAAGTGAAACTTGTGTAATGCAGGCACCAGATTTTTTTACTTTAACTTTTTTTTCTCTCTTTTAACCCTTAAGGGCACTGGGATTTGAACTCATAATCTTACATATGAAATTAAAATAGCTGTAACTTCGTTAATATTTGTCCGAAATTAGTGATTTTTATATAGTTTTTCATTGTGTTCCAAAAAAAAGGGGGATTTCACTTATTTTATATGTTTTCTCATATTGTGCAGGAAGCATCCAATTTTTATCACAGACATCAGTAATAAAAATCAACAGACAGATAGGTAATGTGTTTTTCGAACTCAAGAGGTTCTCTGAAAAGAAAAGATTCATCGAAAACCGCACATCGAAAATTTGACACAATTGCAATACTTTCTGTACCTAGTAGAGTTAGGAAAGCAATAAATTTGTGCAGAAAATAGAATACGCTGCATCATCACTAACACCGGTTAGATTCAAATGAATTTTTTTTCTTTTGTAGGTAATTTAATTACCTTTCAAAAGTTTTTAAGTAAGTAAGGCTTCAAAACATTTTTCATTTCTTTATAACTTTTTTTTTCTTAATTTTCTTGGGAATTCCATACATGTATAAAAATTAAAAGGACATTAACCACAAAATTATAAGAAAGTTTCATCAAAATGGTTAGAACTGTTTTTGCGCTACAATCAATAGAAAAATAGGTTTTTCACTTATACTGCAGGCTGCTATCGTGCAGTGAGATCCTAATTGGTATCACATGTACCAGTACACAAAACCCTACAAAATAAAAAAAGAACCAACAAAATCGGTCTGCTAGTTACCGAGATAATCTTGGCATAGACAGACAGACAGACAGGCGGATCAATGGCTGAAGAAAATGTATTTTTTGGACTCAAGGGGTCCCGAAATGTAAAGGTCCATCAAAAACCGAACTTCAGAAATTTGACCCAATCGCAATACTTTTCTTACCTAGTAGAGCTAGGAAAGTAAAAACATGCAAATTATATATTTTTAATTTTTTCTGTATCTTTTGTGTTTTTAAGAAAATTTTCCATTAGTGTGGGACCTAGCACTGAGGTTCTTATCTTAAACTATACACTGAGGTTCAAGGATCCCCTCTTGAAGAAAAATTTAAATAAATAACATCTTGTTCATGTTAAATCTTTTAATACATAAATTATTTAAATAAAAGTGAAAACTTGGAAGATGTTAAGTTAATGACGAAATTGCTTCATAGGCCACAGTTTAAGCAATTAACTCTAGCAATCATTACAAATACAATAATATCTTCGCTGTAGTTATACAAAAAAGTTTCATAAAAAAAAGATTGATAAATTTACTGTAAGATCATTTTCAACTAAATCAAGTGTACGATGTTCATACATATTTCATATAGTACCATCAGAATACAAATATTAGACAGAATTGATGAAAAATAACAATTTATACAGTACTTTGTATTTAATTTTAAAATGTATGCGATGAAAATTGTTTATTTTCTTCAAAATAATTTAATAATAAACCAAATTAATATTTATGTGTAGCTTTAAAGTGCTCAATAATAATTGATACAGAATATTTCAATGTAGTTTCAAACTATTGGTTGGACAAGTTTCCCACGGACAATGAAAAACCCAGAATTAACTTCATCCGTTCACACACTTCTCCTAAAAATGTGAGCCACTAATAACTTTACAATAATTGCTTCCCCAGGGAAATCAGAAGAAAATATAAAGTTGAAGGATTTGTACACTCAACTTGAAAAACTATCAGATAGTCAGCAGAAGAAAAATATACGACACCTAAACAAAATATGAAAGATAATAAAATGCTATGCATTCCAAACTCTGCTGAACTGGTAAAAATCTCTTTAAAACAATCAAGAAAACAAGAATTAGTTGTGAGTCTCCTGATAAATAACCACCATTAGTTCTCGGTCACCTCTATTTGACAAGGAAAACCATCAGTCTTCTACAAAAGTGACATGGTCATTCCTACTTTACGGCCTCTAACAAGTGGGTGAATTCTTGCAAGTGAAAAGCATTGTATCAAAATATATCAAATTCTTCTCAAAAAAGAGGTACTGTAACTCACAAATAACCTGATGGAATTAATTATAATAACATGACTAAATGTATAAACTTTTTTTCTATAGATTATTCTTTGATTTGATTTTAAGATATTGTTATTATTATTAAAATTGAATTTTCTTGAAGCAAATTGTAGAATAAAAATCATTAATACTTCAAGACAATACCGTTTACTGAACGTTATATTTAAATAGCATCAAATGAAACTGGTCAGTTTCGATAATGTAAAAAAAATATATATATATATAATAGTCCATATATCTCTAGAAATTAATACAATAGAATAAATAATGAATGCATCTATGATGAAAGAATTTATATTCAACAATAAAAATTGAAAGCAATGTAAACATGGGTGTTTAAACATGATTATCAGCTTTAGAAAAATAAATTATTCATATAAAGGATAATTAATCTTTCCAGAAAGAAATTATACAGCCACAGAAGTAGAATGCCTATGAACCCTTTTCATGAAGTCCAAAAACATTTACCTCTTCTCCTTTCTGTTTGGTAGCTTCAGTTGAGGATTGTAAACTGTTCTTTCTAAGTAGCTTTGTGACATGCAAAGTCCCCTTAGAACTAGCCTGGATAATTGAAACATTTGGCGTACTTGAAGCCCCTTTAATGAAGTTTTTTCCTAACTCAGAAAGAGTTTTATTAGAAAAATCTTTTGATTCACTTAACTCCCTCGGAGCAGATAAAGACCTTTGTTCTGCAGGCATGTCTTGCGGTGATGAATTGCTAGTCTTAAAACTTGCTGAGGGAAGAGCAGGATTTACATTATTTTTACTCCAAAAAATATTTGTACTCTGATTTACAGAAATGTTTTCTTTGAATGCTGACAAGACCTCTTCTGGAGGCTCAGTGGCTTGCTTTAACTGTTCAGGAATGCACACGTTTTTGATAGATGAAGCAATATCATCATTACTACTATTTTTGTCATTTGTTTTATCACTAACCTCTTTTTTTGAAGTGGATAGCTGACTGTCTGACGGTAGCAAGCCAAGCAACTTCCTCAAATACATCGTCTGTTGCTCTGCCTCTTTTATTTTTTGAACTTCTGCATCTGGAACAGAATTTTTGTCTCCAGAAGATTGATCAGCATTTGACTCAACAGCACCATCATTTGAAGAACTATTACCTTTACTCTGAGATTCATTTTCATTTTGTAGTTTATCTTTCTCACACTTAACGAAAATAGAAAACTTTTGATCCTGTGAAACAGTTGGTTTATCATCGCTTTCTTTTTTTACATTAACAACAATCGATTTATCGAATGATTCTTTTCCCAATTTTTCAATTTCACCTACTTGCTTATTTCTTTCTATGATCACCTCCTTCTCATGGTCTTTTTCTGAGGGTTTATGTTGGATCTGTGAATACAATAGGATAAATTAGAGGAGCAAGGAATTACATAAAGGAAAATAGGAAAATAAGGTAATGGATAAGAAAGAGACCACTAATTAAGAAGAGTGAAGTTATAAAACAATATAAATGCTAATACTTACTTTAGGTTCTTTGGGTGGTTCTTCATCTTCACCCTCTCCCTTCTTATCTTTCGTCTTTTGCTTCAGCTTTCTTTCAAGTTCCTTTCTTTTTTTCTCCTCTCTACGCTCTTCACGAATTCGAGCTTTTTCTGCTCTACGAACCTTCAGAAACTCTAACAATGGAGTGGTATTCACTTCCTCAGCAGTGGAAACTAAAACAAATAAGGAAATGACAGCCTAATTTTTGTAATAATATGGAATAGTAAAATATAACCAATCCGAGACCATAAGAATATACTTTTTCCAAAGCTTGTAAGAACAGAACTTCATAACTGGTTGATTCCTGGTAATCATGGTCTCAAGTAATTGTAATTAATTTAAAGATAAATATTTATTTGGTAAAATAAGTTTTATCAGTATAACTAACTTTTATTAAGATGTGAATAGATAAAAAGTAGTGTTTTGCTGGGTAATTAGTTATTATCAGGAACCAGGCTTACACCTATATATTTTTGTTACCTGGTGATTACCTTGTATCTGATTTTCACAAATAGTACCCGGTAATTTATAATGTAGAACTAATTTATATATATATATATATATATATATATATATATATATATATATATATATATATATATATATATATATATAATATATATAATATATATAATATATATATATATATATATATAACTTAGTTCTACATTATAAATTACCGGGTACTACTTGTGAAAATCTGATACAAGGTAATATATATATATATATTAGTAAATTAAAGCTGAGTAACTTCTTTTACTTAATAAAAACAATTTTGATTCCGATAATAGAAATAATAAATTTACCACAAAATTAAATTATTGGGGCTTAACTTTAACTGGCTTTGGCTCATTTCTTCTTGGTAAAATGTTTGAGAGACCTTACTATTCAGTACCCGGTATTCGGTGTCTGTAGTTCATTACTGCCTAGAACTCGGGTCAAATAATTTATAAGGCGCGTTACTGATAAAAACTTTTCTTTGCTGATAACCATAAATATTGATATCAAATTTATGAAATGATAGTTACTTAAAGATAGTAAGAATAATAGAGGCAATTATTCATGGTATTCTGGAACTTTATTCAAAATTAACTAAAAAGTTCAGCTAATTTTAAAAAGAGTTAATTAGGTATATTGATTCTATAAGAACATTGCCTTTTTGGCTCTTTTTCTTTTACTATAGCCAAAATAATTATTGCTAAGAGTATCAAAAAAATCTGGTGCGAGCAACACATTTCACTTACCGCTCAACTTTGAATAGAAATTATTTTCTGGCCATGTTGGGCCATTATAAAATTTTTGAATTGCATTTTTAACCGAGCTTAAGCTAAAAAATTACAGCTAACAAATCATTAATGCCATTAAAATAACAAAAGTCCTATTTATTATATCAATGGTTGATTATGGATTGTATCACTATTGGTTATTAAACTGTTATTTTCTATTGCAAAGTTTACTAAAATGGAATTAAGAGATTTGCATTGTCTGTCATAGATAGGTCAAAAGTTCACACTAATTGTAAGTGGATACTACTATTAGAATGTCACAAATAAAAATTTCATCAAACTATTCACTAATTTAATTTGCTAAAAGGTTACATGATGGTTTTTTCGGAATAAACGGATGATAGATACCTAAATATTTAAATATAATATCAGATCTAGAGTTATTAAACTACAGTTAATATAATTAAGGTTATAAACGTATCTATAAAATATTTTTATATTTCACTTCTTCTTTCACACAAGTAAATGAAATAGTAGTGGATACTGTTGGAATATCCCGAAGGGAAAATTCATCAAAATTATCAACTAATTTAATTTTCTAAAAAGTTAAATGACAATATCTTGGAATAAACGGATGTTAATATCTAATTATTTAAATATAATATCAGAACTAGAATTATTAATCTACAGTAAATGTATTTAAGATTATAAACATATGCTTTATACATCCAAGAAAAGATTGTATATTTTACTTCTTCTTTTTGTTTAAGTATGTTATGTAGATAAATTTAAAGGGTGTCGAGAAAATGACTTTAGCAAAGTTTCATTGAAATCAGTACATTCGTTTAGGTGCTAGTCTATAGCAATGCTGGTTTTTCTGTATTTTTTTTTTTTTTTTGTCCTTTATTAACTTATCAAATTCTTTCAAAAGTTATATTTAGCATTTTTTCGTAACTCTGAATAATGTGAAATGATTAACTTTTTAAAATAAACCATATTAAAGGTACTTTAGAGGAAGACGTATATGAACATTGGGCATTTAAGCTCTGTAAAGTGACATCAATGGGGATAAGACCTAATTGATATTAAAGACCACTTAATTATACAATGATACACCGAGTTTAATCAAAATTGTTAGAGCCATTTTTGAGAAAATTGTAAAAATGTGTTTCATGTAGATATAAAGTGGCACTTCCGGTTAGCCTATTTTAAGGAAAAGATTGCTGTCACATCTAAGGCATATGCCTATCTTAAATACGTAATATCAGTTTTGTAAGACTTTTCGTTTTTGAGCTAGACTGCTAACATACAAACAAACAGACCATTTTTCGGGATTTGGTTATTTGGACTCAGGGTACCCCAAAACGAGTAATTCCGTTGAAAACTGAGATTCGAAATTTTCACGACCGCAATACTTACCCTTACTATATATTACATATATACATAAGTGAAAGTAAACAAATTTAAATAATTTATTTGCAGAGCAAGATCGAAATGACACAGGACTGGATACCTATCAGATAAGACATATTACAATAAATTAACTAACCAACTAAAAGCTTAAATTAGAAAATAAAAAATTCAAAATATACGATCTAACGAAGAAAAGTCTCGAATATCTGCTCAGCACCTCTTCAAAACATTTAATCCACACCCACACATCCTTAATCCAACCCACCTTTTGAGTATATTGAAGCAGAATTGGATATCCCACTTCAATGACTCTTCCTCCACTTTTCATGGTGGAGCATTTCATCCTTCAGAAATATCCAATATCATTCATAGATTACCTTCCCGCACTCTCCATTGTCAAAATGATACCTAAACCCATAAAGTTACCAGAACACCCATCCTCTAACCGTCCGATCTCTCTTTTACCCAGTGTGGGCAAAATCCTGAAAAAACTCATCTTAAAACATCTGTATCCCATTCTAGACTCTAAACACATTATCCCAGATCACCAATTTGGATTCTGCACATCCCACTCCGCTATTCAGCAATGCCATCATGTGGTAGATGTACTCTCTTCTACATTGGAGTGCGGAATGAACTGCACGGGAGTCTTTCTCGATGATGAACAGGCGTTTAATTGATAAGAGTCTGCTCATGTACCGGGACTGATGTACATACAAAATCCGTAAATCTTTACCACCTACATACTTCCACAGTTTCCATTCCTATCTTATTGACAGACACTTCACAGTAAATCATATCATACTTATTCATCTCTTTTTTTTTCAGTTTGCTGGTTTTCCTTAAGGTGGTATCTTAGGTCCTATCCTTTACACAGTTAATAGAGCTGGCATCCCAAACCATTCCAACACTTTCAATACCAACTATCATGATTAGACATGTATCCTATCAGTTAAAAACGATCCATCCATTACATCCCAAACTCTTCAATCACACATCATCAGTCTTAAAAAATGATGTCAAAACTGGAGGATTAAAATAAATTTCAATAAATACCACTAAATTACCTTTACTCTCTGTCGTAAACCTATGACTTCCTGTCCTACAGTATCCTTTAACAATACCTCACTTATCCCTATTGAACAAATCCGATATCTAGGACTCCACCTGGACAAACGACTCACTTCGAACCCTCATACCGACTGAAACGACTAGAAATCCCCCAACGTTTTTGACTACTGCAGCACTTACTAGACAAACGCTCTAAACTTCCAACTATTTACAAAAGACTAATAAGGCCTATTTGGACTTACGGGATTGAGCTTTGGGGTTCTACCATCAAAGTCCTCTCGTATCCAATCCTTAACAATCCAAAATCCTTTGTAAAATCTTCAATGCTCTCTACTTTGTCACAAATAAAATCATCCATAACGACCTTAATGTATCACATGTTTCTGATTTAGCTCAATCCACATACCTATCCTTCCATAATAAACTTCTGAACCATCTGAACCCTCTTGTTTCCAACCTTGCTTCCTCTTCTCTTCCTGAAATCCTTCGAGGCGTCTGAAAAGAACATGGCCTCGGGACCTTCTAATATATAAATTTAATTGGAGTGCTACCAATGGGTAGTTTCTCTTCATGTTGTACATGCCATGTTACTAGTTTCATATTTACTTGTTGTATTTATCATGTAATACAGTTGTAAATTTCAATTTTAAAAAAATAATAATTTCTTTAAAAATGCCAGAAGTATAAGTACCAGGTGTGTATAAAAACAAATTTATTGCATAATAATGTTAAAAATATTTAATTCAAAATATTGTCCATCACACACGAGCTATACATTTTTTACATCTCTCAAGCAATTTATGAAAGCCATTCCAGAAAAACTGTTGGCTCTTTTGAAGTGAACCAGTCATCAAGCCATTTTTATAAAAAGTGAAACACTGCGCACTGTGTGTCCAATCAATAATAGCCAGATGGAGCCAAGTCGGGTGAGTAAGCTACATGCACTAATATTTCCTAACTAAACACCTCAATCGTTTTCTTTACAGGTTTTGCTGTGTATGATGGTGCATTATCAGAAGCAAAATCACTTTGTCCAGAATATCGATTTCGTTTTTCAGTCTTCAATTTCATTTTTTATCAAAAGCATTCAGGTATTAACGGTTTCACCAGATTTAGCAGCTCATCATAGATCAAACCCATGTTCAACGTTCTTTATTTTAACACATGTCAAAATCGCCATATTTGAACTTTTGAAACCCCTCAAAGCATTGTGATTAATCAAGAGCACGATCACTGTAAGCATGGGCAAGCTATTGGATGTGATTTTGGAGATGTTTTTTTCAAAAAATTAAGAATTTCAAAAATAGAAAACTAACACTGACTACAAATTTCAGGATATAGGCACAAAGCTTAACACATCCAACACTATTAAAACAATGTTGTTAAATGAAGATAGTAGTGTGAGTTGAAAATCTTTACCACCTGTCAAAGGAACAAAATTGCACCACTAATGCAGTTTAATATTAACAACGAGAACCATCTATGGACCATTCTGGTTTCATATTTACACATCTGACAGTGCCGTATTTAATATAATTTATTAATAGATATTCAATTAACTGAAGGAGTCAAGTTGAGTTCTGATAAAACTGAATTCAAATAAACTCTTTTTTACTAAAAGCCAAGTATATCATCAATGGAGACTTGCATTATCTCAGTTATAATATTGAATTAAAGTGAATGGGAGGAGAAAATTTTGAAAATGTATCACTGCATGCTTTTATCCTTCGCAACAATTACATTTTTATCAACTTTATTTAGGTACTTGACCCTCCATATTTCCACCTAGGAATCAAAATATAGTTGTTTTATTTCTGTTGTCATGACCATCTATTGTTTTTAATTTTCATTTACCTATAAATAAATGATATTACCTATAGTAATGAAAAGTATTGAAATTGTGAAAATCTGAGTTTTCAATAGAAATACATGTTTTGAGATCACCTAAATCCAAATAAGCAAGTCTCTCAAAATCTTCTAAGGAGAATGTTTGTGTTTTTGAATAATCAACCTCAAAAACAAAATATTGTATGAAACTGAAATTACAAAGTAAGAAACTAGGTACAGTCGGTACAGACATACATAGAAATTGCATCACCCAGTAAAAATTATATTTTATTTATAAGATTACTACTACAAGATCTCCAGATATTTCTTTGCCAGTTATAAAATGATATTCTAAAAACAATCACACCATTAAGTAGTCAAATTGTTTGTTTGTTTTTTTCTTCTCCCAGTTTCTTTGTTTCACTCCATGGTGATTCTTTTTTTTTTTTTTTTTTTCAAAAACTATGACTCTCGTAACCAGTAGTACCCTATCCTCGTTAATATTTTCCCGAGAAAATTCCTTCACTTCATGTAATGTCACAATATTTATGTTTTTTGATGAAGACGGTTTTTTATACAGGTCATAATTACAGCTTTTATCCTGACATTGGTTAAAGTTGAACAGAGAAACATAATTAAAGTTTTTCTTTAACCTTAATAATTAATGAAAAACATTCAATGGAATCAAAGTTATCAGCATAAGAATCAAAAGAAATAGGTGATACAATTTCTATGACCGTGACTGTAAATGCCTGGGATAATATAACAACTTTTTTCTCATAAAGGACTAAGCAGAAATAGGACATTTAATATTTTGTGAACATTTTTAAAGTTTCCTCAGAAACAGCTAAAATAATTATGATTAAATCTGTTATATCAATGTAAAATTAAATGTTCTTTAATAACAGGTACGTATTAACCTAATTAAAATTAGTCTGACTTAGCTTAAATGACGAATTTTCATGACTTCTTCCTATTTCCTATAAAGTATCATTGATTTTGTTATATCAAATAATTAACTCTCTCATATTGTAAGTAGTAAAAAAAAAAAGTGAATAAATATAAACTATGATATAAATAAACCTGTACAACTCATGAAGGATGTTAGGTTCAGTACTATTTAGGGAAAGCAATGTTTCTTTGTCAACAGTTGTGCAAGGAGGTGATTTGATCAAGATCACGCTCAACAGCCAGGTTTTCCTCCTTAATTAATTATTTAATTAAGGGTACACACTTTTATAGAGGCTTGGTGTGCCCCGAGAGGAAAACCTACCCCAGGATCGCCCCATGGCTGATGTAACTATGATATATATATTGATAATTAACTTAAGGGAAAATAGGGCTTGTTGAGTCTGACTGTAGTCTAACAAAAGTAGCAGGCATGGCCATAATCTCCCAACAGGGCCTAAGCACACAAGAAGCACAAGCCTATCACTGGTTTATTACAAAATGCCATTAAAAAATTAAATCTATAAGTAATTTGATGAATTTTAAATCTGCAAAATCAAAACATTGTTCACTTAGTGTAATTATTTTTGACATATATTAAGGTTTATGTATTTTGATCCACTTCAAAGTTTAGTTTCATCAAAACTGTACTCAGCGACTTTTTGCGATAGACCAACAACATACGATACATAGTTAGTGCTTAATCAAAAGAATTTAAATAATAATCATGTAGGAAGGTATTTAATAAAAAGAGAATTTACAAATAGTTAAAACCTTTCTTTAGCTGAAAAGTAAACAAAATGATTGAAACATTGAATTTTTTTATTTAATTAGGTTTTTTTCAAATAAATGGCCTCTTACCATTTGAAGTAATAAAAATATAGATAAATATAAACTTCAAAGGAATTTCACGATGAACTAAGGGAGAAATATTTTCCAATTGGTTGAAAATAAATATCCAGAATTAAAAATAGTAGAAACTATCAATGTATAAGAACAAAGATTAATAATATATTGGGTAGGCAAATAAGTTCTTTGGTTTTTCTGTTCATTACTTTTACTTACCTATATATGTAACATATAGTAAGAGAAAGCATTGCGATCGTGAAAATTTTCGAATCTGAGTTTTCAACAGAAATACACGTTTTGAGGTATCTTGAGTTATCCAAAAATTTTTATAATAGCCCACCATGGCCAGAAAATAATTTCTATTCAAAGTTGAGAGGTAAGTGAAAGTTGTATGTTGTGCGTACCAGATTTTTTTTATGTCACAATGATACCCTTCTTACCTGATGAATTAATCCTTAAGGTCGATTGTTTATCCTGTTTGTAATATGTCAACAACTATATCTGTCAACTCTTGTTGAAACTGCTTAGTATTGTGTTTGCTATTGCATTGTGAATATGGAAGAAATTATCATTCATTATCACGATATTTTGTTGTATTATTTTAAAAAAGGTAAGCCTGCTACAGAAGCTCATAGAAAAATTGGGGATGATGCCTTAACCGAACGCACCTGTTAAAATTGGTTTCCCAAATTTCATTCAGGAAATTTTGACATCAATGATGCTCAACGGTTTGGTTGCCCACATGAAATTGAAACGAGCAATGTTAAGGCTATTGTTAATCAAAATCCGACCCAATCAGTGCGAGAGATTGCTATGGCCCTAAATGTGTCACACACAAGTGTAGAAAACCATTTGCACAAGCTTGTCTATGTTTCCAGGCTTAATATTTAGGTCCCTCACTCTCTAACCGAAGTCCATTTGGCAACATGCATTTCTGTTTGTGATTCACAACGGAAACGGCAACAGAACGCCCCATTTTGGAAAAGGCTGGTAACAGGAGATGAAATATGGATATTTTACGTAGTGATCTAGTAGTGAGGCTCCTAGAAGAATGTCAAAACCCGGATAGCATCAAAGAAGATAATGCTTTTCATATGGTGGGATTTCACGGGTGTTATTTTTAATGAGCTATTGCCATCAGAACAAATAATTGATTCAACTCTATACTGCTCACAATTAACAAAATTTGATCAATCAATTAAAAATAAAAGCCCAGAACTGACAAACCGGAAGGGTGTTGTTTTCCACCAAGACAACGCTATGCCCCACACCTCGTTTGTCATTCGCAATAAATCATTGAGCCTTGGATAGAACCTTTTGCCCCACTCTCGCTATTCTCCAAACCTAGCTCCAAGTGACTACCACTTATTCCGGTCTCTGCAACTCCATGAATGAAAAGATATTCCAAAAGGAAGAGGATATCAAAAACCACTTGGATCAGTTTTTTAACAATAAACTCTAGACATTTTATGAACATGGCATTATGCAGTTAGTGGAAAGATGGGAAAAAGTCATATTAAATAATGGTAGATATATTATAGATTAAAATCAATTTTATGTCTATAGCAAATTAAGTTTTATTTCATCCTGAAAAACCGAAAGGACTTATTTGCCAATGCAATACAATCGCAAAAGGCAATGGAAAGAGACGAAAATGAAAATGCATATGTTTAACTGATGAGGAGGGAAGGAAAAACTTTCCAGTAATTGATTGTTTAAAATGTATATGTTTACCATGTATAATTTTCACTTTCACATTTTTATCTATATATGAAAGTACATACTTATTAATACACAAAACAGAATGGTGAGTGAAAGGTGTGTGATACTGCATTGACAAAAAAAACTATTAGGATATCTTACTTTCAGTTTCGAAATAATGTTGCTTGACTGCTTTTCCTCCAGTTTTTGAGTTTTCTAAGGCTTCAGCTAATAAGTTCTCTTTAAAGGTAATATAAGTAGGATCAGATTCAATTGTTCCCATCAAAGGATCTTTTTTCTTTGGTCGTTGTTTCGGAACACGTTGAAACATAGCGAATTCAACAATTGCTGGATATTCTTGGCCTGAAAATTAGTTGTTTAAACTCAGTTTCACATTAGAGAATCAAAATAAATAAGTTTTTTACATATATTTTGAGTTCAATAAGAAAAATAATCTCCATGACATTTCTAAATTGATATGAATAATCAGTAAAATTATTATATAATACTTTATATAATTTTGCAGAAATTTTAAGAATATGGCTAAATTACAAACTGATAAATACTAAAGGATACAATATTATTATGATGAAATAGTGCAAAATTTTCTTTAAATCTACTTAGTTATACAGTCAAAATAAAAAATTCTATATTTTTATTTGTAAATCCTTTCAAAGTTTATTTGGTCTGACAATTGAAAATCTCCAGATGAGAATGCATTTCGTCCATTTTATGACAAAATTCAGCAGGGCAAAACTAATTTTGCCGTACACAACAAATTTCAAAGCTCAACAAACAGCACAGTGACAAAAATCAACATGATCTAAAACGTTTCAGAATTAAGATATTTTGTCTAAATAATTTACATTCCGGTGGGAAAATATTTGTCAGCAAGTAGACTGAATGATTTTAATCTGGAGCTGATTAATTCTCATTCAGAATCTTTTTTTCATCCCATAGAATATATTTTAAAAATGAACTCCTTTCAATCTTTATCTCATCTTTTTAAAGCCTTTTGGTAGATTGTTCAACAGAAGACTCTTCTTATATCACAACTGAATTATATTCTATACATAAGAATTTGACGTACCTTGTCATATAATCTAAATGTAGATTAATTAAATTTTCTATTTACAATAACCTAATCGCAATAACAAAATACCCAATTTTAGATAAGATTTCAATGGTGACAAACCAGTCCAAATCCACAGACAATAGCAGTTGAGGTTATCAGAAGGCGCATGAGAACCTATTTCTTTCCTCACAGCAGACCATCCATGAATCCACCTGGGTGTAAATATTTGAAATTCAAGAAAACCACAATAGTAGAGTCATCATTCCTCTCACCAGTTGGTACTAGGTTGCCTCTAATAGGCTGATAATAGTAAATACCAAGGGGAATGGATAAATTATCTGAGAAATCATCGCAATGGGCTTTGAACATATAATCTTTGGGTTAGTAAGCAGGTGCAGATTTACATGTGCTTTAATTTTCATTGGGAGAGTGGTAGCTCAGTGGTAGGGCACTGAGCTTCCAATGCTAAAGGTCCCAGATTCCCGGCACATGGCAGAAAATTTATTTATTCTCAAGTTAATTTATTATTAGCCATATTTACACCAATTTAAAAAAAAAATTTTGTCACTTAATGACTACTCATCAAAATGACGACGTTTCGGCTCGTCGAGCCATTTTCAAGTCTGTCATTTTCACTTATGCGAATTGCAAGCGTCTACTCATAATTAAATTCCTTATTATTGTCATGTTCACCTTGTTTCTGAGTCACCCATATGTCATCCATCTCATTTCTATTCAGTCACTGTTTCTATTGTCATTAAGTGACAAAAATTTTTTTTTAAATTGGTGTAAATATGGCTAATAATAAATTAACTTGAAAATAAATAGTATGCACCGAAGAAGAATTGAGTAATATTGTGTTTATTCTGTTTCATTGGCAATGGGGTGACCTCGATCGGGAGACCCTTCTGGGGCACACCCAGCCTCTATAAAGTGCGTAACCTTAATTAAATAATTAATTAAGGGAGAAAACTTGGTGGTTGAGTGTGATCTCAGTCAAATCACCTCCTTGCAAAACTGTTGACTAAGAAACAGTACTTTACCTAAATAATACTGAACCCAAGACCCTTCATAGGTTGTAGTGGTACAGGTTTTTTTTAGTTGTTTATTTCCATAATTTCATTTGTACTCCATCAACTTTGCCTAACATTATCTACAGTTTTATTATTGTGTATTAGAGGGTTCTTCAGTAGAAAGGACCTAATCTGTGAAATGAAGTAGGTTTTTTTTTTTTTTTTTTTTTTTGCATAGGGACACGGTTAGTAGTAGATGGTATGTAGGCCTGTAATACTTCCTAAAATTAATTATTAAAGTTTTAAACATTATGTACATTTATTGTACACAAATGTTTATTTTAATTATGTAGATTTAGAGAAAAAAAATCTACTTTTTTGTTGTTTTTTAATGCATATCATCAATGTGAGTAAGAATAATAACTAGCTAACCTGTGCGAATACTTAACAACAAACCTAATATTTGTATCTGATTTTAATACATTAAGGACTCAGCACAACTTCCATTCAATAATGTTTTATATGTTTTATACGCAAAGGTTTAATACATACATTAAGTAAGCCATCAGTTATTTGTGTTTCCTTGAACTTATAATTGCGTTTCCTTAAACTTATAATTTTAATATTTGCTTATCATTTATTAGATTCATCATAAATTAATAAAAGCTTCTAAACACTCCTTTAATAGGGTGGCTACCAAACTGTTGAAAAAAAAATTCCCTGACTTTTCCCTATTTAAGGATAGTTTTCCTTGAACACTGGAAAAAAAGGGCCAATTCCCAAAATCTTTAATTCCCATATGCAACAGAACCATTGCAGTACAACAAATACTAAATGCTCAGAACACTATAACTCTGCACCAAATCGTCTGATTTCAATGATTTTTTTAATAAGCTTTCAAATACTCTTATGTATAAGTACCAAAAATCGCATACTCTTCGAGCCATTTGCAAATTATGAAATCATTTGTAACGTGTCAATGTGTTGAGATGACACCATCATATGGTTTGAAACCTCCCAATTTTACATTTACTTTTATTTAAGTCCTTGTATAAAATAATGAATCAAAATTACGATTCCTGCATTCTGTGTGATATTGCCTTTGTATTGATATCTCATTCGTCAAAATCCATCACTCTTGAGAGCCGGAAAAGAGATATATATTTCAGATACAATATAAAATTCAAATAAAATAATTTGTAAAGTTAAAGTAGTTTTTTAATTTTTTTTTATTTTATTTAGTTTATATAGATTTAAATATTAATCTTACAGATGAATAAATAGTATTTATATTGCTGCTGAAAAAATAATTAAAAATATATTATTTACAAGCAATATTTAATGAACAGTACCATTGAAGGTAAATAAAATCAAAATTTAAAACAGCTTAAATAAACTTGGGAACATTTTGAAAATTGGTGAAACTTTATAAGAATCACTCAATGGCAGCTGGGCAAAGATCATATTGATCATATGTTAGATGAATTTCCTAAAGTGGGCTAGTACTGACAATCATTTCCACAGATGTAACTTCATTTATGACAACATAAAGTGTAATTAGGATTATTAATTTAATGGACATATTAGCGATAATTAATACTGTTTAGATTAAATCACAACTTTCGTCTGTCGTTCACTAAAAAAAAAAAAAAAACACGCAAACACCCAATGGATCCTTTTTAATTGAGGTATGAGTCTAACTCTAAGATTCGGTTACCTCAATGTACTTTTGAATAGACTCACCCGCTTATGAAGTTACACCTACAATGTGATCATTGCACAACCAAAATGTTGGAATTACACTTAGAAATATTGTTTACTGTGGAATCAAGACAGAAAAAAAAAATGGGTACCTATCTTACACCAATAAAAATAATATACTTCTTTCAAAATCAATATAATATATCTTACGATTTAGTTATTTTCAGTGCAATTTAAATGGTTTTATATTAGAGTCAAAACATATGTTAACATCACAGCATCACAATAAAGCACTCACCTTTAACATCCAAAAACACATAGTTGTCAAAAGTCCTTGAAAAGGAAAACAGATCATCTTGGTTAATAAAATTCAAGTAAGCCCTTGAAAATGGATTAAATCCATTGTTGGTATCTCCCTGAATATAGTACATATAGTCTACTTCGGGCAAAGGGGAAACCTGATCCAAAAACATTTCTTTAGTCATTGTTGGTGGTAACCTTCTAACAACAATCTGTAAAATAATTTCACATTATTTAAGAGAAACTGAAGAAAAAAGTTATAACTTGACATAAATCAAAACATAATAAATTTCATACCTTAGAGTGAGGTTTCTCCTCTTTTGCTTTCCTCCTTTTAGTATCTAAATTTTCTGGAGGATTATTTGCTTCCACAGGCTCTGTTGGACTTGTTTTCAGTGAACTATTTTCTATTTGAATAGTTTTCTCTAAACTAACAAGATCATCTTCACCCAAATCTTTAGGTGTGGTGACTTCCACCATGGTTGTGCAATTAATTACTTCAGAAGATTCTTCCTCTTCCATATTTTATTTAGAAAAATCTCAACAAAATTACCAGCATTACAAAAGCCTGTACAAAACTGCTGACCATTTACTGTTTACTGTTATGCTTTCTTACCTCAATTCATATTAGCCAACTGTTGCCTTTGTTTCCCAATTTCTTTCAACCTCCAAATAATTGAAAATACTCTGGTACTACGTTTAACAGCATTATAACACTTATAAAATCCAAATTGAACATTCCAAAACATAACCAACATAAACAAAATCCGATCACACATCGATACTTAACGGAATGAAAAAAAATACAATTACTTTTAACCGGCACATCAAACGAGCCATTGGCAGATTTCAGATATTGAAAATAAATTGCGTTTGTAAGTGAAATTATTATTTAACTTTAATCGGAACCCATTCTGTAGGTTTGACCAAAGAGTATAGAGCGCACCTGTAACAATGAGTTTATAACCATAACCATTCCAAAGGTTACCTCATATATTTTTATTTTCATAGCTATTAGTATAACATTGCAATACTATTGTTTTAAACTCATAAAATCGATGATTTTTAATAAACAGGACGTCTTTTCCTAAGAAAAAAATTTTATTTTTAGTTTAAATATGTAATGTATAGAAATTACATACGAAAAATTCCCTCAATATTCTTAAGTATTCAGTTATGTGAAAAAATAATACATAATTAAGAGGTTTCACTTACCAAGTATAATGAGAGGAGTGGAAATTTTTTCAGCTCAGTTATATTTACTATATAATATGTTTTTCGGCTAAAAATTCAGATCACTTCCACAGGTTTAGGAAGTTGCGAAACAACATACATGGGATGGCAGCTTAAGCCCAAGACGATTCCCGGATTCATAATATGTTTTTCAGTCGTTGTGAATCCTCAGTCACCTTAAAAAGACTCCTCAAAAAGACATCTGTCTACTTCCATTAACTGTAATCTCACACCTTGTCGGTATATTATGCTAAGCAGTAGCCGGGTCGTCGTGTGGGTAGTGTGCGCTCCCCCGCCCCTTCCTTTTCCTCTTTTTTTCAATTCCAGTTATTTCAGACTATAAATAAAAATCACTGTGTATTTATTAACTATATAATAAACTAATGTAAATCATAAAGATAGGCAGACATCCACAGAGATCGAAATCGGCGTTATATAAATACAGTTACATATATATACAAATACAAATATAATTTTTAAGGAATTCGAGCCGAGAAAAGACTTCATAAAGCATCAAAACGGCAACCTTCTGACAAATCAGAGAGACATAATAAGCAGGTGGGCTCGGCATTTTCAGAGCCTTCTGTACACAAAGGAAGAAGAGGACAATAAAAATCAGCAGGACTCCGATTTGCACCAGACTCTAGGAAATGACGATGGAGATAGAAGCACCTGTTCAGAAGAAAGAGGTTATTTATATTATCCTCAACATGAAAAATAATAAAGCTCCTGGGGTTGACTGTATACAAATGGAACTGTTGATGTCCGGCGGCGATACATTACTCAATGAGCTGCTTGAAAATATTTTGATATATGGATGATTGAATGGTATAATGCTCCATCTTCAAGAAAGGTGAAATACTGCATTATGATAATTATAGAGCTCTCCTTAAAGTTGCCGAGAAAGTACTGTCGTATTTGATTTGGAAGAGATTAAGGAACACATGGAGAGAATAATCGATTTTTTTTACCACGGACTTTTTCTCTCTATTTGTATTGGGAGAGGAGGAGGAGCGATCGCTCCCACCTCCGAAGTCTGCGCCTAAGTTATTCATAACCATCGATTTTAAAGAGAATTTTTCTTTAACATCAATAGGTGCCGCATGTTCGCAAGGAAGAGAGATAATGCTTTATTGTTTTTAAAAATGTAAAGAAATCATGTCATCGATTCGTGGCGTGAAAAGAGAATATGTAAATGAGAAATTTTATTCAGGATACATTAAAAGGGGGATTGCTTTGCTCTATTGAGCCCAACGTTAGATTCACCCTTCTCCAGACCTTTGCTACAATAATTAAAAACCTATCATGACTTTGGCCTATAGAGGTCAAACCATCAAGGTAGCCAAAACCATAGACAATATATAAAATAATATGAAGTTAAAACCTATGAAGTACCAAGACTTAGGGATATCACAATAGAATGATCTGGTTACCATTACACGAGAATTAAATATGATAGCAAAATAAGAAAACAGCAAGAAAGTAGAAATAGTAAAAAGCTATGTGGGAACTTAAAAAAGGTAACCATTGGGAAAATATCATGAAAATTTCGATTTAGAAGGAATTTAGTTGCCAGTACAATGGAGAAATCGGTAAACCAATAAAAAGTATTGTGCAGTATAGATCTCTGGACAGTAATATTAAAACTATGGTCAAACAAGAGGTCAAGAAAAAAACATTAAAAGGTTGTAAAGGTCACCCAATGAAGGCGTAGGGATGTGGTGGCTCCTACACCCCGGCCATTGTGCCGCAGATAGCCACTGGCCCTCCAGTTTGGAGGTACTGAACACTGACACACACATGCAGTACACTAACAACAGCACACTACACTCATCCTTACACTACAGACCAAGGACACTCACATTACACACACTAGGATCACCTTCCCTTAGTAGCCGCTAAGGATGGGGGTGCCCCTTCACCTGACTGGGGGGCAGATGGCTGGTAGCCCATTCTCCTTAAATTTCTCTTATCACGATTATGTCATAGAAGAAAAGCCGGACTGCTAAACTTGGCAACGGACATTGGCGAGGAAAAGGATTCAAGATTGGATTGTGGAATGTTAAAAGTTTGTCCACCTTAGTTACGAGCCTAAACCTTGATATGGTAGTAAACAAGTACGGAGTTGACATTTTGGCTTTGCAAGAAATAGGATGGAGAGAATTAGATTTCATTGTGCTTAAGGATTATAACCTGATTAACAGTGGAGACAGGACCAATAGATTGGGGACTGGGTTCATGGTTAAAAACAAATGGAAAGGAAGTATCTTGAGATATGAAAACATTAGTAACAGAATGTGTTACCTAAGGATTTAAGTACGATTTTGTAACATATCCCTGATAACAGTACACCCTCCAACTGAAGACAGTGAGGAAGAAGTCAAAGATAATTGTTATGATGCGTTGGAAAGAATTTATGATAGGCTGCCAAGATACGATGCCAAACTAGTCTTAGGTGATTTAAATGCGATAATGGGATTCCAGGCAGTGAAACCTGCCGGGGGCGCCCCTCTCCCCTGGACGTAGAAATATTTTTAAAAGTTCCAAAAAAAAACAGTTATTTAAAGAAAAGAGAAATCATTAATCATAGACGATGAATTGCCTAATTTAATATATAAAAAAAATATTAACATGACCAGCACTAGCGAATTTTGCCAGGTGATACCTCCTTCCTTGGATGGTGGAAAAAAAACGAAAAAAGTGACGTAAAACATTTATTTAAAGAAAAGAGAAATGTAGGAAAAATTCATCCTCATACACCAATTTCACCAATAATGTAATATATAAAATTAAAAAAAAAAAATTTATCGTCAGATCCAGAGGGATGCGCCATTCCTTGGATGGTGGAAACAATTCCGAAAAAAAACCAGCTATTTAAAGAAAAGAGAACTATAGAAAAAAATCATCCTCTAAAACGAGCTCGACAATCTATAACTGGATCTTGGTTACCTCGAGAATTTTTCTCCATGTTTCCCTGCCCTAGACTCCACCAGTTCCTGATTCCATAGGTTTTGGCATCAGCATTTACTCCATTTTCCATCTCAGTTTCGGTCTTCCCGCTTTTCTTTTTCCACACGGCTCCATGCTCAGCAGCTCCTTTCGGATTGAGGTCTCGTTTATCCTTGGCTCTTCCATCTCAGCCTTGCAATTCGGATATATTTCACCACGTTAGCTAGTTCTTGGCTGCGTCTAATTCTTCATTCCCCATTCTCCTTAACTGGGCCTAATATCCTCCGAAGGACCTTTCTTTCAAAATATAATATTTTAAGCAGCTGTTTAATGAAAAGAGAAATATAGGGACTAATCATCCTCATAGACGAATTTTCTAATGTAATATATATAAAAAATATATATATTATCGAGACCAGCACCAGCGAATTATGCAAGGGAGCCGCCCTCCCCTCCCTCTCCAACATCCATTTCTCCTCCCCCCCCCAATAATATATTCCCCACCCAACCCCCCCTAACCCCCCTCCCTCAAAACCCTCCCCTCTATCATCTAAAAATTTCATACTATCATCAATCTCCTCAATACCACCATACTCATAAATAATCAACAATCCACCAAACATTACACCCTTATCCCAACCTCCTCTCCTTCCCAAACAAAACCTCCCCCCATCCCCAACCAAACAACAAACTCCCACAAAACAACACTCTCCCCTCCCCAACATTTAAAAACCAATTCCACCTCAAAAACAACCTAAACCCATCACATTCCTCCAATCCCCCACCCTCCCCCACACTACACCAATCCTCACCCATCTTCAACCACCCCCATCACCACAACACCAAATACACAAACCCAACCAACTCCCTATAATAACAAAACAACCCACTCATCCATAATTTTCCTAAAACCATCCTTCCTTACCACCAACAAAATTACACCTCAAATCACTACCACTTCCCAACAACATCTAAAAAAAAACAACTCTCCCACCAAACCCACCTCAACAAAATTCAAAATCCCAATACCTACCCCAACTCAACCAATATTTATTAACATTACCACACCCAAACCACCCCAACAACCTAAACTTTACACTAACTCCACCCCACCCATTCCCCACCAACCAAAAACCTCCCCTAAAAACTCCAAATCAACCCCATAAACCACTACCACAACATCTCCCCCCCAACATTCAAAAATTCAAACCCCTAAAACACAATTATCCACTCTTCCTCCCCAAACTAAAAAACCATACACCCCCCCAACCCCTTCATACACCACCTACTACTTTCCACAAACCCTCCATATCCCCTCCTCCATCACCCCTCAAACCAATCCCTCCCTATCTCATATACCTTCATCCCACCACCCCACAACACAATCCTCCCCCCACAATCAACCTTCATTCCTCAAACCCCACCCACCCACCCTTAATCCAAATTAACCCCTCCACACTCTCCAAGAACCTCCAACGAGAATAGTCAAACTACCACTTGCTGTTCACGCAATCAATCGAACTATCAAACACCTTACATTTCCCTCACACGACCATACATAAGGAAACATGGGCCTCCCCAGACTGACAGAGAAGAAATCAGATCGATCACATTCTAGTGGACTCAAGACATGCAACACATATTCGAGATGTCTGAGTGTATTGGGGAGCCGATTGCAATTCAGACCACTTCCTCACCATCATGAAGTACATAGGACATTAATCAACAATAATAATTAATCTATTAATAATTAGTATGTATATAATATTAATTTTAAATGACTGAAGTTCCCCCAGTGGGCAGCCAGAGCTGAGGTGTCTGAATCGGTATAGAGTTTGTAGATATGCAGACAGGATTGACTATCTAAAGAAGAAAACGAGACAGGCTGACCGTGTTTATAGCAACAAGACGGCCAGAAGAAAGCGGCTAGTGGTCTCTGGTGACATAAAAAAAGAAAGAAATACGAGCTCTTAAAACGACAACATGAAAATAAGAATGTAGGATGTTTCTTTGGGAGAGTATGACATATCAGACAGGGATACAATCCACGACATGAACTTCTAGCTGTCAGGGGGGATGTTATTATTAGGTGGATGAGACACTTCCAGGGACTACTGAACAAGGAAGAACTTGACGAGAACATAACACAGCAGAACCTCAACCTGGATCGCACCCTAGAAAATGAAGATGGAAAGGATGTGGAAACAACACCTGAGAAGGAGATACGTTAGGGAAGTACTCCACAACATTAAGAATTATAAAGCTCCAGGAGTCGACTGTAGACCGGTGGAACTGCTGTAGTATGGTGGAAGGACAGTTCTTGACGAACTATTCAAATTAATTTTTGATGTGTGGGTGAATGGAAAGATGCCAATAAATTGAACTACAGCTCTTTTATGTCCCATCCATAAAAAAGGGAGACAGACTGGAGTGTGAGAATTGCAGAGATATAGCCCTACTTAAAGTAGTTTACAAAGTGCTATCGTCTTTGATTTGTAGGAGGTTGAAGACGTACATGGAGAAGATTGATGGTGACTACCAAAACGGATTCAGGCAAGGAAGGTCAATAATTGACTGCATATTCACCCCGAGACAACTGTTGGAAAAGACACATGAACTTTATAACTTTATGTTATTATCCATAAACTTTTCATAGATTTCCAGGAAGCCTATGACCGCGTTGATAGGATAAACATTCTGCACGATTTATAAAGTTTTGGAATTCCCAGGAAGCTAATGCGTCTGGTTGGGATGACGATGACCCGTTCTAAATGTCGGATCAAATCATAGGGCTCACTGGGACAGGAGTTTTTCAGCCAATAATTGTTTTAGAAAAGGAGACTCTGTTAGCAACTCTCTTTGATTTTCCATGGAGGGATCCATGGCAATACGAGGCATAAGAACGAATCCTGGAAGCACCACATATAACAGATACACACTAGTATTGGCCAATGCGGATGATGTTCACCTGATAGCCAGAACGCTGCTGGCGCTTGACGGAGCGTTGGAGTGAGAGACAAATAGAAGAGGACTCAAGATCATGAAGCGCATCCAGAAACCCCCACAGATGCCACCAAATACAATCAATATTAATGGTCATAACTTCCCTGTTTGTAAGGCTTTTAAATATCACACTATGGAACACTAGTCACTGAAAAGAATGAGCTACGCAAGGAAATAGTTTCAGGAAATCGTTGCTTTTTTGCAATACATGAACAGTTTTGAAGTTCAAAGATCATTCTTGGAGCGCGAAGGTCATCGTTTACAAGACAATTATTCGCCCAACAGTCACCTATGGCAGTGAGACATGGGTCCTGACAAAGGAGATGGGGAAACGACAATCCACCTGGGAAAGAAAGATGCTAAGAAAAATATATGGAACAGTATACTCTGATGGAGATTGGAAAATCAGAAAAAATGAGGATTTAAGAGCATCGTATGATCAGCCAGACATAGTAAGTATAATATAAAAAGGAAGGCTGAGGTGGCTCGGGCATGTGGAGCATATGAAGGAGGATTGTCTTCCAAGGAAGCTATTTTTTGAAAAGCCAGGTAGTACCCGAAAGCGTGGATGTCCCAGAATGAGATGACTGGAGGATGTTGAGGTAGACCTGAGCCAACTTGGAGTTAGAGGATGGAGAGCGGTTGCTGGCGATAGACCAGCCTGGTGTGCAATTTGAGATGAAGCCCATTCAAGGGCAGTAGCATTGAACATTATTAAGTCTTGAAAGTGCTGAGAAAAAAAAAATAAACAGACCAATATTTTATATTTTATTAAAAACTTGTAATTTCTAAATATATAATTGGTGATACATCAAATTTTAATAAAATCAGGTACAACAATATTTTAAAAACAATATACATCGAATAATTTCAATTTCTCTTTTAATGGCATAATTCTTCATAAGATACAGGAACTCTGTTATCACTATTGCTACCCTTCTGGACATGATTATTAGCTGAAAAAAGTAAAAATAATCACATTAAATCACAACCAGAGATTCATACTTGATTATAACCAATCAAAAATGTTAATATAGGTATGTAAAAAGTTAATGCAAGATATAAAAAATATAGAATAAGATGCCTTACCAGCAGCTTGCCACGTAGATCCCACTTTTGATGCTGGACTGGAATCATTACTAGGTGGAACATACGGCTGACGTCGAGCATAAGTTACACTAAGCTTTGATTGACCGGCAACAGATCCATGCAGCTGCAAAGTTATTTAACTTAAAAACAATATACATATTTTTTTTTTATCTTAAGACTTGTCCTATTGCAAGTTCTATTTTGTAAACAATATTTTGATGAAATATATCCAAGTACATCACAAATATATATATATGGTATATGCCTTGTAAAATTATCTTGAGGCTCTTTCAAAACCAATAAAATCATTTTTTCATTGTAAAATCTTTTATTTTTAAGATGATAAATTTAAAATTTTTACTTTCACTTTCCCATATTTAATTATTATACCCTTCCTTGCCTTACAGCTAGATGGGTTTTGCAGAGATGACATATCGTGGAATGCTATCAAGTTTAAAAAATGAAAGGTCATAGAAAACTGAAATTACATATTAAAGGTAGGTATACACTTAGAATGCTACTGTAGGTGGGGTGGCTAACGCGTGTGCACAGCACTGCCGTTGTCCAGCAACCTCATATATAAGACAAATTAATAAAAAATAGTCATGAGTTCGCGTCCTGGTGCCAGGGGAGTCTTTTAAATCCCCGCCCTCACACCATGGCCTGAATGGAAAACCCCGTTAGCCTTAAAGGCGAGGAAGGGAAAGAGCCAAAAAAAAACCCAAAAAAACATGGAATGTTAAAGATCCTCTTCATCAAAACAATATAAAATTAATTAACCTCAATGAAACAGTCTGACTTGGCTTAAATGTCTAATTTTTAAATTTTATGTAAGAATATGAGAATATTTTTTTAACTAAGCAAGATACATTCTTTTAAAGAATTAAAAATTGAATAAAAAAATATATTAGGAATAGTTATTAATTACAATGATAATTTATAATTTTTAAAAATCTTAGCAAATACAATAGACTAACAAATACTTACATCATTAATAGCTTTTTCAGCAGAAGTTGCTTCTGCGAACGTGACAAACCCACGACTGGAAACAAAATTGAAAACATTATTACCTTTAAAAAATTTTCACTTGTAAAAATTGTTACAAAAAAATTAAAAAAATTAACATTAAAGAAATAATCTTACATCTCTTTCATAGATAGTTAAATGTTTTTATTATCATTTTAGGTTCTCTCAATTTTGATGGAGCACACTACAATAATTATTTTTTTCATTATACATAGAAAACCTTAAGTAATTTTTCACAATAAATTAACATTTCACATTTAAGCAAATTCACATTAGAAGTTTTGTTAATTGGGAATTAAGAACATGTGGATTTAGCTGTTACCAATATAACAATCTAAACTGGCATTGGCTTACAATTAAGGTACCCTTGTTTCTAGATATAGCTTTAAAAATATGAGCTTTAATAGATAAAGAGCCTAAGAAAAATATTAATTTGCTAATAGCCCTAGAGCCAAGGCTTAAAAAGGGGCCTCACAGCAGGCAAAGGTTTGAATATAAATGACAAATGTCTATGTTAATTCAAGCAAAATGAAACTTGTCTAAAATTCCAGAGCCACTGCTTTCAAAACTGGTGGCTTTGATTTAAAGAATATCATACCAGTAACTTGAGCATTTAAACAACAAATATATTACATAAAATATTATTTATTTATTTTATTTTCTTCCATACCCTGCTTTTAGGGCAAGATGCGAATTTACAGTAGTTACTTAATACACATGCCTGCTTAACAAATCACTGGCAGCAAGTTTATCTTTTACATTATAATAAATTGCAATGCACACAAATTGCTTTGATTCATTTTTAAATTTTTTCTTCCACCATTTTCTTCTCCTGTTCTATCCAGCGGTCTTCCAGGTACTGTTTCATTATGCCTACCCAAGAAGTGGATTGGGCCAACAACTTGTTTCCACCAGCACACAAAGCTTTTTAAGTGAGAATAGTTTCGTATAGACATCAGTGGATAGAATTCGTTTTCTTTTAAAATGTTAAGTTCTGTTTCACTCATCAATTTGGTCCTCAGTGTCACGTCTTTTTTTTTTTTCTAACTTGTGTACATTGGTTCAAACATGATAAAACAAAATTGCTAATGTGGTCCACCAAGGAAAAACTGTATATAGCCAAAAAAGTCAAAAATTTGTTATCTGTTTTGTTTTTTTCACCTACAACTCCTAAATGGAGGTTCATCAAGCGAAAAACATACTCTTTCAGACATTAAGTAGTGCGTCAAACAAGAACATGAACTTCATAATTTAGTTAAGTGATACTGACAAAACCACGGTCAAAAAATTCTAATTTTTACTGAATTCGTCAAAATCCAAGACAAACTACTATAAATAGCCCAGCAGCATGGCAATGAGTTCACTAAAAGAAAACTCCTAGAATTAAAGTTTTAGAGCACCAAATTCTGTGCAGTACAAACTTTTTTAATGTAGGTCACTTACTCTACTCAAATTTGGTTATCTTCCGATGGCTTAAAATTGGTAATGAAGGCATGTGTGATTTTCAATATTGCAACAGTATGAATGTCTCTTCTGCTGAGTTATTCTTTTTATAGATTTTGCTATATGCCATATAAGCCTCTTTCCACCTCTCAGCAGTGAAGAAACTAGGTTTTAAAAGAAAATGAATTTCATGAAGAAATAATGAATACCAATGCGAGAGACTTAATTGATCTACATTAAAAATGTTGGTACACTGTGGCAGACTTGGACAGTATTTCAAATAAATTATTTTAAAATACAAAATAAAATACATTGTTTGTAACTGTATTTTCTTTTCAAAATACAGAATACATAGAATATATTTTATTTTGTAATTTAAATACATAAAATACATTACTAAATTGAGAAGGTGCCTTTAAGTTTTGTAGTAATGCTAATCATTCATACTAGAACTTGCCCATGAAAATTGAGCTTGAAATTTCTTTAAAGTCGATGGTACTAAATTTTTAATACAATTTTTTTTGGCAATAAAACTGGAAGATATTTAAAAATGATGAAAAGTTCTAGGATTTTTTCTTTGGTAGGATGAAAGAGTTCATTATCAATAGATATATTGTTGGGAAAAACAAATGTATTTTTATATATATGTTTTTAAAGAATTTTTCCTAAAGAACAAGAAAGAAATGCTCGAATTAATCAGAAGAAATATATTAATTTTTTGTTACAGTGAAGTTGAAAATTACAATGAAATGCTCAAGATATTTAAAAAAATCTAGGATGAAATTATAAAACAAAAAATTGCACATAAATTTTTGTTATTGAAAATTACAATTAACCTAAGAAATTAATAAAAATAAATTATTTTCAGTAAAATTATTATTATAAATTATAATTCATATTTTATGCTAATGATTTTTTACTAATCACTTAATATAATGAGAGAAAAGAAATTTTAATATATTTATTGTTGATAAACTAACTGAGCCTACAAATGACTAAACCTAAATTAGGCAATAATTCAAATACCTCTTTGTATACAAATACCATTCTTGCTTAGTTTAAATTGAAGAAACCCTAAAATTTCTACAAGATGGATGAAAATATTTATAAATCCTGGATGACTACCCAGTCATCCAATATAATGCTATACATATCGTAAGAGTCTCGATTTAAAATATATTTAAAGATTTCATGAGATGGTAAGTCTGCGACAACAGAGAATTGATGAGTAAACTTGATCATTGGAAGCTCAGCACCCTGCCACTAAGCTACCCTAATCCCTCATAATGTTTTTATGACTTATAGAATTTTTTTCTTTCATATCAACAACTGAGTTTTAATATACATTTAGGTAAACAATTATTTTATCTTCAACGTTTATTTTTGTTTATTAAGGTGCACAAGATATTTCAAATGAATAGATGAATGCATTGCATGGCTCATCAGTATCCAACTCAAATTAAACTTTCCTAATAGAATTGATTACCGGTGGCTTTGCACTAAATCTTCAAAATGTTTTGTAAAAACTGAAAAAATTGCACAAAATTATAGATTAAGAATTAAAGACAAAAAAGTAACTTACTCTTTTTCAACCTCCATTGTTATATTTATAATTGCCCCACATTGAGAGAAAGTTTTTTCTAAAAGTTCTTTGGTAATGCTGTAACCACGCACAAAAACAGTGTTTCCAGTCCTGGTTTCTGTATGAGATGTTGAATGTATTGGTTTTTCTGGTCTGTCATCTCTCCTTGCTATGGGTATAATTGGCTCATAAACTTCCTAGAATAAAATATAAGATTTTTTAGATTATTTAAAATTATACTTTAAATTCAAATTAATATTTTATAAAAGCTGTACAAAGAAATCTAAAACAACAAATTCGACAACTGGTCAGAATAACTAATAACTACTTTCAATCTGTAACACAGCAAATATATTTAATAAATTGTTTAATTGAAATATAACCGTCATGTCTCGTTGAGAGGTATACTAAAGGCGGCAACGGGTAGCAACTCTATCACTTGAGGCTTGGCTGCATGCACTCCAGACCTTATACATTGGACTAATGCCGCAGGGATCTTGCAGTCATTGCCTGTCTCTATTTCCTTCTATAATCAGCAAAGGCAGCTTTTACATTGAGGCAACCAGTAGTAACCGCTTCACTTGTGGCTTGGCCACATGCTTCAGTTGCCCTGGCCTTTCACGTAAGAAGCATAAAGAACTAATCTCAGATTTCTTCCGCAGAAAGCTCCCCATAATCAATAAGTGCAGTTTGCATGCAACGATTACATCGGCTTGTTAAAAAGTGTTTATGTGCGGACGAGAGAAGTTTTATTTTTACCAATATAGTCCAATAAATCAGCCAAAATGGAAGAAGAAAATTCCGAAGGTTTGAAACTTGGTGTAAAAGCTCATTCTAATTACCTGTACAATATACTAGAAGTCCCCGATGGTGGAGCTCGAAGAAAGAGAGTAATTTTTTACACTTTTTCTTAAATATCTCGGATATTGAATACTGAGTTTAGCCAAAATCAACACCTATACAAAATTAAAATAGAATACAATCTCTTCACAAGAGATTCTATTATTTTTTTACCATATAGACTATAATTTAAAGATAAGAATCGGAGGTAATTAAAAATGTGGGTTTTAGGCTAAATTATTATAATTATTTGAGGTACAAATAATTTTGATCCTATGAACCATAAAATACATAAATTGTAAGTAATCAATTGTTTAAAAATTACCTCTGATAAAAGCATGTTTTAAATTTCCGATGACAGAGAATTTGGTGAAGAAAAATTGTGTCTCTAGATTTCATTGTGTAATTAAGAGAGAAAATGAATAGGATCTTTTGTGAACAGAAAGTACCCTCGTTTAAATATATCAATTTTTTTTCTTGAAATAGTTTTCAGCTAAACCCAATATTCACTGTGATATTTATGAAAAATTGTAAAGTTGTATGTTGTACTTTACCTCCTCACCCGCCCTTGAATAAATTATTACAAGCATTTTATTTATGTGACCTGAGATACTATGTGTCAAATTAATTTCTAAAATATGCACTTTACTTATTAAATGTATGTAAGAAATGCTGTTTTTTAAATTGAAATGATCATCTTAAGTGGTAGTGCCCCTGTTCTGTGTCAGCGTGCAATAGCCAAAACTCCCCTATAGTGTATAGTAGATGAAAACATGGGCCTACTAGCATTAGCAATAGTAGTACTATTAATTAAGGACTAACACAGATTTTTATTTTGTTTTTTTAAATTCAATCGACTATATCTTCAAACCCATAGGCAATAGGTGCAACCCCCAGAGGCAATAAATTAATAAATTCATTTTCAAAGATAATTTACTCTAGTTAATAGGTGTTTTTGGCTAATTTCAATATATACTGAGATAATTCAGAAAAAGTTTAAAATGTCCTTTAATTACTTCCCTCCCTGGGTACACATCTCCACTGTCACCACCAGCATGGATCAACTTGGCAGCTTTGTGGCTAAATTGACAGGATTACTGTACTATTTCAAATTAATTAAGATTTTGGGATGATAGGAACAAGATTTAGTAATTGATCTGAGTCCTGTGATTCATTAGCATAAATTTTTTTTAACCCAAAAATAACTTTCTACCATCAATTTGTAAAAAGAATTCTCATGACCCTAGTCTTGCTCAGTTCAAAATCACAAAAGCAGCAGTGGTAACCGCTGGCATTGACATATTGAAACCAACGGACAGATCTGAATAGGAATTGCTTAAGTTGAATGCGCTAACCATAGGCAATGTAAAAGATGTATATTTTTGTGGGGCAAACGCTCCAAGCATGCACGCATGCAGCAAGGAAAGGAGACAGGTTGTCACTAGCTGCTGCTTGAGTCACCTTGCAGAAGCCTTTAATAACTCTAGTGTAAAGCTACCTTAAGACCACTTGATCACACTGTATCTGCAATGCCAAAGCTAGACAAGCACATCTACCTTTTGACACATTTCATACAAAATAAACTAAATGATTTAGAATAAATAAATTGATCTGTAAATATAAAAATAGTTCCATATAATTTTAATTCTCATATCTAAAACAAAAGTAATTTAAATTTTCAATTAGAGCTTTACCTACTTGTTTACATCTATGCTTCATCATGTCATCCTCTTCCTGAAGGGTTGCTGAAAATGGTTGATATCCTGAAACAGTTCTCTCAAGTTTTCTTTCGAGGCCTCGAGGTCTTTTAAATCCAGCTTGCTCATCTCTTTTTGGGGCTTTTTGTATTGCTGCAATAGCTCCAGATCTGATTAACTTTTTAGCTATTTCTCTTGCATCTCTAGCTTCCATTTGTGGCCTTTTAATTGGAGTAGTCCTTTCTGGTTCTTGACGAGGAGCTTTCAAGTTCTGAAGCGCTTTTTTCTGAAGAAAATTAAAAAAGATTAATATTGGCAGGTAATGATACTTTAAATTCCTCTTTGATGTAATACCAGAGGCTGAACATTTTGACATAGCATGAACAGTCAAGACATTTTTAAATATTTGAAAAAAAAAATAATATCTGTAGATGGTAAGGCACACCCTTCCCCACCCAAACATGCGTACACATAAATAATAACTTTAGGATAAAAATACTACATAAACAGAATGAGAATACTGATTATTACAAGATTAAAAATTATTGGAATAGGTGACAATACAAATACCTTTCTTTTCAACTTTTCATATTTTGCTTGAAGCATCATTTCTTCTTCAGTAAAATTTGCTGGTATGTGTAAATAAACCATTTTTGATGAATTTATAAACGAACAACAGAAGACAAGTTACACAATGCTCCACTACCATCGATCGTGAACGATCCGTTACCAAATTACTAACATCCATTCAGAAAATTCAAACTTCTATTGAAGATATTTTAATACCTCTAGTATTTCTCGTATGAACCAACATGTCAAATTATTTTGTAAGTCATGGTATATAAATATTAATTTTAATTGTATTTTCGAGGTATGTAGAATTATAAGAAATATGTCGTGTGCCGGTTGTCACCAACCACAGGATCTACTGAGGATGGGGCTTTCAGGATGAAGCCTCCCTATAATATAAAATGTAATTATAAACAAAAGTACATTTCTTATGAAAAAAATCATCTCTAAAAGTATTATTGTTCATGTAATTACATTAATTAGGGCTTCAAGAATCACTTAAACACCATTTCATATATGTAGTTCGTTAGTTTCTTTTTCTTCCAAAGTAATTATCATAATACATATACAAAAAGGCTTTCGGGCCGAAGCCGGATGGCTCCAGCAGATCCAGTATTTAAGTTTGGCGAAATCTAAATCCTGGATCCGCTATTGTCGCTAATATAAGATATGTTGGTGGAACATCTCCGGATGCCTTATTGAGATGTGGAATGATGTAACATATGCATGACATATCCGGTCAAGAGATAAAATAGTTGATGTGGTGAGGTAAATAATGGTCTTTAATAATGAACTACGAAACAATGAGAGGTTTCGTCATTACAGTAGCATTCAAAAATTTCCTGCGCACTACCTATTATGGCTGCAAACCTGAATATGCCATAAATGGCCATGTAGTAGGGGGAAAATGATGTGGCAAGGAAGTTGAAGTTACTACAGTAGTGTACTCTGGCTTGAAACAGCTTCTGAAGCGATGTGGGAATTGTGCTTTTTGTGAAGTTCTTGAGAAAGCCTTTAGATGCCTATACCTTTGTGTTTGCTTTTGTAATACAACACTAGTGTATGGTTGTTTGGAGACCAGTTAGTCTGTCCTAATACAAACGAAATATTTTAGCTCCATTGCTGCTCAAGCAGCAGATTTAACGCTCAGCTTTTTTTTTTTTTCATCCTTTGCCTTTATGGCTGTAACATGGATGTTTTTTGGAGTGGGGTGTTTTGCATGACTGCAAAAGCCCACTTACAAGTTTAACATTTTACAACTTTCTTATTTTCTCTCTCAGAAATATGACACACTGTGAAGAATGGCTTCCGGAATCCAATAATCTTTTGGATGCTGAACCTTTTCTCTTTCGGACTCATTATATAACCCATTATTAAAAATATTAAAAAAAAAACATTGTGAATTAGTATCTAAAGTTTTATTATTTCCTAATAGTTATACAATATACACTGACAGGCGAAAAATTCCACCCATTTGATTTTTTCATGTTTTCATCTGAAAATATTTCTGCTTTGGATTGGTCTATTGTTTTTAATGAATAAATAGGTAATCTTTTTTGTTTGTTTTCAATTAGGAATGTTAATATAGAGGACAATAACCCTTAATCCTTAATTCAATGAAATGATTCTAGATTCAAATGTTTACTTTCAATGAAATCAAAATGTTTATTCAGTATCATTAGCTCAGTGACGTTTCTTGCAGCACATTTCTTAGTCTCCCGCTTTTAATTTTTTTCAATATTAAGTTTAAAAATGCCTCTTAGTGCTGAGGATGTTGCGCGTGGTGTGGCACTTATTGATGATGGACGTTCCATTAGATATGCAGCTAATGCCATCGGAGTTCTATATGAAACTTTACGAGACGCCCTCAGGCGTTTTCGGGAAACTGGTTCTTACAATAGAAGGGCCGGTTCTGGACGGCCTAGGGTAACAGAACCACGGGATGACCGGTTTTTGACTTTGAGAATTTTACGAAACCGGCACCTTACCGTTGTTCAAGCGATTCATCAGCTCGAAGAAGTTCGAGGTGTGCAAATTTCTGAACGTACCACTCGGAGAAGATTAAATGAGTATGGATTAATGGCTTTTCGTCCAGTAAGAGGACCAGAGTCGACCAGAACTCACAGAGTAACACGGCTGGCTTTTGCTCGAGAACACAGCCATTGGACGATGGACGAATGCTGCACTTTTTACAGATGAGTCAAGATTCGCTCTTCGATCTCCAGACGGACGTGAAAGGGTGTGGAGAAGAAGAAACGAAAGATATGAAGCCTGTAATTTTTCCAGAGCCAGCTTTCCAACGTGGTTCCTTAATGGTGTGGGCTGGGATTTAAATGGAGCGCCGCATAGAATTGGTTGTTGTTCGTGGAGGGTCTTTGACGGCCATTCGCTATGCAGATGAGATTTTGGAACCTCATGTGTTGCCTATCCTCAACGATATCGGCGATCGTTCTATTCTAATGCACGATAATGCACGTCCACATGACGCCCGCATAGTGCAGACGTTCCTTCAACAGAACAATATTGAGGTTTTGGCCTGGCCAGCACGTTCTCCAGATTTGAACCCCATTGAGCATTTATGGGATAACCTCGGAAGACGAATAAGAGCGGGAGCAACACTTCCTGATACACTGCTGGACCTTGAAATGGCTCTTCCGAAGGAATGGGCTATCCTCCAGCAAAGGGACATTTTCCGACTTGTGGAAAGTATGCCGAGGCGTCTTCAAGAAGGAGTGAAGGTAAGAGGAGGAAACATGCGCTAGTAAAGGATGATGTAATTAATTTCTTTTAGAATAATAATGGTTCGTTTTTCAATTTTTTTTTCTCTAATCTTTCTTACCCAATCACATTTTGATTATTAAAGATAAAAAAGATTATAAAATTCCATAAATACTTAGTATTACAATCACATTTTGATTATTAAAGATAAAAAAGATTATAAAATTCCATAAATACTTAGTATTATCTACAAATACCATGTATTGTATACCAATACAAATATTTTTAGATGAAAACATGAAAAAATCAAGTGGGTGGAATTTTTTGCCTGTCAATGTATATATCTGGTATGTCTACTTATGTCTAACCACTTTAGATACAAATACCTATTCAACACCCATACAAAAAAAAAATGGTCAGATTAAGATCTCTTTTTTTTTCCTGCTTTGATTTGTGGACAATTTAATTACCTTAAATTAGTAATGATGTATATTACATCACTAATGATTTGTATGTTTTCTACTTTCTCTCCCTTTCTACTTTAACAAGGGTGCTCTGCAGTCTGCAGTCTATGGTGATATCTGGTCTTCTTAACTTTACTGTATTATGTTGATGCCTCATGTCTTACTGATACATACTATATCGCTATTGTTAGTGAAGAGGGAAATTTTTTTTTTTTATTGTTACTGGTTTAATATAATTAGAATGAGGGAGGACTTGATGAATGTTAAGTATTATAATTCATGTGTAGGCAATATGAGAGAATCATATTAGAATTGGTTCTCACACATTAATTGAATATTTTAAATAGCTATTTATGACAAGTTTAGTAATATTTACACTGGTTTAGTTGTAGCCTGATAGATGCAGGAGTAATTTACACCACATGACTTTTATTTTTAAGTTTCTTTGCTTGTTTGAATAAAACTTATTTTATATAAAAGCAGTATGATTATGTTATGCTATGGAGATGTTTAATGAGTACCATTTTCAAAACTAGTTTATTCAGTAATTATTTATTTTCTTCAAATTTTATGACTAATCAAATACTAAATATACTTCATGTAAAGTTCAAGAACTCGGGTAGTTTTGTTATTCACCTTTCAACAACACCACTTTAGTTTAAAATGTCATTTATCTGGAAGACGTGGTGGCCAACCATGTGGATCTCAGAGTGCCCGGTTCTGGACATTATCGATTTGATTTCCACCAATTCTAAACATTCATCTGATTTCCAAATATTTTTAATATCCACATGAATGACACTTAACAATAAAGTGAATCCATCTGGATCAAATTCACAACATTGATAAAACATTTAACGTTAATTGTTTTTTGTAGTTCAAGAATATGACCTGATGAATGATACTCAATAAAAATACTTGTCTAAAAATCTTTGGTTGACCTTTGGACACCTATAAACTGAACTCTGTAGAAAAAACTATGCACTTGATGTCAGAGGCGTCTCCCCCTCCCCCCAAGGTCTATGGCGCAAGAATCAACCTCCCTTCCCTCCTCCCAGGATATTTTAATGCTCACATTTTCTTTTAAAAAGAGCAAGCTAGGGTAGAATTAGAAAAATCATAGATCATATACAATTACATTTGCTGCGGTCTGTTCAAAATTCAAAAATCTGTTAAAATATGCACCCTCAAAAATTTTGGTAGCACAACTTGAGCCATGAAACCCTCTTCTGGATACCCCTACTTGATGTGAATATGAAAACCTGAGATGGCAATTTGTGTTGAAAAATTTCCAACTCCCCTTCATTAGGTTGTTTTAAAAGAAAGCATGGGAAGTCAGATGAATGACATATTTTTTGGATTCCCATGGCTTATCAATTCATGTTCCTTATCGTTATTGGATTACCATTTTTTGGTATTAATAGTAGTGTGAGCACGCTACAAAAATGTAAAATAATTTCAATTCTTGGATATGTCCTGTAATAGTATTCTCAAAGTTGAAAAGTGCCTTCAGGAAACAACCGGATTAAAAGACTCTTGACCTTGAATTTTGATCATGATGGGTTAATGGTTATATCAATAAATAAGGCCAAGTTCTATACAACTTTTTTCTCTAATATTACCAACTTTTTTTCAAAACCACCAAAATGGCTTGCAACAAGAAAATTCAATTTTCAAAGAATCACCCAAATGTATATTGATTCATTTTTTAAATATAATAGGTTTTTGTAATTGTACACTTTCCAATTTAATAAAAAAAAAAAATTGTTGTTTACTAAATGTAAATTTTGCCTGTTCCTCAATGTGAGAGAATGTTAAAGCATGTTAGCATGTTTAAATCCACAAGAATTTAAAATTAGTTGGAATAGAGTGAGCAATCATAGGTTATTTTATATATATTTCTGTAGGGAAATGGTGCAGAATATAACAAATTACACAATATCGGACAAAAGATTTTTTCTTTTTATAAAAAAAAAAATACAGGTGTTAAAGGTTTTAAATAACCAAGATAAAGAGGTTGTTCTCTTTATTGTTTCACCTAATGGTCATACTTAAGATTAATTATAAATAGTACTGTAATAAATTATAATCTTGCTTGATATTAATTTTTTTTATTTTATTTTATTTTTCAATTCATTTATCAGAGGGTCACTGAACAGAAAAGAAGTTAACTTCTATTCATCATCAGCACCACCGATGAGCATCTGAATGAGACCTTCAGTGTCAATCATGCCTTGGTCATCAATGTCCATGGCATCAAAGGCATCAGCGACTTCCTTCTTGGTGAACTTGTCTCCCCAAGTCAAAAGAGCATGTTTTAAACTGGAAGCAAAAAAACATGGTATTTGTACTAAAATGTGATGATACAGAAAGCAAACTTACTTTAACTTATTAAAAACAAACAAAAAAACAGATTCAGTACAGCATGGAAGTACCGTTTCTTGGTCAACAGTTGTGTAGGGAGGTAATTAGGCTGGAATTATGCTCAGCCCACAGGTTTTTATCCTTTATCATTTAATTACATAAGAGTTCTCATTTTACAGAGGCTGATTATTTCCCAGAAGGGTCTCCGAACCCCAGGGTCGATCCACGGCTGATGAAATAGAATAAATTATTATCTTCTTCAGCCAGACTCCGACCTTGGTAACTGAGAAAAGCAGCAGAGTGTCTTACTCACTGAGCTATCCCTTCTCTATAATTTATTTTAAAAACATGGTTGTCTTAGTTAATATTTTTACACCAGAGGTAAAGGGTGCTGTGTTAGAAAATGTTAACATTACAGATTCTCTCTCAAATCAAATTTTCTTTATGTTCATCTGACTTAAAAGTTTTTTAATAAAAATATTGTTAAACTTTTTATTTAATTAATTGATTGTTTGTCGATGGTTCTGTTCTTAAATAACAGCTGGAAAGGGAATGCAAAGTGACATTTCCATCTAGCTAATTTCTTTCTTATTAAAGAGGAGGAATTTGTATCTGAGATAAAAAGTGCAAGAGATAAAACGATAAAAAATTAGGTTAAATTCAGTTTTATGGAAAACTATTAGTTCTTACTTCTGGTAACCATGAATCAGTACTTTTTGTCTTTAGTCTATAGTTCTTCTTGTTTCCTTAATACTACACATTTTTTAGATATATAAACTTACACTTCACTGCTGATGAGGCCGTCTTTGTCGAATGCTTTGAATGCATTTCTGATGACATCATCGGGGTCAGACCCTAGAGTAAAAATTCAATTAACTTTCATCCTGATATTTATTCACATTAAATCTTGTAAATTATAAAATGCTTATTACCTCCAGACATCCTCTGGGCGAAGAGTGTCAGCAACTGGGTGAAGTTGACTGGTCCAGGTGCTTCAGCAAGCATTTCATCAAGTTCTTTGTCAGTGACGAGCTTGCCGACCTGGTCCCAAGTGGATCTGAGATCTTCTTTTCCAAGGATACCATCCTTGTCCTTGTCCATGAGGGAGAAACCCTAGCATTCAGAATAATAAAAATTATATACATCAGTATTCACTTTATGTAGATAAATGAATTTTTGGTTTCAGAAATTTTTAATTGTAGTTCCTAAGTAAATTGGTATTTTAATCACATTTTGAATATTACAATCTACAATTGAATGAAAACATTGGAAAACTGGTGTATGCATTAATGTTCCAGAATGATTAAATTTTTGCTATGTTTTAAACATTTTAAATTTTGTAGGGATATTTTATCTTTACCATAATGGTCAATAAAAACAAAGTTTAGTAATCTATAGGTCAGGTTTTATACCCACTTCTTTGAATTCTGCCACTTGGAACTCAGTGAACATGGAGAAGACAGAAGATCCAGAGCGCTTGGCCTTCTTGCTGCTCTTGGATGAAGGCCTCTTGGCAGGGGCAGGTGCTGGTGCTGGTTCAGGTGCAGGCTCTGGAGCTGGAGCCTCAGCTGGGGCTTCAGCTTTCTCTTCTTTTACCTTCTTCTTCTTCTTCTTCTCCTTATCCGCCTGTTTTAAATGCAATTGGTAATTAAAAAATACATGTTTTGAAACAAACAACTAAATAATCTTTCGATCACCAATTGGACTATAACTCGAATATAATTTGAATGTATTAGTATGCTATTTATTTTGAGATTTCTATCAATTTTAATTTCAAATATTGATTTGTTTTATTTATTTCTTATGAAAGTTATATAAAGACTTAATAACATCATTGTTTTAAATTTATAAGTTTTTCTCTTTTCATTGAAAAATGAATACAACATATTTAATTCATTAAAATTGATAACCTACTAAGTTCTAATATAATTATATTAAATTTTCTTATAACCATCATTTTTAATTCCAAGACCTTATAGTTTATTCTGTATACTTTTTTCCTCTATATTAGTTTGGTAGATATTGACATGTTACTAAGATACTAGCACATATTAAAGAATATTGGTTATAAAGGGTTAAATTCATGTTTTTAATTCAAATGCTATATTTAGTTAGTTTTATTGAAAAAGAAAATAAATCTTGAAGCATCGATTTTACATAAATCATATCATTAAAAATTAACAGCTTATCCAAATTCACGTTCTTTAAATTAACTTTAAATAGCTTCAACATTACGGTACAAAACATTTTATAATATAAGCATGACTTTTTAAAACAAATAAAATTAATTGATATCTGTAGAAGCTTTTATTTTCGAAACAATTTTATTAGCTATTCATTTTTTTTAAAATAATTTAATTTTTTTTTTTAATGTATTATAGAAAATCTTTAGGAATTGGCAAGTCTTTATTTTATTATTTAAAGTTGATAAAATTTTTCAAAATTAATTTTTGTGAATTGATGTTATTAAATGTCATGTTAAACTGATCGCAATAGTTATTTAAATATATGCTACTGATTTCATAGAAGAAGAGCATTGGATATTGGATACCTAGCCTTAAGTAATGGATTAATTTATAAGACGCCATAATATTTGAGATTAAAATTTGCTTACACTTTAAAATATAATGTCATGTTACTCATGTCATGGTATTAATTCTTATGGTTGCAGAAGAAGGGATATCCTACCCGGCCTACATTGACTTTTAAGGAGATTTAAATATAGACTCAAACCGATGTTAAAAGGAGGGCTTTAGATTTTTGGAGGTCTGCCAGAAACATATAAAAATAGATCACTATTGATATGTACTTATGTTCCAGCCCATTTGTTTATGCTATTTCTATTTTAGGAATGAAGTAATAAAAAAGTTAAAAGAGAAAAAAATCTTTTATTATATTACAGAAATATTCGCATAGTAAAACTGTGTTTTTTAAAATGAAATTTTCTAGTACCGTAATGAGTATTGAACAAAATATAAAGATTTAGAAGATTTGGATTAAAAAACTTTCAAGTATTTTCCATTTGAAACACGAAGTAGATTTTATTAAAAATGTGATTTATTTCAAACAATAACAAAGTCACAGCGTAAGGTTTGCAGTTAAAATAAAATTTAGTAGTATTCATTTGATTATTATGTTGACTAAAATTACTTTAAAACGATAAGAATATTATATTATGTTTATATAAAAAAAAACAACGTAAAAATAAAAAAAAGTTGTAAGTTAAATATAATACAAAACTTAAAAGAAACGAGGCACAGTGTGCATGTAATAAAAATTCAAAATCTTTTATTTTTATTCCACAACAGTTATGACCACACCCCCGTATGATATGTAAGATAAAATTTGCAAATAGATGATTCAGACATAACACTCACCATGATGTTTAGTTGATGTCTCTAAAGGCCCGACTGACTCTGCCCCAGGCTATCCTTACTACTTTGTTCTCCCCCACTCAACTCCCTTCTCTATATTTAAATTTTCTCCCCACCAAATCCATATATAGGTAAGAGGTATCGGTGTGTGCCCTACATCCTATTTCATTGTCTTTATTATTACTAGTTTTAAAAGCTAATAATAAAATACTACAAAGCAATTAATCATAAAAACTTTGCCAAGTGTAAATACTTAAAATCGAAATGTCAGAGCATTACTCTGATTAAATCTTAGTTTTTTAAAAGCCATTTCATGAAATATATATTAATCAATATGTATATATTGTTTTATCACTCTAAGTTTAAGGGGGAATATAAGATTAAATATTGAAGCTAATTTAATTTTTTTAGTTTAAGCATCGATCAATTTTCATAAACAACTAATAACTATACATTTTGACATTTGAAGATACTACATGTCCAGGACTTAAAAATAGAAGTTATTTTATGCTCCTTAATCAATTACCGATCTTTAAAGTCTTGGAGACCATTTCCAAAAAGGTAGATTATTGAAACAAGTAGATGAGAAGCCATGAAACATATTTCAATTAATGATATCCATTATTATTGTCTAATTACATTATTTAATGAGGAACAGTAATGTAATGCTAGTCGGCCCGTGCAAATAATTCACAGACAATTTTCCTAAGAGAAGGAATAGCAAAACAATATGGAAACCAATAGATCCTATACATTATGTGAAGGAGGAACTAATTGTTTTTTCTTGGTCGGTTACAATATTCCATTTAACATAGTAGACCAAAACATTTGTACAAATTGCTTTACTAGGGCCTATTTTTAAACGCTGACTGGAAAAGTAATAATCAAAATAAAGCCTCGCTCATGGGATCTTTAAATTATTAAAAAATATAAAATGTACAAAAAAAAATGTCCTTAAGAAATAATAAGTAAAAAAAAGGGTAGTAGGAATAGTAAATGCAGTATCTTTGTTAATAATTGTCTGATGTTTTTTTTTTATTTTGTAGATAACTTAGTAATCTTTCTAATTATCATGTGTACAATAAAAGAAAAAAAATTGCATAATTTTTTAGTTATTCGTAAATAAAGCTTCATTTTCCTTAAATTTCAGGATGAAGATCTTTAAAATGAGGGCTCAACCATTAGATATGAAGAAGAATTTATGAAGTTATGGTGCTGCGACCAGAAACTCCTATTTAGAAATAATATATAATATATTTTAGATATTTCGTGAATTCAAAATCATTCTCCTTGCTCTAATATATACAGATGCAAATTTCAAATTACTGACTTAAAATTTTGCTAGCTAATTAAATAAAAATCTTGAGATTTTTTTTTTTAGAAATTCATACTTGTGAAAATGAATTAAATAATTAAGACCCTCAATTATTAGAATAAATACAACTTATAAAAGGTAAAAGGCATTAGAAAATATTGTTGTACTTAGTTGATAAATACATAATTACATCTAAACCAATATTTTGGATATTATTATTATTACAGATATCAATTAATTAGTTAAATTTATTTTTTTCTGTGACAATATTAGAGACAACGGCCATAAGAGGAAACCAAGCTCATTTATTAGATTGATGTATATATATATATACACAGGAGACGTCCACTTCCCTCTGATCCTAGGCCCTTCTTTTGATTAATAAAAAAAATAGAGATTTGATTAAAATAATGACTGAATAAACATTAAATTTTATTACACATGATCAATAAAGATAATGAATACATAACCTATGAAAAATTAGCAGAAAAAGCAAACTAATTCATTAATGAAGGCTTCAAAAATTAAAATAAAATATACCAGAATATAAAATTCAACAGAAAAAATATTAATAGTTAATTTACATATAGTTGAAAAATTGTCATACCATTAAAATGGTTAAATTATAATTACATTTACTGCTACTCATTTTTCTTATTTACGGTGTGATTAAGTTCTTATTTTTCATAATTTAATGCCATTTGTACACCAATGTTTATTGATTTACAATATGGTTATTTTATAAGACACATGGGCCAAATTGTAAAAGCAATTAACATTGGTATATAAATGGCTTTAAATTATGAAAAATAATAATTGCATTTGTTTTAAATTATAAAAATATTTAGATACATAAGTCTATCGATCACAAAATATGTGGTAATAAACTAAAATAAATTTTTTCTGATGCTTTCAACAGAGAATTAATTTTGTAAATGCTTTATTAATGTTCTTGTTTATTGCAATACACTAATACAAATATATTGTAAGAAGTTCAAAATAATTCTGCTTATAGTGGACAGTAATTTCTTTCTAAATGAAAACATTACATTTATTCAGATATATTAAATTAAAAAAAATATTTATCATATAAAAAGAAATAATGGGAATAACAGAAGAAATCATTTTTGTAATTTTTTTATTTACTAATTGTATTAGCATGGTTTCATACAATAAATGGAATCACAAAAAAGTATACAACAGTAATGTACAAGTGTGAAAATCCATGAATAATTCAATGTCAGGTATCTACAAATGGTACTTTTTAAAGTTAAAATGTATTATTTGTCCTAACTTAACAAATATTACTTTTTAAAAAATAAATTATTGTAAGGTAAAACAGAGTACGGTGGAAATACAATACAGAAACTTTATCAGATTTATCACATAATATTCTGATGCCATGACAAAAAACATGTAATAATAATATTTTAGGTTGACTGCCTTGGCTTTAATTCTTCGTAACAAGGTCTTAAAAATATGTAATTCTTCTTAGCAGGGTTGTAAAACTCATGTCCCTAAAAAAAAAAAAGTGAACATTATTATTAATAAGTAAAAACTAAGTAACAAAATAATAATTTTTTTTTTTCAAAATTCTTAACTTTTATATCATTACAATAATAATTACATTGTTTCTTTAGAATAAATATTGCAATGAACTGAAATATTGGTGATAAATGCAACAAGAATTTCGTTTATCTTATAAGCAAAGCCAACAACCAAATGGAGCCCTAGCAATCCACCAGTCCTATTTCTGAATCTCAACACAAACTTAATGTGAAAGAGATGTTAATGTTTTGTCAATCATACATATTTTGTTATTTTTAAATATTTTATTTTATTTTTGCTGTCAATGAGAAACATAAATTATTTCCATGTGCTTTTGAAAACTTATAATTAACTATTAATAATTTATTCTTTTAGTTTTCGATAATTAAAAAGATCGATAATTTTTAAGCATTCAATATTTTTAAAAAAATTAATAATGCCACTCATTAACATTAAAACACAGTTGAAATGTCCACCATTGAAAATATTGATTGTTTGCCAAATAATAGAAGGCTGGCTGCCCTCCTTTATAAATTTGGTGGTCCTGGCAACTGTTAACATTCCCTATATGATTGGAATGTATCTCCCGTGGGCTATATGATCGCTTGTATAGGTTTATAATTAACTAGCTAGCTGTAGTAACTAACTTAAATTTGAAAATGTTTTATAGCTTTAAATGATATACTTGTTTATAGTTAATAATAAAGATATGAGCTGTTGAATATAAAAAGGGGAAAATTGAAATATTCATCACTTAAGAGGAAGTTTTATAAAGGTAGGTATAAAATAATAATAGGCATTTCTTGTTGAGGAATAAAACTTCTCCGTTAAAAATAATCAGTCTCAAGCATAAACAACTATTTAAAATAAGCATGAAGTTGATGTATTTTGTAATTAATTATTTATTATGCAAATGACTTACACATCATAGATACAATGGCTCATATATATTATTTATTTGATTTTAAAAAGTTCAGTAACAAATTAAAATACACAGATATGGTGTACCACGAAAGGAATAAATTATAATTATATGTAATGACACAATGAGTTCATATAATAAAAATACAATTTTTACATTACAGACTATACATTACAAACTATACGTGCTATCAATAGAGAAATGATAGAAGAAATAATAATTAAAACAAATAGAAACAATATCAAAATTATAACATTCAGATTAATTAGAAAGGTAAAGATTTCAGGATTAAATCCTACAATACAAACATATTACAATGTCTTTTGTGTCAATTATGACTATGAGTATACAACTAAACCAATTTTGTCAGCTAATTTTATTTGATTTTTTAATCAATTTTTTAATGAGACATTGTAAGACAATCAAATAAACAAAAAAATTACCTTGGACCAATCATAGCTAACTGCATAAGCAAAAATCTGTCCATTATGAGAGAAAGCACATCGAGTAATTGGTTGTTCCATTACTTCAGAAGGTTTTAATTTTGTCCTAGCATCCTTATCCCAAAAGCTGAAAGTCCCATCAGATCCAACAGTAGCCAATGTACCATGGGTAGGATGAAATGCTATATCATTGACCTAAAACCAGTTAAATGCTTAGATAATACTCTCACTAAGTAAACAATAAATAATCCCTTCAAATCATTTTTTTTTTTTTCATTAGCTTAATATTCTTTACGATCTTTGATTGGGTGCAGTGCACTGCACCTAATCTCTGAGATGAAATACCTAGTTTTATGGAGTGCCTACGAATTGGGACTGCAAAAAATGAGTAGTCTTTAGTAGCTGTTTAAATTAATACCCCAATGCAGGTATATTTATTATTTCATTATCAACTACATTATTTTATTTTTATATTTAAAGCAGGCTTTGAAAATTATTATTTTATAATTTTAGTCATTTTCTCTGCCTCACTTTGTTTTGCATAATCAGACTCAAGTCTGTACAATATATTATCAATGTAACAAAATATCACAACAACTAAAATTGCATTTAACAAAAGTGTGGATAAAATATTTGCTTATTATTCTTTTTGGCATGGACAAAACTAACAGAGAAAAATAGTTTCCAAAATAAATTAAAATCTAGTCAATTTTAATACATTGATAATTTTGAACCAACGATAATTTTTTCTTATAACGTTAGATTAGTCTTATAAATCATAAAAATAGTGTTTAGTGCGATAATTTATCTGAGCATATCATGATTATAAGAAGTATATTGTTTTGAACCATTCTTTGTTTTTCTCAAGGAATTTATTTATTATCTATCTTTTTTTTGGTCATCAAGCTTCCTCCTGCAGAAAATTAAACAAGTAGGTACAACAATAGATGCGGACTATATTAAATGGATGATATGTATATATTTTGTTGAAGAAAAAATAAACAAATAATATTACTGAGTCCGACAAATCCACCTGTCACCAGAAAGCAATAACTGGTATCTGTCCAGTGGTGGACTGTCTCATTCCGCAAAAATGGGATCTAATCCCACTTGGAATATACACACACCAATGTTAACTCAAGCAAACCATTACTAGTAAGACTAGATAACATACAATAAAAAAAAAAACTTAATATCAGGGTTCTTAATTTATTTACTAAAATATATATTTTAAATTTTTATGTAAATAAAAAAAAAATCAAAATGAAATACTAACTGCATAAATATCCTGGTAACCTCCTGTTCCATTGGTCCTATGGCACTTGAAAGTAAAGTTATTTTTGGGATTTTGTGGATTAACATACTGGATGGCAACTCTACCCTCCACACTTCCAAGGGCAAAACCTTAAAAATAAAAATAATTTAACTACTGAAAACAAAACTTGATGTTTTATTCAAGATACATGAATTTAATAGAAGAAGGAAAAGTAATGTAACAGTAGAGAAAACTTAATAATTTAGAATGCCATGCCAGGTGACCAAGAACTCATTACTATTCCTAAACACGAACGAGGAAATGTTATTAAAAATAAATTCCAGATTTAACAAAGGTTATATTTCTAGTATCATGATATCATGCGTATGCATCATAGTTTTAAATATGATAATCTTTAAAATGCTAATGTTCAATACTACTCCAGAATATTGGCTACTAGAAACTCCCCACCCTCCCTCAAATTTATACAGTTTCCGGGCTATATTTTGCCAGCTGCTAACATAAAATACTTATCCCCAACAAATGGTAAATTCTAAAAACTTACACAATCATTATGTCATCATTTATATTACAGTCAGCTTTTGGTATTTTCCATGATGTCGAGTAATTTTATGAATAACTAATATAATTTAACAAGAAAATAAATATTGTTAATACACAAATAAGGGAGCAAGCGTTGACAATGTTTCCCTCTAAGTAAGGTAACTTTACTTACCAATAAAACAAAATATTCTGATGCCTGTTACAAATTACAAATCAGTAGGTTATAGTGAGTTTTGGGTCAGAAACTTGCATTCTGGAGTATCCTCAAATTTTCATTAGATAATATTATTGATAATGATGGAGGCATCGTTCATTATAGAACTAATTCAAGGGGAAGTTGATTGGAGAGAGATATCAGAAATGAAAAACCAAGTAGATAATATTAAGTTGTATTAATGTGCGCTGACGTTATAGAAAAGTTGCAGGCCTTAACCAGAACTAAACATAACAAAATGACAATTGGTAATCAAATATAACAATAAGTCCATTCATCACTAATCAATTATTTATTTGTTAAGGCTTAGCTCACTAAGAATAGTGAACTACAACTGATAAGCTACAATGCGGTTTGGCAACAAAATAAAAAAATCTGGTGCGGTGCGTGCATCACACAACTTTCACTTACTATGCTCTTCTTAGCAGAAATATATACTGAAAGTATTTTCAGACAAAGCGAAGTGAAAGTAAAAATTATAAACTCTATATTTATTTATATTTCATTGTGGGTATTTTTATTTGTATAAGTACCCTTTTATATACAAATTTTAGTATGTATATCGCTGTAATCTATACAATCAAATATTAAATAATACCAACAATAGCATTTATGAAAACCACATATAAATATTTATATAATATTGTCGGAGTCCGTATTATATTAATCACATAATACGTATGGAAGAGTGTTCTAATCTTTCGGGCGAGCTTGGGTGCCCTCACAGTATTTTTTTGGTTCCTCAATTACAACTATTCTCCGTTACGATCAGTTAATTCTCCTTCAGTTATTTATCAAATTCTTCCACATTTTATATTTAATCCTTTTTTACATTAGAAATTAATTTGATATGGTCAATTGTTTCAAATAAAAAAAGATTAAAGGTATTATAGAGGAAACTAATATTGAAAATTAGCAATTTAAGCCCTGTTAGAGAACATGAATTGGAATAAAAACTACATTTTATTTAAAACTGCTTAATTCTACACTGATATGATGAATTTAATCATAATTGTTAGAGCGGTTTTCAAGATAATCGTAAAAACATGTTTAGTCCATTACATAAAGTGCCACTTCCGGTAAGCCGATTTTTACTAAGAAGTTGCTGTAATATCCATAGCATATAAAAACCTTAAATATGCAATTTCACTTCTGTACGACTTTTTGTTTTTGAGCTAGACTGTTAACACACACAGACCATTTAGCGGGATTTGGTTATTTGGACTCAGGGAATCTCAAAACATTTATTTCCGTTGAAAACACAGATTAAAAAATGTTCACGATCGCAATACTTACCCCTATTATGTATTATATAAATATGTAAGTGAAAGTAAAAATGATTAATTATTGTACTGCTCAAATTGATTTAGAATAGTCACTTAATAATATACTTTTTCAAGAGAAATTATTACTTTTCTTTTTATTTATTTTTTCCCATATAGAGACAACATATCTGTGTCTGAGACTTGTGGCACTCAATGTAGAACAAAAGCCTGCTTTATATATGTAATTAAACAATAGCTGACTAGAAATATATCCAGTGAACTGAAAAAAAAGAAATAAAGAAATATAATTGGTAGGAGAGAACTATTGTTTGTTGAGAAATTTTTAAATCTCTTTGAAGTTTCTATCAGATCCTAGTTAAATTGATACTGGACCTCCCTGGAAGTATATCGCTTCGGTCGAAGAAACAATCACATATGGTTCAAAAATGTTGAAGTCGTGAATGATCCAACACAATCACAAAAACAATTTTTAATCTTACATTAATGTTTATCTTCTGATTTTTTTTTTTCCTCTTTAACAGTGATTGTAATCACTTTTGATTAGTCCTGATGAAAGCTGGTAACTAAGCAGAAACATCAGCATACTTCAATTTAAGTTTATGTTATCTATGGTTTTTTTTTCTCCCCCTGATTGCACCCATTAAGCAACTTCTCCTTAAATTAACTGATATTATATAAACAACCTTATTGATATATCTTATAACTTTATTGATTATTTTAATTAAATCATAGTGACTATTCAACTAAACCCACAAATATTGAAATGTGAATACACATAATAGATTCCAGTCTCCTGTACATAGGATACATACCCGTTGGTTGGTTCTTCTTATCTCGGAAAATAGCAACGCACCTATGCTGATATTTGAGGGGAGATTCAACCCTTTTAAATTCTTGTGGACCACCTTCCAACTGATATATAATCAGACCCCGAGCAGCCGTTCCAACAACTGCCATCGGATAATCCTAAAAATGGAATACAGACATAAATGAGAACAATTATGGAATGGAGTATATAATACTTAGCATATCATCAGTTTCTAGCAAAATGTTTTTAAATATATTTTTGATAGAGCTGAACAATTAAAATCGTTTTTGTCAATTTTGATCTTACTTCTCAATAAAAAAAACCACAGTAAATGTACTAAAATGAAACAAACAATTTTATATACCAAATATAGTTACAAGCGCAGAATTTTCAGATTTGGCAAAATGAAAATTTATTAAGTTCTTGGTGATTTAAGGTAATGAAATGCCATACATGACTTTTTGCAATAAACCGATGTTATATATCTTCTAACAACCTATGGCATAAAGGTGTGTAGGCAAAATTAAAACTAAATATTAATGTAAGTAAAGCCAAACTCAAAAATAAAACATAAATGTATATTAACTATGTTCCTCTAAAGTATAGTTTCTGTATTTACAATGCAAATTTAAAAGTCAATTCATAGGAGTGAAAAGCAAGAGTCCCTAAAAGAAAATTGATTGAATTCAATCATGAATTGTCACCTTAGAAATATACAGGAAACAAATTCCGCTATCTTAAGTCTTATATCTTTCCATGTCATATAACCCGCAAAGAGGTCTTGTTCTAAATTATCAATCTTAAGAGAAACAAAAGAAAGCATAGGATCTCAGTTTTCTTGAATGAAGTAAGAACAACTAAACCAGTTGCCATCATGAAGGTCTTATCATCTAAGATTGTTAGAGATACATACATAAAGTTTTAGAAATTGAATTTTGGTTATCTCGATCAGACAATTTATGTTTGTGAATAAACACTTTAATCAACATTTAACACTAAAATCTATTTGTTTCATAGAAATTTGTTAGACTCAGTATTTTGGAGTTTATATTATACATTAATTTTGTAATATATGTCCCTTACCAGCTCAACATCTATAAGTTTAAGAAACTTAAATGAAAAATAAAGAAGTCTTTCATATTTTTAATATATCTAGATCCAGCTTCTAATGAATTGATTTTAATTTTGTCATGGCATTCAGGATCATCTTCAAAGTTCAGAATCTCAATAAACAAGCAATTATGATAATATATATTTAGAACAATTATAAAACTAAAGTAAATACAAAATGTGCAATATGATAAAACATGTCTCTTTTTTCAATGAGTCAATTCAACTTACACAGCATATAACTCATTAGCTGTAAAAATGTTAAAATCGTGATTTTCAAGTTAATAACACATGAACTATTGAAATTATGAGGATTTTTTAAATGAATTCAGTGTCATTTCTTGAACACCAAGGCCAATCCTACATTTTTTTAAAATTTGTGTTACAATTGGCTGCAGTTAATAATAATAATTTCAATACTTCAAATGCATCTTCTGAAAAATCACGAATTTCAAGTTATGATATTGCTGTAGCAAGTGAGCAATATGTAAGTACTCACAACATCAGCACAATAACATCGTTCAGGAAGTGGAAGTTGGCGTATAGGTTGAGGACTCCGGGTATCCCAAAACTGGAACAGCAATAGAAAAATTAAACTTCCATAAAGGATGTAATAATAATCTACCATGTTGTACTATAAGAAAAAATAACCTTTAAAGTTTTATCCCAAGAACCAGTCATAAGACAAGTATAATTAGTAGCCTTAATCCAGTGACAGGTCTTCACAGGAGCATCATGTGCAGCAACTTGTATCGTCTGATTACTGGCCAGATCCCAACATTTAACCATTTTATCACAAGCTGCCATAAAAACTTTTGTACCATCCTACAATTACAATGGACAAAATGATGTAGTACCATTTAAAAGCGCACACATGAAAAAAAAAATTAATGATACTTACATCGCTCCAACAAATATCTAGTACTGGCCCTTGCATAGTCTGCATGGATTTGGGAATGGTCTTACCTGTTTGTTCAACCTCCCAACACCTTACCTTTATTCATAAAACAGCATAAATGAAACTAGAAATATATTAAATATAAGAGAAAGTTATTTTAATAAAATGCAAAATACATTGTTATCCCATGATCCAGCTATAAGAAAATTCTGTGGAAGAGTAGAAGGGCTGAAAGATAAAGATGAGATAGAATCATCAGGGGGAGATGATACTTCAAAGTCTTTCATTGGATTCGCAGATGAAGGCGTAACTGTGGCCCCAAAGGAGCTAGATGTATTCAATCCACCTCCAGTAAACATCTGTAATGTCAAATAAGTGTATAACTGAACAGAATGCCATTATATGAATTGCAGAAAACGTAAAAAAAAAATTAGAGAAATCAGGGAAATAGCAATCATGGGCTTGTAATCAAAAGTTATTAACTTGAGAATTACTACAGCATATCATTTCTTAAAACAGACGAATAATTATACATAATACACAAAATTATCAGATTAGAAAATGCACTAGAAATGTTATCATATCTTGTCAATAAAAACATGCATAAGGCAGTCAAATATAAATAATGTATTTTAACCTTTGACAACTACTCGAATATGTTTCTTAAGCAATTAGCTACTAGCAGATAAGTAAGATATAAGAAGAACAATTGCACAGACTTTTAAAAGTTATGTTTAATCCATTATAAGAACACGACAGTAACAGAACGGTCTCAACTTCGAGAACAAATGGCGCAAAATTCAAGAAGACTGATTCCGGCAAATGGTGATGATAAAAATATTTATCTTATTAAGATTCTCTTCGAAATCAAATTATAAGCAAACAACTGCTCAAACGAAGCGAAAAAACAGTTTATAAGTAAAATAATAATAAAATGACAATATTTTTAGTAAATAATAAAATAAATCGATTTAAAGTCGATTCATTATAAGTGTTTATCAATTAAATTTTGTTATTGTCTTGAGTGGGTTGATTTCTTTATTAAGTAGAGATGTAATTAAAACATCATATTTTTTTTCTCGGCCGATTGTGTTATAATTAAAGCAAAAGAGTTGGCGTTATTTTTGTTGGAGTTACTTTTTAGAATAATCGAAACTAACTTCTTCATGGTTTCTGAGAAAGTTCAATGACTTAAATGTGTGAGGTATGCCATAAGAAGCTATTTCGGCAGTTTTAAATGAATGTCTGCGAATTATAATTTTATAAAATCATTATATCATGGCCGTTAATTTGGATAAAAACAAAGCTGCAATGATTTCAGCTTGGAAAGAAGTCGTGGAAGACAAATCTCCCACAAACTGGTATGTGTATCTTGAGTGACCGGTATTCTGTTCATACACTTAATTTTTTGAACTTGATGTGGATGATTTATAAATATAATGACCTTAAAATGCCCAACTTTAAGTTTATTTATTTATTTTCAGGGCTCTTTTTGGATATGAAGGTCAAACCAATGATTTAAATTTGATTTCAAAAGGAGGTATGTGTATTTACTTCACATAAATGACATTTGGATCATACTTTTTGACATATATTTATAGCTATACTTAATTTTTAAGATGGCGGTGTAGAAGAATTGAAGGATGAATTCAGTAGTGGACAGATAATGTATGCATTTTTAAGGGTGTTGGATCCCAAGACGAGCCTCCCTAAATGTGTTTTAATCAACTGGGTTAGTATTATATTTTTAATCTTTTGTATTGCAGTTACTTTACTTTAATATATTATAAATTTGTCATAGTTGTCTCTTTTTCATGTGATTTCAGCAAGGAGAGGGCGCACCACTAGTTAGGAAGGGAACCTGTGCCAATCACATAAGAGATGTCTCGAATCTGTTAAGGGGTGCTCATATTACAATTAACGCTAGAAACGAGGAAGAAGTTGATGAAGATGTAGTTATTGAAAAAGTAGCAAAGTCGACTAGTTCTGCTTATAGTTTCAAGGAGAGAATTGGTGAAAATGACAGACAAACAGCACCAGTTGTAAGTTGTTATTATTATTTTAATTTATTTTTTCATGATTAAATTAATACTTAATGAATTTGTGTACTTTATTTTTGTCTTTCAATTGTTATAGTTACATAAATATTTTCTTTGTTAATGTATGATAGCCTGTCATAGAATTTATATAATGAAACCAGTCTATAATTGATGTTAGCCTTGAGATGTTTTACAAAAAAATGTTGGCCACTTAATCTATTCTAATTAGGCTTTATTAAAGAAAATGGTGGTGGTGGGAGATATAATTTATACTTTCTCACAAGCAAAGAAGTGGAATTTAGCAGTAACATATCATCATGATTAGTTATAATTGGTAGTTAGAATTTTGTATTAATCAATTAGTTTATTAGTAGAAACCAGATCTTCGTTTGGTAAAAATCTAAAAATATGCCCCAAAAAAAAAAAAAAAAAAAAAAAAATTGTTTAGCATAATAATTTTAATTTACATGATCTATGGAAAACTTCAAAACTAGTATTTCTTAGTGAATATTAACATCAGAAAATAAATGGAAGTGTTTTAAAATAAATCAATATAATTTTTTTTTTTTATTGAAGTTCAGTACCATGAGAAATTTTTATATTTTTTTTCAAAAGCTTTAAGGTAGATTTCAGGGGTTGGTAAGGACCACAATAAGGGCTCACTTGTTGCACTAGCTCTCCCCACCAGTACCAGTACCAGTAGGATGGACCTAATTAAAATTCCTGTTAACTTGACAGGCTCACGTAATGTAGAAAATAAAATACAAAAACCAACTTTATACTGATACAAAGTCCCTTAAGAATAACAATATTGTTCATACAAATTAATATTCCATCTGGCTAAAAAATTAATTACAATAATTAAAGAATAACTAAAACATAAGTTTTAAAACAAGATAGCTATTAAGATATATTAACTGTTAACTGGACTGCGAAGAAGAGACTGAGAAATTTACACCATAGTGTGGAAGCTAGACGAGACAAAGAACAGTGTCTCAAGACTGTCTCTTGACGGTCTATAGACGAATCGCTAGTGCGTACTAGACTTTACTCAATTAAAAACATGACAAAAGAGAAATATTTTTTTAAAGCAGTGCTGCCCTACTATATAGGGTTGCTCGATACACAGCATACTCATCAATCCTTTTTTTTATTTTGGATATAGCACTTAATTATACTTAATCACATATTTATATATATACAAATTTTTTACATATCACTCATCATATACAATATTAATACTATAATATACCAATACACACAATTACAATTATTCAATATACATATTTCGGTAAAATTGATACAAAAAAATCTCTGAAATCTCATAGCGGACAGTTGTATCTAAGACCAGTGCCGCATTTCCGGTCCTGGAGAATGCAACTAAATCCACATATCTCGTTGATCCATCACTATCAATACAGTACACCTCGTCGAAGCATGTGAATTCCCATTCTCTAAGGAGCCTCATCAAGTCGAATTTGATCCTATGATGCTGGCGTGTTATGAGGTGGGAGTTGGTGGGGCATTTTCCCATCACATGGGCTGGTGTATCAGACTCTGCACCATTTGGGATAGAGGGACCCAACTTCCTTCGACTGTCCACTGGCTCCTTGGACTCCATGCATTGGTGCATAATTGATGTTAAGTTTTAAGGCATTGGACTATTCTGATGCTGAAAGTACTTATTTCTGGCATATATATTTAGTAGCTTTCGGGTCTCTTTAAAATGCTTTACTCCAACGCCTTGTCACCTGCAACTGGCCCATTCCAAACGAATTCTCTCTCAGTAACTGTCGTAGACCTCTCACACTTCGGTAGCTCTGATTAACACCCAGTCTCTCCGCACATTCGGCGTTATAATCAGATATAGATTGGAACATGGCATCTTGTACACTGGTTAGTCGCTGGGCAATGGACCAATGTTGCAAAGGAGCCTCCCATTGGCAGCTGATCAGTCCCAATCCTCGATACCTCCTTGGTGCATATAACATTGTCGATGATGTATTAGCGGGGAACCCTATGATAGCCTTGACACTCCTGCGGATATTTACATCAATCCCCTCCATTAATGCAGAACGTTTCTTTGTAAGGGGGGCTGTCTGGAGAGGGTAGATAATTCCCAGGTTCACATATTGATTGACAACATTGATCTTTTGCTCCGGTTTAAGAAGGCAAGAGCTCACCAATTCATCCAAGTTGTTATTAAATTTTTTCAACTTTTCCTCATTCATCACTAGCTATCCCAAGAACGTGCATCCTAAATATTTTATAGTATCATCTCACTTTGATGTGTGGATGTCTTCTCCATTCTCAAGGGAGAGTTTTGTTTCTTGCAGCTCTCCTTTATCTATTATTAGGCCCATGCTTTTCTTCAAATTAATACCCAGACCAATCTTAGCGAGGATCCTCTGTACACAATTAATTATCCTCTTTGCAACACCCTTGTCGTGTGCCGAGATAGCCTTTTCATCTGTGAAGCCTGTGAGGACCACACATTCTTGGTCGCTGGTTAGCTTGTATCTATAATGCTTAGAAAAGTCTTGCTTTCAAGTATGGTGAGACCCCTCTTGCCGCCAGTGAGCTGATGATATGGTCGTGACCAACGTTGTCAAAAGCTCTGACAACATCTAGAAACACCACCGCACAATCATTCTTTTTACATTTGGCATCCTTTATGATCGCCTCGATGATACTTGCGCTGATATGTGCTCTCGGTACGTCCCTGATGAAACCTCTCTGATCTTTGCTTAAGGTGATCTGTTTCCTCAATTTGTTGTCCAGAACCTTTTCAATGATTCGGTGCACAATCGAATCAATGGTAATGGGTCGTACCCTCGTTTCCCTTGTAGACCAAGATTTTGTGTCCTTGACGCAGAAGCTCTGGTACATAAGTACCCTCTGCATGATCTCTGTTATGATCTTAATTACATGAGACATATCATAATACTTTATCGTGCCGTTCAGATAAACTCCGTTTCCTGGCGATGTGTCTAGCGATGTTGACGTAATTGCTTTTTTTTACCAACAAATTCCATGTTATCAATATTACTACGAACACATTATATTACTATACGAAGGAAGTCCTGGAAGGTAGCCACTTGGTTATTTCTTGTTTTATACTATCCACCTCACCCTCTCCATTTTCATTACTTTTTCTATTGTTAATTAGGCCCCTTAGTCTGTTACCATTAGCCCCCCTGGGATGATTCTTCCCTATAATGGTTCTGAGACCTCTATCCCCTTTGGAACTCAGCCCACAAATCGGACACACTTTGTCGTTGATCCCTGAGGACAGGTCTTGTTTCCTTTCTTTTATTCCACTACTAGGCTCTCCAGACGTCTGCGGCAAATTGGACAAACTCGGAAATACATCTTTTATTGAAATTTTTTGTCCAATACTTGGCCTTCTTCGTCCTGCCACTCCATCTTGACGAACGTTCTATCGCCGCCCTCCGCTGTGGCCACAGAGGCCACCACTGCTTCTTGGGCTGGGCCTTCTGATCTCAGAACCCATACTCTATGACCTACATCAACTCTATAAAATTATATAGATCCGAGTCCATAACTTTTTATCATCACACCAACATATCAATATATAAGCATACAAATTGGTTAAAATTATGTCCATATGTAAAAAATTAATAAATAATTAAAAAAATATATACTCAGATAAAAGATGTTAGTAAATTAAAACTAAATAAATAGATGAAAAATATATACAAAGGTTAAATAATGTCAGCACGTTAAAATTCAATTAATAGGTTAAGAATATATACATATACATAAGTGATTAATTAAAGCGAATGAGATAAAATTATATAAATAGATTAAAAATATTTCTTCTCTTAATCCAGTCCTCTGTTACCGCTGAGCAGTGTGAGGTTCCTTCTTATAGAGCCTGATCCACGAATATCTATCCTGTTCCAGCTGTCTTTTTCTACTCCAGTCCATTCCTCTCCTATCAAAGGCTTCTTTAACTCCTTCTTCCCATCTTTTTCGTGGTTTTCCCTGTGGCCTCCTTCCCTCCAATTTGACCTCGTAGGTAGCCCTGGCAATTCTGTTTTCAGCCATTCGCGAGATATGTCCAAACCACCTAAGTTGGTTTTCTTGGATTATCTCCTCTGCAGGCCTCAGGTCCAGATTACCTCGTATGGTCACATTCCTAACGCGATCTCTTCTTGTTTTTCCCTCTATTTTCCTTAGATAGCGCATTTCCATAGCTTGGATTTGGCTTTTGTGCTTGGCAGTGAGGTCCAAGACTCGCTTGCATACGTCAATATAGGGAGGAAAGTATTCTTAAAGACAATTTTCTTAGTGGTCTTTGAGACTTCCTTTTTGTCCAAGAAGCCTGACTTGAGGGAGTAAAAGCATCTTCCTGCCGTCCTAATTCTCTCTTTAATTTCTCCATCCACCCATCCGAACTCGTTAAGGTGAGCGCCCAGGTATTTAAAATCCTTAACTTCTTCCAGGCGGATTCCACCCAGCCGAACGATCCGGTCTCCTCGGTCCCTTCTTCTCCCGATCCTCATAAATTTTGTTTTCAAGATATATTAAAAATATTTAAAAAACATATACATGAATTAATTAATTTGAATAAGTTAAAATTATATAAATAGATTAAAATAATGTTTAAATACATAAGTAGATGGTGTATTTATGTGTGCGCCACAATATTGGTTAAACAATTATTTATTTATAACTACTAAAGTACATGCATTCTTAAAAGAAGAAGAAAAACAAAACAAAAAGAAATCTAATAAACAAATAAATCAATTGACAACAAGGTACGTCGAGTTTCTTCGATAAAAACTAGATTGATTAGATTGAACTGTTTAGATGGCACTGATCTTGCTGGAGATATCTTGGCTCGCGTGGTGGGGGACGACAGATAAGCAGCCCAGTTCTGCTAGCACACCAATTTTTTTTACGTTCTGCTCCTGGCGAAAATCCTCCCTCGATTTTTCCTTGATTTCAAAAGCTTATCTCCAGCATAGGCAATGTACAAACTTATCCTTATCATAATTTACTTTATTAACGTGGAGCCGATGTGTCAATATCACCGGCTCGAGCCGAACTCCAACAAAAAACACAAAATTTACCTTTTAACACCTTTTCCGTTCGGAATAGACCCATGCATCATACGAAATTTTTTGTCGGAAATTTTGTCTAGAATCACCCTCCAGAGTTTGTCCATCAAGAACTGAGACACCCTGTATATGCACTCCGACATATCTCTTAGACCTCTACCTGTAGTTTCTGGGTTATTCGATTACTTCTTTAGCAAGTCATCCATTGTTGTAGTATATATATACATACACTACAACAATAGATGACTATGTGTGTGTGTGTGTATGTAAGTAAGAAAATAAATCTGTCATATATGTCTTTTAAATAATGTCAGGAAACGTAACGTAAAGGTTTACATCAAGCTTTGAGAAAGTATGAACTAATTTCACATTTTACATTTACTTACAAACATTTTACTTTATGACATCGATTTGACCTATGCTTTAGGTGAAATTATTAAGCATTATGGTATGAATAAGTAATAATTTGTTTCTTAATTATCATTAAAAATGAATAATTGTTTACTAAAGTGGACTTCTTAATCAAAAAATTGTTGGGTTAATATGACTTCCTTAAGTTAGGAACCTTAAGCAATTTTGCATGATATTTATTATCTAGCTCTAGAATTAATGAATAGAATAAGTTGGATATATATGTGTGTGTGTGTATGCGTGCGTGGGTGCGTGCGTGTATGTATTTAATGATAAATAAAATATTGATCTCACACACTATTCAATCTCACTAAACAGTAAAATAATTTGTATCAATTTATGTTTAAATTTTTAACTAATTATTTTATTGACTATGTTCTTTTAAGGGTACGGCATATCAAAGGGTTATTCCTAAAAATGAAATTAACATATCTGAGAGAGATAAATTCTGGCAAAAAGAAGAAGAAGAAGAGAAAAAAAGGCTGGCTGAAGAAAAACATAAACGTGATGAGTTAAAAGCACAAGCAGAAAGAGAAAGGCAGGAGAGAGAGGTTCTGTATTATATATATTTTTATTTATTTACATCTATAACATATATCACATTGAAGTTCTTTTTAAGTAATGAAATTATTAAATTATCGGAAATGCTTCTAACCTGACAAAAAATTTAAGCATTTACTTTTATCTTTCTAATTGATCTCTTTATAAGTCTAAGTACATCCACTAGTGATGTTCCATCTATTCAACATGTCCAAGTAGTTCTTGGAATATTTCTCCAGATGTTTATGAAGGTGATTGCCTCCTCATTCAATGAAAATTTCTGTTGCTCACATGTATATTATGTAAATATTGAAATTAAATTTCAAATTTTATTACTCAATATGGATGAGCTTTAAAACTGACTCAATCCAATTTTAAAACTTTAACATGAGATGACAAAAATGTATTATTGTGTTCCATTTGACCTTGGTAAAATCCCCAATAGTTTGAACCCTTGCTGTATACTGAGACGCTTTTGGTCAATATTGCTAGATGATAAAAAGTATTGAAAGTTTGTGATTTAAAAAAGGAAAACCTTTTTTTTTTTGCGTTTGTATTTTCTTTCATCAGAAAGATATTTGTTTTGTTATTTTTTAATGATTTATATTTTTTTTTATGTTCTGATTATTGAAAATATTTTTCTCGTTTTCTGTCATTTGAAGAACTAGTTGAGATGAACAAAATTTCATTTATTTAATAATTAATTTTAGGCAGAGAAAAGTACTGAAAGAGATAGTCCTGAGAGGTTCACAAGGAGGAATAACTCAGTCAGACAGGTTAGTAAATAAGAATAAAATGGATATTGGTTAGACTTATTTTATTTAAAAAGTTATTATTAGTCCTTATTTAATTTTATGTTTTTGCATATTTTTAAAACATTTATTCGTTATTATGAAAAATTGTCTTAATAATGCCTGTGAAACACTGATCAGTTTATTATTAACTGTGACAGTGTTTTTTGCTTGGTTTCATATTTCAGTAAGGAATGTGTTAGTATGAAATTATTGTTTTTTATATTATATTTATATTAATTTCTATACCAACATATTCTCACATATACGTTATTTGTATTTATAAGTTTTTAAAATTAAATTTGAATAGTAATATTAATAAAATCACACGTTTCTTTAGTTTCTAAAAAAAAAAATATCTATAAATAATTTATTTAATAAAAAACTGTAATGTATTCAGCTAAATAAAAAATTATTATAAATTTTTATTGAAGAAACTTTATTCATGCATAAATAAATACAAAGAAATAGTGAGAGATTTATTTAGTATTTGTGGAATATCCTTGAAAAATAAATAATTTAATGTTCTCATAAACTTAAAACTAAAAAAAATATTTTTTTTTAAATCCCCAATTTGAATAATCTTATGAAATATATTACATAGAAGCTTTAGCTTTTTTCTGAAATGCTAATATTAAAAGTTCCAATTTAAATTGTTTTTGATGTAGAGATGGTTGACCGTTGATATAATATGAGAAGGAGTTGATCGGGGGGGTGCGGTCAAATTAATACTAAATTAAATAAGTGGAATTATTTAATAATTCCACTTATTTAGTTTAGTATAAATTTGACCGCATCCCCCGATCAACTCCTTCTCATATTAAATTGTTTTTATGATTTCTTTTTTTCGGGATCCTTTTAGTTATGTGAAGATATTCAGATTTTTGTTTCTTTTCTACAAACTGACATTCATTATTTTTTTATCCACCACTTCCTCGCCTTTTAGGCTATATGCAAGTTTTCCCAGGCCAAGGAAGAGGGCAGGAGATTAATGCTGGAGTTAAAAAGCTCCCCCTGGCACCAGGACACGAACTCGTAATTATTTTATCAAATAAACTTCAGTTCAACAGGTTCCCAGGCAATAGTGGGCGGGGTGGCCGAATGGGCTAACACGTGTGCACTGCACTGCCGTTGCCCAGCAACCTGATACATAAGACTTTGATAACAAAAAAAATAGTCACAAGTTCGTGTCCTGGTGCCCGGAGGAGTTTTTAAATCCCTGCCCACACTCCCTGGCCATATAGCCTTAAAGGCAAGGAAGGGGAGGAAAAAAAAAAAAAAAAAAAAAAAGGGTTCCTAGGCAATGAATTGCGTATACATTACTTGGCCACTTCGCCCTCTAGAAGTCACTGACTTGCACTTTGAAAACTCTGATCTCAGACAAGCTCCAAACATTGGTTCCATGCGTCTTTTCTCCCTTGGATCTGTAACTGGACTTCCTCTAAGCTTCTCAAGCTATCCTGTATCTTATTCTCAATATCGTATAAATAAAAATGACTCTTATAATCCTTTTTCTTTATCAAACGTTTGTTTCAAATATTTATTGTTGCATATTTAAATGCCACTTATTTCAATGAAGGAAAACATTTCTGTTTTAAGTTTATTTTCTATTATATATAAAAAACCTCATATCTACATGGTACACTTGGGTTGAAAACATATTTCTGTTTAAGTCATTTTATAGCATATATAAAAAACCCTCACATCTATATGGTATACTTGAGTTTATATTTACTTAAAGTAGTAAAAATTTATTAATTAATTACATTTAACTTAATTTAACATGAGAGTTTTCAATTGATTGAAAGATGTTTTAAACTATATAAAAATCATAAATACTATCAATGTAAATTTCTACCAAACATTCATCATTACAATTTAATTTATCTTATGTGCAATGCCTAAATCGTTTGTTGTTATCAATAATTGTTCTTAAATTTGAACGATTGCTTACAAAATAAAAACAGTCTATACTGGAAGAATTTTTATTTTCCTAATCTAAGAAAATATCATAAGCCAGAATATCAGAATCTATTTATTTGTTTTTTTACATCATTTAGGAAGCAGAGGAGTTAATCAAAATGAGAGATTTTGATCCTAGGGCAGTTTTTGAAAAGAATACATCAGTTGGGCAACTGAGTTCTAGAAAATCCTCTCTGCAAAACCCACACAGTATGTATTAATGTGTCTTATTAATTTTAATATTAATGACTATAATTAATATGTATATTAATGATGAATCATAATTTTTAAATTCTTTACATTTTTTAAAAGCTGGTTCTTAATTATTTTTAGATGAAGTAGTCACAACTAAAGATACCATCCATAAGCTGCAAAATGCTTGGCCACCTCAGGCAGAGAAAGGAGTAGTGAAAGCTGAACCCATTGCAGAAGATATCCCTAAGGTATTTTATTCTGAATTTAGATTTTTTTGTATACTTCAGTCGTTTAAAAATTGTAAACCAAGCAAAGGATATAATTGCCATTATTGATGAGTAATTGAGTAATTAAGAAGAATGATATATAGTTATCTGGTAAGTTTGAGGTAATACATAACCGGTGTTCTTTGACACTGGAAAAAAAGAAAGGTACTTATTTAATAGCAGGTCGCATCAAAACCTCCCTTCTTATCTAATCTCATTTCACATAACCTCCCTTATCTCATCTAACCTAAGTTATTCCCTTGTTTACTTTTTGTTTCTTGTGTAAGCTGTGAGTTAGTGTTATTTAATTATGGATGTTGTCACATTGTGGGAATTCCCGTCTTCAGAAGAAGAGGCTATAAAATATTTTCAAGACGCCGGGATATTTGCAAAGGTCAAATATTGTGATGAAGGTCATCAAGTGAAGTTCGACGGGAAGGAGTTAAATGGAGATGCTTTCGTAGTTGTAACCGTTTCTATAAGGAAAGGAACGTGGTTAGAGGGATCAAGGATTTCTTTTTTTTAACGGCTTTAAAATTCATTTATGGGTGGTCCCATAATCTAACAACAATACAGTGGGGGAAAGAGCAGCTCTAACTATCGTAACATGGAACAAATTTTTAAGAGAAGTTTGTGCCCATGACGGATCCCTCCCTTGCTATTTTAAATACCATAAAACTATTTTCCCTACCAAAATAAATCAAGTTAACCATATAAGTTAAAATAAAATTTTTCATATTTTGTTTATATGGTTTCTTCACAGTGTTTGTTTTATATGTACAAATGCTGTTTAAGTGTTTTTTTTATTATTTTATCTATTTTTTGCCTATTTTTATTATTTCATTTATTTTGATATATATGTTGCAATGTTTTCGTAATGTTTTTTAATTATATATCTATAATGTTTTGGTATATTTTCATATATATGTTGTAAAATAAAAGTATTTTTTTATTATTACATTTGCTTTTGTTTTTGTTCACAATTTCAGTAATATTAATACAATACAATAAATATGAATACGAAGAGCTTATCAGTGTTAAGGTTATAAACATAGGCAGATAGCAGTCGGACGCTACCTGCTATTAAATAAGTGCCCAAAGAAATTCTGTTTTTCTACATAAATGTTCAATATAATAAATATATAATGTAGTTTAGTTTGGTTTGAATTGCAGGTGCCAGGGAGACATTTACTCTGGCATCAAGTGCATTACCTCTCCCCTGACTCAGTAAAAAAACCCTGTATATCTTAAAAGGTGAGGAAGGGGAGTAAAAAAAAAGTTTGGTTTGAATTGTCTTTTTACTTTCACTTACCTATATATGTAACATATTGTTAGGGAAAGTATTGTGAAAGTGAAAATGTTTTCAACGGAAATACATGTTTTGAGGTCCTCTGATTCCAAATAACAAAGTCCTGCAAAATGGTCTCTCTGTGTAAATTTGTGAAAAGTCCTACACAACTCAAATTAGGTATTTAAGATTTGTACATGCCTGGGATGTTATAGCAACTTTTTCATTGAATTGGGCTAATTAAAAGTGCCACTTTATATCATCGATTTTACCCATTTTTTTAGAATTTTCTAGAAAACTGCTCTAATGATTTTGATTAAATTCATTAAACCAGTGTAAAATTAAGCAGTTTTTAACATAATATATGCTTTATTCTCTTTGATCTTTTCTAACTGTGTTTAAATGCTTAATTTTCAAAATTTCTTCCTCTAAAGTACCTTTAGTTTTTTTTAGTTGAAATAGTTAACTATTTTACATCATAAAGTGATATAAAAAATGATTAAATATAATGAATGAAAAAAATTGATCGGTAACTATAGGATAAATAAGGATTGGAAGCTGCTATACGGTAACAGACGATAGCGCCCGATCTTTGCCTATCCTGTCCATTTATAGATACCCTATACCCCTCTGTACAGGGCTATATATTGTTAGTTTAACTTTTATATATCCTTTATCCAATTTTTTTAAAAAGATTTTCATGCGAAATGTTGAAGATCTACTAATATAAACCTAAAAATAAACAATAATTACTAATATTAAATTATTTTTTCAACGTTAGGAGATAAATGTTTCTGACAAAACTCAGAATTCTTCCAAAAGATCCATTTCTTCCCAAAATCATTATTGTTGTTTGATACTGTACACAGTCATAAAAGAAAATGGAAAGTGATGCAAACATATAAATTTAACAGTTCGATGGGTGAGAAAAACATGATAATTAATTGTTTTTAATAAAGATATATCCCTGTTTTCACTTTGACTTCCCTATATATGAAAATACCTATCTACTCTATAGTTGGTAAGTGAAAGTTGTGTGTTATGCGCACCATTTCTTATTCAGTCTTTATGATAGATATTAGTAAATATTTTGTTAAAAGATTTTTATCACATTTCATCTTTTATTCTTTATTTTCGGCATTGAAAACTTTCAGATATACAAAAATTGGTTTATTTGTTGATTTATATGTCAAGTTGACGTTTCGGGAAACGTAAACTTGCCGAAAATGAAGAATATTATACAACTTCCCAGCAAAAAAGAAGAAAAGAAGGATTCATCTTTTATTTTTTCATTTTTCAACTTTGTAGCAATAAAAAAAAAATCACATGTTTATATTGCCTTTTGTAGATGTATTTTAGTGTTCCTTGTTCACAAAGAATACAAATCAATTATTTATGTTAATGTATAACATATCAGTGGGGGGAGGGGAAGAAAGGGAGGAAGGAGGGTTGGTGAAAGTTTTATATTGCGCACAACTGATTTTTTTAATTTTTGCTACTAGTAAGTGATATTCTATTGCTTAAAATAGATGAACAAATATTGTTGTGCATAAATTTCAAAATGATAAAATAACCTTTAATCAAATTTTTTAAGCTTGCTGAGATTTATGGTGTTGCCAACAATAAATTATATTGTTATTTGTTAATATATTTAATACTAGTTTTTGTATAATATTTGAACTTATAGCTTATACCTGAGAAAGTTGAAGTTAAGCCTGCTGATGAAGTGAAGGAAGAAAAGCAAGAAGTGAAGGAAGAAGAACAGCCTCAAACAGTTGAAGATGTAACTCCTGTTGGTAAGTACTTTCTCTGGGATTCTAGTGTTAACCATAGAGTTTCTCAGGTCAATACATGGAAGTTTATATTTGCCAAAAACAACTGTTGAAATTATAACAAATACAATTTAATGTTTAATTTAACTTCTATAATAAAAGTTAATGTTTAATTTTCAAAGTGGAAACTTTATTAATAATATAATTTACAATTAATTTATCATTAATTCAAATTGGTTAGAGTATCTAAAAGATTTCAAATTCAGTGATTAAAAATTTTAAACATAATCTATTAACTTGAAAGATTTACAAATGGCACTACCAAGTCAACCATATTTAAATTAGCCATGAACCGATTCGCATAATAGTGTGTAAAGAAAAAATTGATACTAAAAAAAGGAAAGAAATCTGCTCTTAACCAAATGTTCTGTTTATTAATTGGTTCACCTGTATCATAGATATCAGATCTTTTGAATAATACTAATTTTTTATGGAATTGTGTGCTCATTTTCTGTTTTCTCCACCTTAACCTGTAGTGATGAACTGAGAATTAAAGAATTTTTATTGATCTTTGTAGATTTTCCATTAATCTATTTTTTAATTGTGGGTAAATGGTAGACTGTCGTGAATAATGAAGAGAAGAATAGTTGGGGTGATCAGTCAAATAAGAAGGCAAAAATAAATGATAATATGTCAAAATAAATATTATCATTTATTTTTTGCCTTCTTATTTGACTGATCACCCCAACTATTCTTCTCTTCAATCTATTTTTTACTTTTTATATATTTTTTAATATATTTGTATACTTTTATCTATTTTTGTAATGGCAGTTTTTTTTTTTTTTTAATATTTGTTTAGTCTGTAATATTGTTCAATTAACATTGTTTTTTCTCAGAAGCCCAATATGTTGATGATGGATATAACGGATCAGAATATATTGATTTTAATGATGTTGGGTTAAGAGCTGAGGCTTTATATGATTATCAAGCAGGTATTGCATATTTTTTTTTCATTTTATGTGATAAAGTTACACAAAAAGATATTATTTTTAAATATTTTAAATTTATTTTCAGCCGATGAAACAGAAATATCTTTTGATCCCGGTGATATTATTACACACATTGATCAAATAGACACAGGCTGGTGGCAAGGTTTAGCCCCTGATGGAACATTTGGCCTCTTCCCTGCCAACTATGTCCAACTCTTGGAGTGAATCATGACTGACAAAGACTTATAGTATCTAACCCCATTAATTGGTGACGGAATTCGCCGATCTCTACTCTTCTTTACTATAAACTGTTACTGTCTGAGTGCATAATGATGAAATCTGTATATTTAAAAAGAAAGTATTTGCTACTAAGTCATTATACAATGATTGTATGTCCTAAAAGGTGCTCAATTTGTGGCAGGATCAATAAGTATTTGTTTATGATATCTATTTATTTAATGTTATTATATTTTATGGAAAATTCATTTATGTTTATAAACAATATTAACTCACCTCACAGGGGCCAAATATTAATAAATCTAAAGGATCATACTCTGAAGTTTTTGTTTTATTGGTCTAATGTTAGTTGGCTTAAAATTCTGAAATTACCGTGATTAATTCATCATTTAATTAACGTTTAATTCATCAAACTTTGAAATCTTGCAGACTGTTCACGTTAATTATTCTTTGGTGTGGAACACTTGGTTATTACCCACACCTTTAATATTACATCACTATTATTGACCTTCCCTGGCTTTGATTTGCACTACATGGGCAATCTGTCAGTACAGTATTTGTTATGATTGTGCTTTTTTCTATTAACTTAATAATTGTAGGGATTTTGTTGTGCTCTTTACAATTTCTTGAAGCAGGATAATAAAATTGTGAGCTTCAAATGGAGTCATCCTATCTCTGCAAGTCCATCTTAATTGCTAGCTGATGAGTCTAAGTAAAAGATCAGATTGAGCAATAATTTAGATTTTGATTTACCATGCCCTGTATATCTCTTCTTTATATGATTTGATATGAAGAGGTTTTAAAAAAATTAGTGAAAACTGAAAAATATACATGAAAAAATTTTATGAAAAAAGTTTATGATCTAACAGTATAAAAAATGAAATAAAAATAATTCCCTTTTTCCTGGATTCTTGTAGTAAGCATATTATTCCTATGGAAAGGGTGGACATTTTCAAGCTTTTCTATACTATGAGCAACTGGAATTGATCGCACAAATTATTAATAATTTAACTTTAATTTGTGTACCTCAAAGGTTTTTTATGTTGATTGTAGTTCAGTGTATTGTTAAGTTTGATTTTTGTTTGCTTATCATTTTAATTGCTACAAACAAAATACATTGATAAATAATGGAAAATTTTGTTATTATTTTTTTTGTATGGCATCCTTTAAGACCTAAATCTTCTTTTTAGCAGATGCAATAGCCTTGTCAGAGTTATCTTGGCCCCTCATTAGTTTTAATCAACAATGAACAGTGTGTTTGGCTTTGCTTTCAGTTAAGATTTAGGTTAGTCCAAATTTTGCGTTATCCATGATCTTTGATTTTTCAGTGACTTCAGCATTGTCCTGCTTTCTCCATCACATTTTATATTTATTTTGTGTTGTAGGTATTTCAGTTGAATTTCAAAAATGCCACCTCATCAAATCTTTGTCTTCCTGACATAATATATATATAACTGGTATAGGCAAAATTTTGGAAATCACAGTTTTTGCCACGTAGTCTAGGCCATATTAATTTTATTTGTTTTTATCGATAGTCCAAATTATTATTATTAATAAATTCTTAAGGTTTTTCTATTGGTGAGTTAATATGTTTTGTTAATTGTTAAATGTTTATTAGTATTATTATTATAAAAAAATAAATCAAATTTTAATTTTAATTTGTTTGAGAACCTCTTGTTATCCTTATCTTCTAGATCAGTGGTTCTGAACTGTTTTTAGTACTTGGCTTCCTTTAGGATCACTTAGTTCTTTGTGATCCTCTTGTGAACTAATTAATATAATCAGTGTTGATTACACCTTCTATGGAGTAAATTGTTCAGTGACTTGAGCATGAGTGGGAGTTAAAATAAGTGATAATATTTAAGAAAAAAAAAGTTAATCACCTTCTCGTCATTTTTGCTAAGCATCGAGTCATACCTCAAAGTCATTCTAGTGAGCGAGTGGTTTTGAACTGATCACTGAAAAATCTATTTTTTGGAATGAATTTATATTTATCATTTTTGATTTTTTTTTTATTCCTTAAGAAAAGGTTGGAATTTTTGAGGGGAACCACTGTTCTATGAGAATATCTTAATTTTATTTTGATTAACTTTAAAATTTTAATGTAAAATGAGAATAACCATTAGTATTGTCAACATTTTTATATTAATAAGATTGTAGTACATATAAACTTTTGGATGAGGTACTTAATTGAAGTATGCCATTGTTTTAATTCTTACGATTTAGTTAACTGTAATAAATTTTATTTATATATAAAATTTTATTGACTGATCACTAACAACATGACAGTAATATTAAATGTCTTTCATAAATTAGAAAATAAGTATTAAGTATTTTAAATTAGTAACGCTTGGTATTGTTTCTTTTTAATTTTTTTTAGTTCATTCAGTTTCAGCTATATTTGTGATTTTTAAAGGTATTTATTTAATTATAATTATTTAATGGACTGAAAATTTTATTGAGCTTTAAACAATGTTTGTATGGATTACTAATGCTTGTACCTACCTAACTTTCTTTCTTTTTTTTTTTTAATCAGTTGCTAAGTTATTTAATACAATAGGCATGTGGTGAAAATACATTTTTAGTTTAAGAACTGATGTAATTTGTTCTCTTATCCTGACTCCCTTTAGTATTATATGGTATCCTATTTAGTTAAAGATATTTGTTTTTTAAGTTTAGAGAAAAAAAAAGTTAAAAATCTGATCTGGAATAAGGAGATATTTTCAAATAGGCTAAGAGGCAAGGATAAAACGATTATTATGAAATATAAATGGTTAGGGAAAGTATTGTGATCATGGAAAATTTAGTATCAGAGTTTTCAAGCCAAATACACATTTCAAACATTCTTTGAGTCTAAATTATCAAGTTTCAAAAAATAGTAGTGTTAGTGTGTGTACCGTTTTATTCAAAAGAGAAAAGTACGAAATTTCGCTTATGCATTAACGTATAATGTTATATAAAGTATAAATATTGTTGTACTGTATTAATGTGAGGCTGTTCTTGTGGATTGTAGGAGCTCTCCTCACACCCCTCCGATTGGTCAGTATCCTATTTTCTCAGGTTACAATTTATATTGAACTTGAACCACAAGTTACTTATAATGTTATAATCCCAGAAAACATGGGTACGTTTCCTCCCTGTACACCGAGTTGAAGTGACTTTATCCTGTTTCTCGACTGCAATTCCTTCTTGGTGTTTTCCTTTTCTAAGTCCTCAGAACTAAAAATCCTTCTTGCATCCTAGAACTCCTTACTCTATGCTCCTCTATCCACTCTCTTAATACAAGATCTCAATCTATAGACCTTTATATTCCCTCCCATAAAATAACTTCTTTCAGCAAATCCTTACTCATTCGTACTAACTTTTAGAACTCCTTACCTATCTCCATACGCCAAACCACGTCCACAAATTCCTTTAAACAACTCCTATTCCACCACCTACTACATATAAAAACTTCCGTTATCTTATAAGAATTTTTAGACTATGTAAATGCAGTTGCTAACAAATAGATAAATGATTAAGAGCCTTTTTATTTTTCTCTGTATTTTTTGTATATATTTGTATCATATCCACATGCTAGACTGAAGTATAAATTTTCTGAACTCTGTTATTATTCTAAGGGGACTTTAATTTTTCATTTCATAATATTGCACTTACACCAAAGTGCAATATTATGGAGTTAGTAAATTTTGAATATTTATACAGCTTGTATTTTTTCTAACAGAAACAAACTAGGTTTAAAAGTAATAATTCTACTTTATAACTTGTGCATAAAGGTCTTAGTAACAAAGATATAAAAAGTAATGCATCAGAACGAGAAATTTGGATAGAAATAGCACTGTTTTCAAGAATATATATATTTTTCTCCCAATATAAGGCATTCCTTGGGGAAGACATCTGTCATGGTTGCTCCAATCCTGCGATGGCAAATGGGTATATGTTAAATTATACAGCAACTTTATACTTAAATTGACTGGAACTGCCACTATATATTTTAACCACCATTAATTTTATGTCTTTACAATTTTCTCTAAAATTGCCTACTGATTTTTATTTTACTTAACATTAATCTGCAATTATAGGCTCTTTAATATTAACTAGGTCTTGTCCTCATTAAAATAGTGTGACAAAACTTAACTGTCAAATATTTAAAATATCTTTCTCCTAAATGCCTTTAATTTTTATTTATATATAATTTAAACATGTCACATTGTTGGTAGTAATACTTTTCAAATATTACGTTTAATTTTGGGTGCACCTCGCTCAACTCCTATTGCAGCTATGGAACTGCAGACCACAGTAGAATCCCTTTCGAAACGGCGTGAGCAAGCTGCAAGGTGGGTGAGGATAGCAGCGATCCTCATAGCTCTAAGAACACTATCAGGAAGGCAAGTTCAGAACACTGTTCACTTTGTCGACTCGCAAGCAGCAATCCTCGTAATTACTGACGTGAATAAATGTATGTCGAGTTCTATCTTGGCATGCAAATCCCTTCTCTACGATCTAACACTCCGAGGCACCAATGTGGTCCTACAGTGGATTCCGAGCCATTGCGGTATTCCATGAAATGAGGAAGCAGATAGTCTCGCCAGGAGGTGAGCAGAATTGCCACAAACAGTCCATCCAAAATCCTACTATTCAATTCGGCGAATGGTGAGGATGGTAGTGAAGGAGGAAACAAAAAATATGCACAAAGACAAGGTGGAAGGGAGAAGTTATGGATGTTTGGTGGAAAATCCGATCCCAGCAGACCTACCAAAAAGAGATGCAGTAGCCAGCTTCCGCCTGGTCTTTTTTAAAGTTTAAGACTTGTTTTTAACTATACATAGTGTATATTGTTGATTTTTTCTTACCAAATGACAAATAAATGAAGGTAGTAGGCACTTTCAATAAAACTAATGTATGATTTAGCTTATTATTGAGTAATAAAGCTTGGGAAAAAATTTAAAACACTTATTGTTTTGAATTGGGGGTAATTAAAAAACTCATTTTGTCAGGTATTTTAACTAAAGTTAGTACATTAAATACCAAAGCTGGAATGTTATAATATTTAACAATTCAACCATTATGACCCAGGAGCGGATCAGGAACAGTATTCCGTTAATTATGGATTGTCCGAGTTTATTTAGCCACAATTGAGGACTAGACAACAATAATGGGCTAAGTGCCAACAAATCGAAAATTGAGTTAGACACGGAAATGGTCTAACAACCTATAAAATGGTCTAACCATAACAATCATTATTAGTCTTGAAATTAGAATCCAAAGTTGGCATGCGAGCTATGTGCCAACCATTTGGTTGGCATACCACAATGATTTCACTATACACCTTAAATTATAACCAACTCTAATGATTAAAATGACTTCAGTTTATCATTAAAAAATATTTACTTCTAATATTCAATGCTATTATCAATATTTGACTATTTCATGAGGTTAATACAAAGGAATTTGTGAATTTAAAGGTAGCAGTTAAGTTCATAAATTTATTTGCATTC